GTTAGCTAACAATCTGAATCTCTTGTTTTTGCACTCACTCGCAGCTTTCTTTATTAGTTTATTCTTCTTAATGCATTTCATGTGCTATTCAACTGTTAATCATTACTCAAAAACATTTGAAACACGCACTGAAATGACGGAAAATTTAAATAATAATAATTATTATTATTATTACGAATTTAAAACTTTTCTTTATTTAAATCGAGTTGATATTAACGCAGATTTTTAAATAAATTAACTTTTGACAGTTTATTCAATATTTTCATTTTTGGAAGAATTCTCACGTGGGACAGTCTTCAGTGTTTATGCAATAAAGATTTAGTGAGCTTTTTAAATTAGCAGTTGGTAGAACGAAAGAAGTCACTGACTTAAAAATATTATGGAATTTTTATATATTTAAACGAATTCATTAATCATAATAATAATAATTATTGAATTATTGAAATAGTTATTTAAAAAACAAAGCGTAGGTAAATTTTTTGAAAATTATTTTCTTTTTACTGTACATATTGAAAGTGAAAAACACAATAAAATAGAGAAACTTTGAAAAATCTTGATTTTGTCAATTTTTCTAATGAGCGATTCAATTTTAATTGTAAACGAAATTATATTTTTAATTGTCATTTAAAAAATAAATTAAGCAGGAAAAATGTTTTATCAGGAAGCAAGGAAGTGTTTCCAACGATTCGACAAAAAAAATTTCAATTTTATTATTGCTACTGTTTTGTTATTATTTATTAGGTTTTAATTATTTGTATATTTTAGTAATTCTTTTAGTATTCTTTTATCGAATTAGGAACGAAAATGTTTACGTATGTTTAAATTTTTTCATTTACTAATTATGTGTTTCATTAAATTATCATTTATCATTTATAAATAATTTTCGACTGGACATGAGATTATGAAGATTAAAGATGCAAATGATATCGCCCTCTGAGTAATGGCAGGCCACGAGAGTTTCTAACCGTCGGAGAGAGCGGTGGACTGCTAAACTATTCGTAGAGGCACTATCTAGGTATCTAGGCTCGGTGTCCGCGTATTTTTAGAGAACGTAACGTGAGGAGGAACCGTTGGTCATTCCGTCAGAGTTCGTCACGTTAGTTCGTTTCTTCGTTCCTCATTTCATCTGTCGTTGATGCGTGGGAGGATGATCTTTTCACTCTACAAGCACGCACCCCCACGATTTTAAAAATATCCACATGTGGCTTCCACAGATTTCCCTCCCAAAAAAGGGCAAAGATTTAACAAACAAACGAAAAAAAAACATTTCAATCTTCCTTTTGAACGCTTCTCAACATTTATTTTCTTTTATAGGAGCTAGGTTTATTTTTCCATCGAAAAATGCACTAACTGTGTACATTTGAAGATGGTATGTTCTTGCTAAAGGACACGAAGTCAAGGATTCAGTGGCAAAAATAGGTTCCGGAAGCACTGTAGGTGAATGGCAATTTCTTTTAGCCGAACCAAGATATTTGAAAATTGTTTTTTAATTTAAAAGACTCAACTTTCTTAGCGACATAACGTTAAGTTTTTGAGTCAGTGAACAAAAATAGAAATACACACAAGAGTGCATCATTTTGCTGAGCAATTATAACTTCTAGGTCAGGTTGTATACGATAATTTTACTCGATATTATTCTTTATTCATTATTTAGATAAGAATTAAAGGGGCTTGACCATGAAGTTCTATCTTGCTCTAATGACTCCAATAGCTCGTCATCTATTTGTTTCCTCAGTGTTCCTGCCTTTGAACTTGGAATTGGTTTACCTTTCCCTCTTTCAAATGAAAGGTCAAAGACAAACGTTGATTATTATTCTATTCAAAACTTCTTTTCAGTCTATCAACATATTTAAATTTTGGAAAAACAATTTTTTTTTATTTCTTTTTACAAATTTCTGCCTTTTTTATTTTTAAATTATTTTTTTTTATTAAATAAGAATCAAGTTCATTTTTTTCTATTGCCCGAAACTTTGACACTGTAGTTATGTACTTGGCATAGTTTTGGAAAATGGACTTATGAATAAAAATATCAATGAATGTCGCTTTTCATCTTGTTATTGGGGAACACAATAAATTCTGTGTTTGTTCCATAAACTTGATTAAATGAAACGTTGTGCATCTGTCGTGAAACAGTCAGAAAATTGTCGATGCGAAACATCCTGACAGCTGGGAATCTCTTGAAAGGAGTTTAAACTCGACGTCCAGACTCAACCTGTTGCCAAACTCAATTACGCGTAAATTTAATCGTAAATCATTAGGTCAATTTTCTTAAATTTTTTTTGTATTTACTTGATAAAAGTAAATATTTATTTGATAATAGTCAAGTAACCGATTAATAATATTTTTTTGTTAAAGTAATTTGAAAAATATTTAGTTTTTTTCTAAAAATATTGAAGATGGGAAAAATGCAGTTTCTCAATAATTACTGTCTATTTAATGTCGCACGTGACGTTGACTCACACTACTTCGCTTTCAGTGGTGCCATTTAATTATATTGCGAATGAAAATGACAGGAAAAGGATTCATTCATAAAAATTGCAACTTTGAATTTGTTTTAAATTAAAATTTTTTAAAATACTATCATATTTATCTAATTAGTAACAATTAAAATACAAATCTTTTTTGTTAATGCAAATTCAAATGTAAATATAATACTAATTACTTGATTTTTATTAGAATTATTCTCGAAGAATAATTCGTTATTCGTTGAGGGTAAGAAAGGGCAGCAACCTTGGCTCTGGGTCAACAATTTAATGTCGTTAAGCTTGAAATGTATTTCTTACATGACCATTACACAAGCTATTAACTTTTATTGGATTGACCGAATAGTATTCATCGAATGGAAGGCGTTTCTTTATTTTTCATAATACAAGGAAAATTGAATGCTAATTGTAAATAAATAAATTTCTGAGGGAAATTATAAAGAGAAGATCCTAAAAATAGAAAAAAAGAATCCATAAAAGGATTGAACAAAAAGAGAACGATAAAAATTGAGGAAAATGGAGAATTAAAAAATGGGAAACCATAAAAATTGAGAAAAACGTGTATAAATAATGTGAAAGAAAAAGTAACAAGATTAGTGGAAAGAAGACAGAAACAGCAATTAAGGAATGCGAGCAGCAATTACGAAGTGGTAGCAATCTGAAGAATGTTATATCAAGGCTTCTTGCCAAGTTTTACTTGTGACGTTTGTATACATATAAGAAACTCGGATGTCCCATGATCTATCCAAACGTCTTCGCTGGTCCATCAGTAATTCCACTCAACTGTTGGATCTTGTCTCCAAAAATTTAAATACGTTTAGCCGGATATCCTTAATTAAGTGTCGGTTAGAGAAAATGAAAATGCTCTCCACGTTGTTAGTGTCATTGACCGATTTTCTCAATTTCGTCAGCATTTTTTTTTTTTAAATTATAACAGCGTTGGTAATTATTTCTTTTTTAAACAATTAACTCAACTATTTTTAGACGAGTTAAATCGGTTTTAATTATATTTAATTTTTCATTAATTATTCTCAATTTTTAATATTTATATCTTTTTGGACGCGGATCTATTAAAAATGTTGAAATAAATTTTCGAAAGAGGGCTTTTATGAAATTTTCCAACGTTTTAATGTTTATATAGTCGAAAAAACATAAATCACATGAAAGCCTTCGTTTTTGTAGAAACTGTTACTTTTATAAGTTTGTGAATTATGAAAATTTCAAGGATTATACTGCAAATTTCAAAAGCTGGGGGAAAATATTATTAAGACTCCGCGGAATAAATGCCTCGAATTTCGAAAGCGTTGAAACAGAATCCATTAGTCCACCTACGATTTTAGATGGGTTTCGTGTGGTATTAAATTTCATATTAATGTCACGCCTTTTCAAGAGTCAGTATTATTGCTCAACACACAATTACAAGTGCCGGTTCATTAATCACATTTTGTGTAAAATCTAACTACTTCCGCGAATTTCGAGTGTGTCTTCATTATTTTTCTTGGGAAATTTTGCAAATATACATTTTACGAACCTCTGCTTGGAATTTGACTCTTTCTCTTTGTCAGCGTGTGTCATAAAGAAAATGGATTGTTATCAGTTTTCACTTTCAGAATAGTTTTCTTCAAACTGTTTTTTTAAAGCTGGAAATTAATATTTGCAGCTGGTGTTTAGTTGAAAGAAAAATTTATTTATCTTCCAAAAAACTTATCATCATAGATTCATGGGGATAATTATAGATAATACAATCTAAAACATTTTCTCTTAGGAAAATTCTCAAGTTCAAAGGAAAAAAAAAATTTTTTTAAACTATGTAAAATTGGTGTAAACAAAAATAAATTCTCAAATTAAATACTAAATTATTCAAAGAAATATGTTTGAGAGTTCAATAGATGACTGAACCGTTTCAAAAATTTATGACTATTGCTAATTTGTCAATGAGAAATAAGATTAAATTGACACTGTAAAATATTGTAGATTTTTAAAAAATTTCTATTTCTTTTAATGAATTTGAAATATTATTATATTGTTGAAAAATGATAGGAATGGAGGACAGAATTTGATATTGAAAACAAAGCCAACGTATATATGTACATTAGAGAAATTTCCGCGTGTTGTAAACAATAGGCAACGTTTAAAAGAATCACGTCGACAACTTGTTTTTATAATTTATGGTCCATTTGTCTCCGTTCGCACAAGTTTATACATGCCAAACATAATAACCGATTACCAAGATAACCAAGTCACCTATTTTTGAGCCAAGAGCCGCATTAATAATAGAGATGTTACGTCATTTAACAGCCTTGAGTGTCTTCGGAAAATTCAAAATATTTTCAAATTTAAATGTCTCTGAAACCTGATTCTTTTTCTCACGATATATGGAAAATGAGAATTTTCCGTTTTGTATATTATTATATAATATGTGTGTGAATATTTTTAGTTTCTCCATTTTTACTTTTACAATTGTTTTATTATATTTAATTTGTGTATAAAAAAATAAAATAAAATTTGTTATTGCAGAATAAAAAGAAGCTCTCGACTTGTATGAAATCAAGAGGTGGAAGGGCGAGGGAATTTAGATGAAAGAAATTAAAAAAATCCTGTAAACCTGAGGGGCGAAACGGGAGGAATTTATTTTTTCTGGTGGTCCAGAAGAATTTGTAAATCTTGATTGAATCAGGCAAAAAGGGGGTTAATAAACCCCGTGAGAGAAGAGGAGCGAAAGGCACCCCGTCGAAATGGGGGTTGCCGATGACTTCGCGCCAAGTTTCACTCAAAAGCCGCAACTTCGACAGGAGGACGAAGGCAATCGGCTTATATTTGAGTGTCAACTGATAAGTGCGCCAAAACCGGAAATATCGTGGTTTCGTGGCGATACACAATTAAGCGAGGATGGAAGAACAAATTTTAAAATACAAAGTGTCGAGACAAATAAATTTCTCGTGGTGCTCGAACTCGACGATGTCATCGAAACGGACGCTGGCCTTTATAAGGTCAAGGCGAAGAACAAAATGGGAGAAGTTGCAGCATCGATCAATCTTAATTTCAGTCGTAAGTTTCTTTTTCTTTGTTTATATTTTATCTTATTTACATCTTCCTTTCTCTATATCTATGGGCTTTATTTATTTAAAAATATCTTATAAGAAATAACGTTATATTCGTAAAAGTAAGAACAAAAATAATTTTTCAAAATTGACAAAATATAACCGAAATTATATTTTCCAGCCGTGGATGAGCCTAGGGAGAAGTAAGTCCTTGTCGTTCAGAGTGTTAAAAAATGTGTGCAGCTTCTCGCAAGGCTCGTGCTTCGTTTTTTTATTCGCATTTACTTTTTTCGCTGCTTATTTCAAATTCATTATTATTAACTGCAGGACTAATTTGTTGAAAAAAATTATTTTTTTTATTTATTAATTAAATATTTTTGCATCGCTTACTATGTTTTTGCATTTATTATTTTAGCTGCCGAGCAAGTGCAGAGACGGTGAGTGTGACGTTGAAAAATGCTTCTGTGAAATTTAATTAAATGTCATGCAAGAGTAAAACAAAAATTTAATTTGAAACTGGAATTCTTGCTCAAATGATAATGAAATTTTTAAAAGTTTTTTTTCTCTTACTAATCATAATTTGAAAAATCTCTACTACAAATTAACGAACGAATTATCAAAAATACATGATGATTTAAATAAGAATAAATCTTGTACTCACAGGACCAAAAAAAGTCAACTGTTCAATGTCTAAATAATTAAATCTGTAGGTCAAGAGCAAACTTTAAAACATTGGGTCAAGAATCTTCCTGTTGCGATGAGTAATACAACGTATTGTTACGAACAATGAATCAGCATTTGGAATTTAGTTCAAGTTGACAGTTCGCGATTAGACAATTTTGACACTTGTTTAACAAAGAATAAAACTTGTTCATCACTCAATTTGGTGGCATTGCATTTGTCAATCGTTAATTGGAAAATTTTGACTTTAACAAAACATTTAGTTGATATTTGTGCAATTTGGAATTTTTATGGAACATCTTGTTTTTTCATGTAAAATTTATTCGTCTATCGAATTAGCTACGTTGCGGAATGTTGTGGCTATTTTTAATTATAAACGTAACTTTCGTCCAACTACATGTACAAATGATAATAAATGAGCTTGTGACTTGGTTCGCGATAAGAAAATTTTGCTTTAGCAATCTCATCTAATTGCCATCATTATAATTCAAAATTAAATTTTCGATTTTTCTTTTTTTCTTAGTCATTAGCAAATACGTTAATTATGAAAGACCGCGAGACGGTAATGGTACGATTTATTTTTGCATTAGTTACCCGGTGACCTTGACCTCATCAGCAACTGATTTTTCAGGTCATGTAACATTAACAGATTCAATGATTGGAGAGAGTTTATTTTAATTTCATGCTGTTTTCGAAAAGACATTTCACAATATTCAATTAATCAACGTGAACTTTTAGGTTTAATTTTTACAACAAAATTTTTAACTATCATTATTATTTATTTACATTAATAAATGGGGTTAATTATTATTTTTATTATTAACGCATACAATTCAAACATTTGTTTTTCAACTTTAAACAACCGCTGTTTTAGATTACAATATGGATTATTTTTACTACTATTTTCGTTTTAATTTTAGAATATTAAGTACTAAAAGGCATTTATTTTTATTTTTGACAGGATTAATAAGATAATTTTAGTATTTTCTGTATCGAAATGGTTTTTTTTTTGCTAAATAATTAACATATTGATGTCGCGAATTTAGAGAATAAGAAAAAGACGTAATGTGAATTTCGAAATGACTATATTATATACAATTTTGTGGCGTTAGTCGTCATAAATCTTTGCTAGTAAAAAAAAAGTTTTATTTATAGTGTTTCGACTATCTTAGCAGTAGAATTATTTGCAATAAACTTTCTCACTGATGGACTGTGGCTGGTCCATATGAACGAGAGGAAAGGAAAACAGCTGCAACCTAATTCTCTAAAGTTAGATGGAATATGTTTTCGGCAGACTCTGGTGCTTGAATTTTTGATGCGAATTGTGTGCTCACTATGATGTGATGGGACGACTTTGATGTTCACGTTGATTTATTGCACATACCGGAACTCTACTTTGTTCGATATAATTAAACTAAAATTAAACAATGGGAATAAGATTTAAATAATTTACAATAAAATTAGAAAATCATTCATTGAAATAATTAATTGATTTAATTAAATTTTTTGTTTATTGAATTATAATTAATTATGATTGTTGCTTAGATTCAAAGTGAGGTGAAATTGTTTAGACATGATGTAGAAACAAAAATATATTTAAATGAATGATGCATTATGAAAGGAGTTAATTTTAATCATTTCTGAGTCATACTGTTGAAAGTGTAGTGTATTAAACAATGATTCATTGGAATCATTGTTGTCTTTGGATGACAATCTGACACCCAAACACTGCCAAATACTCATGAGGTTTACACGTTGGCACATCGACCTCTCTCTCTTATAGGCTATTTCAATCAGAACTTCCTAAAAATAACCGAATAGATAAATTCGTCTAGTTTATCTAAACACATTATATATTGTAAATTGAGTATAACTTTTAATTTGCAAAATTTTCAATCGTCTTTCCATTAAAATTTATATTCATTCCTAATGATACATTATTACTAGAAGTATTTAATTTTTTTAAATGTTTATGAAACATTAATAATCTTTATTAAATTTTTTAATATAAGTATTTTTTATTTATGATTCCTTGAATTTTTTAATTTCTGTGCGTGACTACATTTTGTTGATTTTAAAAAATTAACAGTCGATTGTCGTGTGAGTTTAATTGATAAATAATATGAAAATCGAGAATATAATGTGGCTGAGAATGAAAATTTTCTTTATCACTTTTCAGACAAATCGACGGAATCGCACCGACTTTTGCGAAGAAACCAGCGATCAGACAGGAGGACGATGGCAAAAGATTGCTCTTCGAATGCCGTATTACCGCTGATCCAAGCCCGAAAGTTACATGGTTTCACAATGGAAATTTGGTTACAGATTCGCCAAGACATAAGGTAATTAAATTGTCATTTTAACCAAAGGAGAATTTTATTATTAAAATAAAAAAAAGTATTCAGTTGAACATACCTATATAAATGAAAAAGTGTTAAATTATCAAATAAAAGTAAATAAAATTAAATGTTTAGCTGACCGTGGATAAGGACGGACATTCTTACTTTGCGACATTGGAAATAAAAAACGTGACCGTGGAGGATGCTGGCAAATATAAGGTCACCGCAAAGAACGAGCTTGGCGAATCAAATGCCACGATTTCTCTCAATTTTGACAGTAAGTGTTTAACAGAAATTTTTTTTCTATAAAGTAGACTAATATAAAAGAAAAAAAATTATTTTTGTAGGAGCCATGTTGCTCTTTTTGCTCTACTACAAACAATTAACTATCAAGAGATGTAAATCGATCATCTTTTGCTTTTCGCATCACTTTTTATCAATTTGATCATCTGATAATTAATTTTAATTATATATTAATATCAATTTTAGTATTAATCACATTTTTACATATATCACTTTTGAATAAAAAAAAAACTCACCACTGAGAAAAAAAGTTTGTTGCCATTAAATTTAAAAAAATCATAATCGTAGATTAATAGCCATTAATTTTGTCATCATTTATCTTTAATTTGCTTATAACACATTTTTAGTAATATTGTTACATTTTTTGCCAGTAACGCAGATAAATAATATTAATAATTAAATTTTTAACAAATTCAGCGAGCATTAAAATTGACAAACATTTACTCTCAGTGCATATTTTACATTTGCTCATTTACTTTTTAGATTCGTATAGGCTTTAGTGAATTTTATTAAAAGGAGAATTACATTTGTGTACGTATTCTTTCACTTCAACCCATTCAAATTAAGTTGAAGAAATAAAAACATAAAATTATTCATTAATTAGCTGAATTTTTAATTTAACTCAGTTTTTTTTAAAGGAAATTATTGAAAATATATTTTACAAAAATTTGAATGTGTTGAAAAAAATAGATGTGTGCATTTAATAATCTTTTCTTTTTAAAGTGAGCTCTTCTCGACGAGCGATTAATCGATCAGTTCGATAAACCTGAGTTCAATGTGTGCAATAAACAGCCCGCTTGAACATTGTACATTAAAAAAAAAGTTGTCCATATTATAAGGTCGTAGATTGCAAACAAGATTAATAATATAATTTATTGTACTGCTGCTTAAATGACGTATTAATTAAATTAAAAAAAATACACAATTTTGTAATAAAAAATAATTTTTTATGGGGAAATTAATTTTTTATTACAATAATTGAAAAATTGATGCATAAGGAAAATAATATATTGGCCTTACGCTGACGCTTCGTTAGGTTGCTGCAGTGACAATTTTTTCTCTCTGTTCTTGTTCAACGTGTTTGTTAATATGTGTCTCCTTTTTTGTATACGTTAAAAAGTTTTCTTTTGGGGGTCCCCAAAAAAGCGCATTTCAATACAAACGGCGCACTATACACTCACACTTTCCATAAATTCCATTCAAAATCATTTTTCATTTTTCACAATCCTCTTAAACAATTTATAAAAACTAATACGATTAAATTGTTTCGTTTAAAGGGGGCCATTAAAATAAAAAATTTATGTTATTTTAAGATTTTTAAACCCATTTAAATTTATTTATTTGTTAATACTTACCTATATTTACAAAATTAGTTAATAGTTTAATTTATTAATTTAGGAAACTTCCTTTTTATTTTACACTTTACAGATAAAATTAAATTTTCTCTAATAATAAAAAACGAATTAAAAACATAATTTTTTTGCTATAAATATTAATAGATAACCTTAATTGTTTTTTTTTTTAAATTTTAAGTTGTCGCTCATCACAAATTTCATTACAAAATTCTAACCTCATATATTGTACACAACACGCAATACAGCATATTTTATATCTAGATGAGCTTCGGCATAATTGTGCAGTGTTCTCGTTTTCAATCTAACTATTTTTTATTATGTAAACATATAATATTAGTATGTAATCATCAGTTTTAAAGAGAGGAAGGAAACAAGTCAGAAATATTCTGGAATATTTTATAGGAAAGGCACAATTTATATAAAAACGAAACAATCGCGAGGTAAAACTTACCATTGTTCCATCTGACACGTGTTATATTAATCATGTACAAAAATAAAAGTGGACAATAAAAAAAAGTAATCTAAAAGGATGCAAGCAACCTAAGGGAAAAATGTCGGTCTTAGTCATATTCTTTACGGTCTTATATTCCATATTTCTTTATTGAAATTTATCATTTCAATATGGAGGATTTACTCTTCTGGATTTCAACAATATTTATTATCATTTCCACCTTTCAAAAAAGGTTTATCGATCGGATCAACAGATACGTGGCTCCGTTACTTCTCAGTCGATGTTTTAAATCATATTTTCTAATTTTCGGTTTAATAAAATTTTATTTTTAAATAAGACAAAATGAAAAACGCCTTTCTCGATACACACTTTTTGTAAAAAAAATAGGCGACGAAGCACCCGTACCGGAAGACGGTATCAAGCCAACTTTCACCGAACGACCAGTTATCAGACAATCGGATGATGGGAACACCATTAATTTTGAGTGTCGATTAGTTGGAGATCCAAAACCAAGTGTCACGTGGTAAGAATTGTGTTACCAGGCCAATAAACAACAATCATTTTTAAAATGGGATATTAATATGAAAAATAAATTAAATTTTAAATTACATTAAATTAAATTATTTTACATTAAAATTAAATTAAATGATTAATACATTACAAATTGAATTTAAATCTATAAAATAGAAATTTTAAATACAAGTTAAAAAATATATTTCTAATAGAAAAGTAATTATTAATTTTAATTAAATCTTGGATAATGAGAAATAAATGATTTTGATGGCAAAATGACCACTGTGAACGCAGGTATCATGGAAACGAGGAAATTAGAGACAGTGCAAGATACAAGATTTCACTAGAGCTTGATCAAAAACTCTATCATCTTGCCAGATTACAAATCAATAAAGTCATGAAAGCAGATAGTGGAGAATACAGAGCAGTCGCCAAAAACAAACATGGACAAGGTGTTGCTACGATTAATCTTAACTTCGAGGGTGGTGACAAGCTAAAGTACGCACTTTTTTTATGTATACAAATTTTTTTTAAAAATATTTTTCAAAACTTGATTAAAAAAATGTCATAATTCAAAATCATTAAGGGATTACCTAATTTTTTTTCCTATTAGTTATTTAATAGATTTCTTATTTATCCTTAATTTCTTTGTTCGAATTTATATTTATCCTAATTCAAATTTCTCTCAACAAATTTTCAATTGAAAAGTGAGAAACTTAATAAATAATTCAAATTAAAAAATTGAAACACGCAGTAAACGAGAATTAAAAGCGGAAAAAGAAAGATTTAGGGATCGATTTGGTTGAACGGAATCACGTATCTATATTGTATTGATGAAAACTGTAGAATTCCCGATGGTAAGCCACCGAGATTTCCCAAGAAACCGACGATTCGACAAGAAGGTGACATCCTGATAATGGAGTGCATCCTGGAGGCTCATCCAGTACCTGATATTACATGGTATCAAGGTCAAAAGACAATTGCTGACAGCGCACGAATCAAGATGTTCCGCAGATCAACCGGAAAGGACACATACCTTCTCACCCTCGAAATATCGAATCCAACCAAGGCCGACGGTGGAAATTATCGTTGCAACGCTTTTAACAACTTTGGCGAGAGTAACGCCAACATTTCGCTCAACTTCCAAGGCAAGTCAACTGTCTTCGAGGGGCTCTCTATCTTTCTTTTTCTCTCTTGGTCCCAATTTTTATTTCATTACTTTTCCCGAGAAGGAGAAAAAAAGTATACGTTTTTAAAGCTGAACTTTAAAAGAAACCCCACTTTTTTAAATTATTAAAAATTAAACATCTCTCTCTTAAGGTCAAGTTTATTTCTTTACATGTATATTTATTCGTTTTATTTTTCCCACAATATTTCGCACAATTATTATTATGTTACCACTTAAGTAATACAAACTTTACAAAAACGTATTTTTCTCCATCTCGACCAATTTCTTTTTTGAAATTTAAAATTTATTTCTTTCTGTCCTGAACCCTTCTTCTCTCTCTGAACATTTCGAAATCACCTGTAATTTCTATTATATGGGGTAAGTTCTTATCGCTAATCGCGCAGCTTTTGTAATTTTACACGCCTCATTTACTAACTTTTAAAAATAATATTTACTTGTATTAAAAACAAGAAATTATAATTAAAAATAAAATTTATTTTAATTAAAAAATAAATTAATAATATCAAAAAAGTAATAGGAGAGAGTGGGCAGCAGTTGATCATTTCAGTTTTCTGGAAAATGATTTAAAAATCTCCACCACTCTCCCCTATATAATTTTAAAAATGTCGTGAGCAATTAAATTCGATGATTAATCGTGGATTTTTCCAAGGTGCAGAAGATGCAGCAGGTTTCGCCCCATCGTTCATCGAAAAGCCCCGCATCATTCCAAACGAAACTGGCACACTCATTACAATGAAATGTAAATGTCGAGCGAAACCAAAACCGGAAGTCACTTGGTATCGTGGCACGACCGTCGTCAAAGAATCATCGAAAATTAAAATCAAGTCGAAAGATGCCGAGGAAGACGTGTACGAGCTCATTCTTGAAATTAAGGTTTGTAAACTTTATCTATTTCTTTTCTTTTTTTATATGATTTGTTTGTTTTCTCATGAATAAAAAAATTAAATTTAATTCAAAAAATTGTAAGAAAGGATAGAAAAAATTATCGAGACAAATTTAAAAATATATCTTCATTAAAGGATCCAGGAGCACCTGACGGTGGCACGTACAGGTGTCACGTGAAAAACGAATTTGGCGAGAGTAATGCAAATCTTAATTTGAATATCGAAGCTGAACCCGAACCGGAAGGTGATGGTCCGACATTTGTCGACAAACCAAGAATTCAATCACAAAATCAAGGCAAATTGGTAATTATGGATTGTAAAGTTAAAGCATCACCAAAACCAGATATCGTCTGGACCCATGCTGGCAAAGTGGTCCAAGAATCATCAAAAATTTCACTCAGCGTCGTCAAAGAAAAAGAGGATGTATATTATATTAAACTCACGCTAAACGATCCCGGAGCTGACGACTCTGGATTATACAAATGTAACATCAAAAACGCTTTGGGAGAACTCAATGCTAATCTCACATTGAATGTTGAAAGTAAGTTTAAATTTTTCTCAACTAATTAAAATTAAATTTGAAAAAAAAAATTTTAATCGTAAATGTTTTTCCTTTATTTGTATTTTTAAATAATTTGCATGTTTTAGTTATACCTGTAATTAAGGAGAAACCAAAAGTAATTAAAATCGTTAAGAAGAAGACCGTAATAGTTGAATGTCACGTTTTATCGAAATTCGAACCCGATTGTACATGGTTCAAAGAATCAAATGCTGTCAAAGAAGACGATAGACATAAATTACACGTGGAGAAAGTGAAAGAGGTAATTTTTCATTAATAAACCATTTATTATAAAATTCATGAATTTTCTGATAAATAAATTTTTTATTTAATTATACAATTCTTTTTTAGGGAGAATTTGCTGTCAAATTGGAGATCGAACAAATATCAACGTCTGACAAAGGTACCTACAAATTAGTAGCGCGAAATGAAAAGGGTGAAGCTACTTCGCAAGTTGTTGAAGTGACAGAAATTCCTGAAGAAATTGAACGACCAAGAATCGCTTCTGGTTTAAAATCAACGGTACGTGATTGTTTAAAATATATTTCATTTTTATTTTTCTAAAATATTATCTGAATTCAAATTTTATTTTTCTTCATCAGACTGTCACGGAAGAAAAAAGTGCAGAATTCACAGCCACTTTGGTACAAATAGACAAAAAAGTTACTGTCAAATGGTACAAGTAAGTAATTTTTTCTAAATTTTTTAATTTTAATTTTTTAATTTTTAAAAATATGAATTTCACTTTTTTAGAGACTCGACAGAAATTACATCGTCTAAAGAATTTAATACAACATTCGATGGCAAGACAATGACGCTTGTTATCAAAACTACAAAATTAGAATACACTGGCACTATCAAAGTGGTCGTCAGTAATGAGGGAGGAAAAGATGAATCATCAGCTCAACTGACGGTTGAGGTGAGTTTTTTCACAAAATTTCCATTTCATTAACAAATTAGTTTAAAAAGTTTAATTTTTACATTATTTTTTTTTTGAAAAATTTATTTTCATTTAATTTAATAAACAAGTTTAAATTCTAAAAAAAAGAAATAAACTAATTCTCTAAAATTTTTTGAATTTTTTTATAAATATTAGTTTGACATGGTTAAGTATCATAAATCATTTTTTAAATTACTATCTAGGTCCCAAATTGACAATTCTTTAAATTTAAATCTTCCGATTGCAACTATTTTTCTCCCTAGATTTATCCCAGTATTTTCTATTTGTAATTATTTGTTGTTTTTGTCTCCTCTATTTTTAACCCCTATTTTTGAATTTTTACATTCTCATTTGTCATCATAATGAGAAGATTTTATTTTTTGTTGAATTCATCTCTCTTTTATCAATTGTGTTCTTATCTCCCGTTTTTTTACCCCTTGCATTTAATTAAAAAAAAACAACCCTGTTTGAAATATTGCATGCAACCTGTTGTCGGCTTTTTTTAGAAAAAGAAGGAGGAAAAGAAGAAGGAAGAAGAGGAGGAGAAGAAAAAGAAGAAAGTAGAGAAAAAAGAAGAGAAGAAGGAGGAAGAAAAGATCGAGGAAAAGAAAATCGAGGAGAAAAAAATAGAGGAAAAGAAAGTCGAAGAGAAGAAAAAGATTGAAAAGAAGGAAGAGATAGAGAAGAAGGTAGAGAAGATGAAACATTTTTTCTTCGCCAAAAGACTAACTTTAAATGATTCGATATTCAACTCAGCTATTAATCTGGAGCCAATAATTTTAAATAAAAAAAAAATGCTGCTTCAAAAATTTATATTGTAGATCTTTAAAAAAACTGCATAAATTTTTCACTAATATCGATTTTAAAAATGATCACTGACAAGCTTTTTTATATTGTAACGCGTAAAAGGTGCAAAGTCAGGTGACAAGTTATGAGTCTGAGGAGGAATATGAGGAAGAAGAAGAGGAAACGGTTAGTATTATGGAGTCGAGCATTGCAGAACCTATCATCGAAGAAATTGATTCTGACTTTTCGCAGGTCGAGGTACACGCACACTTAAAAAACACATTTTTCACTTTTATCCTTCTTTTGTCTTTTTATTTAAAAAAATAATATTTTCATTCTTTCAAACTCATCCAAATTTCTTATGTAAAATTCAAAATAAAATAACCTTTCTATAATATCTCAAACTGGAAAAACTTGAAAAAAAATTATGTTTAGATAACTTTTTGATACGTTTACTCGTTTGAATTGGCTTATAATTTGTAATTTTTCTTGTATTTATAAAAATTTATAATTACTCTTTAACTCAGATTTAATTAACTTTAACTTTTTATTTGATTTTATTTTTATTCACCATTCTTTCACAAACTTTTCCACACTTTTTTCTAGGAAACATTGTCGCATATTTTCGAAACTGTTGGACGGCTTCAGCTTTTTGCACTTATTTAAATTTCGTTTTTCATACAATTCTCATCATTTTCAATTTTTTTTTTCAATTTTGTACTCATGTCACATTTTTTTTTCATTTCAAGGAAATTCCGGAATCGAAAACAAACGGTATCGACAAACCAGACACAAAGAAGGTAAAATATTATTTAAAATTTTTATTTTATTCTCTTTTCTGTATAGATATATATCAAATTCAATAATTATTTTTTACGATCTGTTCAAACACAAACAACAACTGTACACTGTTCAAGCATATACCTCGATCTCGAAGATATATAGAATGTTATCAACATTTTTGTGATACTATTCCTATATATCGTTTTATGATCCATTTTATGTTTCTTTTATTGATGTCTTGCTCGAGATTTTACTTGTAGCTCTCCATTATTTCCTTTTATTTGTTGGCATGAATCCAATGTTGTAATATATATTATTTTACCAACAAAATTTGCTCTGAATTTAGAAAAGTTAATTTTTACTTGGATTTTAAAAGACGAAATTTGCAATTTCTTTGTTTCAGGTGAGTGAAAAATACGAATGCTAGACTTTTGGTAATGTATGAAAAACGCCAAAAAAGGTTATAATTTTCTGTAAATAGATAACTAAACAGTAGATTATTTTCTACTTTTTCTCTATTAATTATTTATTATCACTTAATTAATTAATTTTTCAATTATTATGTATTTTTCAAATTGCTTCTTAATGAAGGCGAATAATTCATCATAAAACCAAATCATTTTTAATAGAGCAAATAATTTTAATATTTTTAAATTTTTAATAAAGCAGATAATAAATTTGGTCGCTTCTTTAGTTGCTTTATAGTTTTTAATGCTAGATTCTCTTTTTCAGCTTCTGATAATAATAATAATAATTTCAGCTTCAAATACTTCATCAATGGATTCCCTCCCTGTGGCTTTTTGGTTAATAATTCGCACTGTAAATTCCCCTGGTTTTAAAATAGAATAGTTTTTCAGTCGATCACAACTAGGCTTTGAAATAGAAATTAGAATTAGAATTAGAAAATAATAATTCTGAAAAATAGTTAGAAAAAGTAATATTACGTTTTTTTAATCCCTTAGGAAATGTAATAATAAGTATATTAATCTCTCGAGATATTCTAATAAATAATAATAACTTGTGATATTTTTAGTTTCAGCTTCCTGCCAGCGATTTTTATAAGTACTTTAATGCTTTTATCGCTGGTATGCAAATTTAACATAAAAGAAGGTGGTCTAGTGCTTCATGCTTTCAAAAGAGATATATATATATATATATACAAAATAGACGCATAAAATTAGTGTATTAGAATCGAAAAATAATTTAGTATGCATGCTTTCTGTGTTTTGAGATAGATTTTATTTTTGCATGTTTCATATTGACTTTCATTTTTCTATTTGTTCGACAATTTATATTTTTGAATGGTCTTTTCTCATTTTTTCTAATTATCAATGAAGACATTTTTCTTTTCTAAAATGGTTTTACTTTTATGTTCGCTGTCTAGAAAGAAGAAACTTTCAATAATGTGGAAAAGATTGAGGAGAAGAAAGTTATCAAGGTACTAAAAACTGTCTTAAAAATTAATTTAGTGTTACACAAATGTAATTAAAAAAAAATTTTGTTGTAATGTGAGAAATTTTTATTGTTTCAGAAAAAGGTAGATGAAAAAATTGAAGAAAAGGATCAAGAAAAGGTGAGAATTTTTATGACCTTTTTTTTATTTTTATATAGAAATTTTAAGAAAATATTTTATTCGTTAATGTTAATTCAATTTTCAGAAAAAGACTTTAAAAAAAAAGGAACCAGATTCCAAACCAGAGTCCAAAGATGTAAGATATATTTTTTAAATTGAAGTAATAATATGAATAAAAATTTCCAAAGAAATCAACCAAAACTTTGGAAATTGTGTCAAAACTTTATGATAATTAATAAATAATATTTTTTAAATTGAAGGTCTCTCGGGAAACCACACCAAAGCCTGAAAAGAAAATAAGCAGTCGAAAACAATCAGTTTCGAGGGTAAGAATTTAAAAATAAAATTGGTTCTAAACGTATTCCATCAAATATAATATTTATAAATATTAATATTTTTATTTATTTGCAATAATATATTTTTTATAGGTGGAAGAACTACGCACTGAGAGTCGTCGAAGTTCTATTTCAAAATCTGAAGAAACGGTATGAAACATAATTTTTAATGAACAATTTAAAAAAAAATGGCAGAATTTTGAATAATAATTGTTGTATTAATACAAAACTAAAAGAGAACCATTTCCTATGCTTTCCTTGTGCATAGATTTCCCGTGAAGGTTCAAAAACTCCCGAGAGACGCGTTTCAATGCAACAGGTAAACGCGTTATTCCTTTTAGTGCGCTTTTTACCCTTATAACTTTATATACACTTAGAAAACTCAAAACTTGAAAGAATTTTTGTTCTATTTGTCACTATTTAACATTATTAATATTATTTGTTATTACAATAGTAATCAAAAATCAAATCTTGATTGATAAATAACTTTTTTTTGTAAAATTTATGTTAACAATATTAATCTTAACATTAGATTGAATGAAACTGAAATATATTATTGCATACAACTTATTTTTACCATTTAATACAAAAATGATTCTTGATAATATTATTTATTAAAATCGTAAAATTTGGTTTGTGACAGGTGGAAGAAGAAGTCAAAACCGAAAGTAGACGTTCCTCAATTATGGAAAAAACTGTTGAAAAGGTAACAAAATTTTATATTTTATACTATTTAATTTATGATATATGTACCTAAAAGTAGTTCAAAATAATTTTTTGTAAAGTTTTATAGTATTATTTATTTTAAATTTAAATTTGATAATTATTTTATGAGATTAAAACTGTTTGTCACAAATGCATTGAAGAGCTTTATAAGTAATGAAATAATGAAAAACAGTATTATTATAAATTAATATTTGACTTTGCAAATATTTTTTTATAGAAAAAGGAACTTCCAAGGAGACTCAGTGACACTAAGGTACACATAATAATTGGCATTACATTCAAATTCACACTACATTCACAAATACTCACACTTTATTTAATGAGAAATGCAATTAATTCAGATAGCTTCTGATAAAAGAATTGACTTTTTTATTTCATTTTCTTTAAATTTCAAATTTATAGGGAAGACTGAATCACAAATCTTTGAAGATAGAACCTGATGAATTAAAGGTGCAACTTATTAAAAAGACAAAATTTGTAGAAGACGGAGACATTGAGGTAGATTTTAGGGTTTTTCATCTTTAAAAAAAAAAAAATAATAATAATAATAATAATCATAAAGTTAGATTAAAAAACATGATTTTCATAAATTTTTATCTGATTCAAGTATATATTTTTAGGATTCACCTAATGAATATATAATTGTTATTGAGAATCCTGACACGGAAAATGAGGTACAAAATTTGTTCTTTTTATATTTTCTTTTCACTTAAAATTCATCCTTTTTTGGTAAATTTGAAGGCGAAATTTAAATATTAGTTTTTAATTTCTCACGCTTTTTAGGCTGATGATTCAATTCGATCCGAACCGAAACGTAATGCCTCATTAGATAAGCGACCAGTACCGCAGGTACAAAATACAACACTAATAATAAAATTTAATCAATTAAAATTTTTTAATATGCAAAATTGGTTTATTTCTTTATTTTTAATTGGAATAAAAGTATATTTTGGATTTTTTTTCTTGTTTACAATAGTGGGAAGCTTATATAAGACATGAAACATCTGTTGAAACTTCAATAGTCAAAGATTTAGAGGTATAGAGTAATACTTACATACATATTAAAGAAAAACATTTTTTAAACAAGAAAATTAATTGAATTGACAGTAAAAATTAATTTTTTCAAAATTATCGTATAGGATACTTTGAGTCGTCGCACATCTATTGACACACTTATCGATGAGGTACTTATATAAACAATATTGGAATTAAACATTTTTTTTAATACTTTGTTTTTAAAATTATAACTTTTGCAGGATGATATGAAACCTGAACGCAGAATTTCTGTTGATAAAACTCAAACTCCCAAGGTACAGGCAATTGAACACAACAAAATATTTATTCATTTATTTATTCGAAAGTATCAAATGTCCTGTATAAATTTTTTTTTTAGTTTTTCATGAAAGCTTACTATTATTAAATTTAAATTATTAAAACGCATATTATTAATAAGGAAATAAATGAACTTCATTTTGATAATTTTCATTAATTTTAGAGAGGATCATTTTCGAGAGATAAATCTCCTATTAAGGAAAAAAATAATTTTATTAAGGTATACATAACATTTTACATGTACACTCACACTTTTCAACTCATATATATTCTCCTTTGCTACTAAATTTTTGGAAAAAGTGTAAATCACTTTTGAAAAGTTCTTCAAAGCATCGACATCATTTTTGACAACTTAATAACATTTTCTATCTCAATATAAAAATTCTATTTTGATATTAATTATAATATTTTCATTTTTCTAATAAATTTCTTTCTTCTATATAAGGTCTTTCAGCTTTTCAGGAAAACTCGTAAATACAATAATTCAACTATATTGCAATCTTTTTATATTCTAAAAACTGTTTCTCATATTTATACATATATTTATAATGAATTAATATTTTTTACTAAACAGAAAAATATTTAACTTCTTTCAGGATGAACCAATCACTAAACGTAAACCCAGTCTACAGAAACCACAAGAAGAAAAGGTACACTTTTTGTGTATACTCAGCACTCACACATTAACAAATTTTTAATTTAAAGGAATTTTTTCCTATATTAAATATATTGGTTTTTTTTAATATTGTAGGAGGATACTTCGGTAAAAACTAAAATGACAACACGTGACACGATAGAAGAAAAGGTACAAAATACAAATAACACAAAAAATAGAATTTCTATACAATACTCAAATTTTTTAATTACTTATCTTTTTACACGTTTACGTCTTGCAGAAACGAGATTCTATTAAAAAAGCCAAACCTATTACTGAAAAACCGGAAGAACCAAAGGTACTAAAAAAATACTTGTCAGTCATAATATTTACGAAATTATTAGGTTTCAATAATTAAATCTAATCTATAATTAGCTGGTAAATACACATATACCCCAATAAAATATATATATATACAAAAGCCTTCAATTAAAAAAATGAGTTAAAAAATTATATTAGAATTAATCTTTTAGAAAGACGAGCCAAAACCAAAAGACAAACTTACAGTTGATGGTACTAATGGAGTAATTGAGGTACACACAAAACAAATTTTGTTTCTTATATAACTTAAATTAATCAATTAATAGATCATTCTTAAGTATGGATGAATTAAAGATCATTATAAATAAAGGATAATTTTTTAAAAATAAATTTTCGTAACCTAATATTCGAAAAAGTTTTTTTATGTGTAAACTAAAAATCAGGAAACTAAAATTTTTGATAAATTTAATAATAATAATAATAATAATAATAATAATAAATAATGAACAATAACAAAACAAATGTTTGGTATTTTTAGGACCAAGCACCAACTAAACGAAAACCATCAATTGGCAAACAAATTGAACCCAAGGTATCTAATAATTTCAAAATTTTGCACTATTTTTTGTTAACAAATTTTCCATCAATTCGTAAAAATATAATTAAAGAACTAACAGTAAAGCATTTTGAATCTTTTAATAACGTTTACGATTTAATATAATGACAATAACAATTGTATTAATTATCGATTTTATCGGTGATTTTAATTAATTTATTAACTTCATAAATAATAAAGTTCTAATCTTAATAAATTTATTTAAATTTGTTTATTTCAAATCAGGCTGGAATATAATATATTTTAAAGTTCTGCCTGACTAAAAAATTGTTATTCTACTGAAAACTTGGTATTGATGCCTTACATTTGAATTCTTTTTCTACTTATTTATCTTTACTACTTTTCGATTATGCCTGACGAATACACTTTTATTCTACTTTAAATTTCTGGTGGCTATGTCTGACACTTCATACTTTCTTCTACTTGATTCTCTTCAGTCGCCTCTGTTCCTATACGAAAATCTGTCTCTTTTCTATTGGAATCTTTTTTCATTCTCGCAATTAAAAAAAAAATAAAATGAATAAATTTTTACACTAATTGGTATTTTTAGGAAACACCTACACCTTCACGACGAACATCCACACTCACTTCTGCTGACGATAAGGTATCAAAATTTATCGATCACATCCAAAAATTGAATATTTATTTATTTTACAAAAAATTCTGAAAAAATTTAAAAAATTCTAAACTACAAACACCAATTTTAGGAAAACCATGATATATCCCGTAAATCTTCTATTGCGCTTATGACAGACACTGAGGTACTTAATTTACATTTTTGTCGCATTACTTAATTTTTTTAAAATTTTTATTATTTAAAAATTTTGTGAATATTATTTTTAATGTGTATTTGTAGGAATCACGCGCTTCTTCTCGTAAATCTTCATTCACTTGGCCTGAAGAAGAGGTATACTCATATTTGTTTAATATTTTTTAGCATATAATTTCTTTTGAAATACATTATGAAATTCTTTTTTTTAGGATATTTATGTACCGTCAGTCAAACATTCAATAATAGAGGTACTATAGTCTTTTTTTAATTGTTTTTATAATTTTTTAATTTATAAATTATAAATAAATATATCAATTTCGATTTTAGGATGTAAATGATGCATCGCGTAAATCTTCCATTGCTCAAATAACAATATCAGAGGTAGATAGTATATTAAATTATTTTTTTTAACAATTATCTTCTTCGTTTTATGTATTTAATTATTTCGGAGACGAAAATCATTATTGAAAATTTTTACGTTTATAGGAAACTCGCGATTCTTCTCGAAAATCATCCTTTAGTTGGCCGGAAGAAAATGAGGTACACAATTTTGTTTTAATGAAATTAATTTTTTTTCATAAATATTTTTTAAATATTCTTTAAAAGTAAAACATTTACAATTATAGGACATGTACGTGCCATCACACAAACTCGAACACAAAGAGGTACTTTTAACATTTTTTTTATTTTTATTTTTTAAAAAGAACTTTTATTGAAAATCTTTTTTTTTAATTTTAATTGTTCTTCATTCATAGAAAAATCTTATAACGCCGCGTAAAGATTCATTGGCAATGGATGAAAAACCAAACGATAAAGAAGTTACAAAAGATGAAGAGGTACATATAAAAATATTTTTATTTGTTATTTTTCATAAATATATTTTAATAAATCGAAAAAAAAATAATAGGCATTTCGTAAATTATAAAAAAAGAAAATTTCAAATTGGAAAATTATGTTTGTAGGAAAAGTCGAAATCTATAAAATCATCTCTTATTTCTTCAGATGATAAAAAGGTATAGAGTTATTATATTTTGAGTTCATACATTTTTTTAATTATAATTTTTTATAATTTTTACAAATTATAATAATGTAAATAATAAAATAACACTTTTGGTGACGTAGGTAAAGAAAAAGGTTGTTAAGAGAACAACCGTCAAGAAGAAAAAGGAAGAGGTATAAAAATTTATTTTTACTTTTTTTTGTAAATATATTGATGATAATTGGAATAATTATGACAATATTGAATTTTTACATATAGGATAAAGATAAAAGTACGAACGGTTCTTCTCTTCTGGAACCAGAAAGTGAAAAGGTAGTTAAAAAAAAATTTCATTCAATTCCAATTATAATATTATCAAAACTTGTAAACAATATAAATATTGATTAAATTTTTAGGAAAATGATAAACCACGAAAATCTTCTTTTAATGAAACGAAAGAAATTGAGGTAATTTATAATAATATTTTTATTTTATATAAAAATATAACGTAAACAGTCGAAAATTATTATAAAAATGAAATGTCAGATAAATATAGCTCCCAGACAAGAAAAATTAAATAAAGATATTTAATTTTAAGAAAAAATATGTAAAAAAAGAATTTAGTTTTTTAAAGTGACTTTTTAGATGAATTAATTTAAAAGAATAATTTTCAAATTAATATGAGTTTTTAATACAAATAATTAAAACGATTAATTAACAATATAGTAAACTAATAATCAGCTAATTAATAATAATTTAATTAACGGTAACATAAATCAATGGTTCATACGAAACTTACTATTTTAGAAGGATGAACCTGTAAAACCAAAGACAGACATTGGCAAAAAAGAAGAACCAAAGGTACAAAAAATTCCAGTAAAAAATTTTTAATTAAATTTTAAAAAACCATAAAGTTAAATAAATCTAAAAATATCTTTTATGAAAGAAATAAATATTATTAAATAAGCGAAAATTTATATTTGACACTATGAATATTTTAGGTTGAACCTTCGACGAAACCTAAAACAACTCTAAGTAAACCTGAAGAACCCAAGGTACCTAAAGTTTATAATTTTTTTTTAAAACAAATTACCTAAATATTATACGTAGGGAATATTTTGAGGAAATAGTTTTTAAAGATTTAATTACTTTTTAGACTGAACCGGTTCTTAAACAAAAGGCTACTCTTGGAAAACCTGAAGTACCTAAGGTACCTAAACACAACCAAATTCTCATTATCTCACAACAATGCTAATTAATAATCATTAGTCTCACATTATATAATACATAAATGTCATCAATATTAAAAATTCTTATTTAAAAAAACACATTTGCACCTATTTTCAGATTTTAATTACTTTGCAGGAAAATTTTGAATGATTCGCAAGCAGTAGCAGTATTCAACTAATTTTTTTATTTTTATCTTTTATTAACAGCACTGAGCCAATTAATTTTAATCTGTTAATTCTTCTCTAGAGAATAATTTTCTCAATACTTAGAAAAAATTTTTCCCAATTGTAAGTCACACGAAAATTTTTCATAAGCATGTTCTTTATATTAAAATTAATTGATTTAAATATTTATTATTTTGTTAATTTGACAAAACTTTTTTCTGAGTTATTAATAATAAAGAAAACAATATTTAGAAAATTCACAGCATATTGAATGGATTTTAAAAGTAGTTGAATAATAATTTATATAATCTTGCTAAATATGCTCTCAATTGCCACTGATGCTCAAATTAATCGATTTATTATTTGCAGGCATCTAGAAACATCATCATTTCACCCTTCTATTATAAAAAAAATATTTTGCAATATTTACAACTAAATGAATTTTTTCTCTTTTTACAGAAAGATGACGAAATTAGAAGAACCAGTCTAAAAACCACAAAGGTAATGTTTATGTTAATTATTACTTATTTTTTAAAATTATTTTTTAATATTCTCATACATTAGAATAATCCTAAATTTTACATTTTCAGACCCTTGAAGAGGAGAAGAAGGGCTTAAACAAAGTGGAATTGAAAGTGAGTCTTTACAACTTTACATTAATTAAAATCTTGTGAATTATCTCGAAATAATTTCACTTGTTAGTTTGTATTGAAAAGTAGTTTTGTGATAGTTATCAATGTTGTCTTGTCTTTATTTAATTTTAAGTAATCACATTTTTACTCAAAATACCACAAACAATCATTTAAAATTCTCCGAAAAAAATCCAATGATGCAAGAAAAAAGAAAAACAAATTCCAATAATTTTTTTCGATTTTTTTTATATACATTACACACATAATAATGAATATATTAAATACAGAAGGAAAACAACACTGAAGAAAAACGAAAGCCGGCAAGACCACCTAAACAGGAAGTAAAGGTTGAAAGCTTTCAAGCAATTCAACTGAAACCTGTTAAAAAATCTGTGAAAGAACCCGAAAAAGTTGAAAATGGCACTATTGAACTGAAGGTATCCTGTAAAAAGGGGCTGCTGTATTTTTTTTACATTCTCTCTTCTCTGTGAAAAAATTTTCCCTTTGTTCTATATACTGACTTCTTGATGATCATTATGTATATCTTCTTTCGCCTAAACTCAATTTCTTCGTTTTGTCACTTAATAAGCGGCCTTCCTTGTCTACTTTTTCTAATTTCTATTATATAAGAGGCTCTTATCAACAATGTCTCTATTTATGTATTTCTTTACTTTGTTTATTTACCACATTTTTCGTTTTTAAGAGTCTAACTAATTGAGTTGTTAAATATTTGTTAATTTAAGTAAAATATAATTACAAATTTTCTAATAACTAATTAAATTAAATTATTAATAAATTTTATTTTACATTTTTGTAGATTTTTTTATAAACGTTTATTTATTGCACCTATTAGAATTTTTTAAAATTGACTTTTTTTGAGCTTTCTCTCTCTTTCTTTAATTTTCTTTTATTTCATTGGCTTTAAATAATTTTGTTTTAATGCTAATGATTTTTCTTGTATATACATACTTAAAAATTGTTTCTTTATCTGCAATCTATAAAATATCGTTTCATCTGAAAAATGTAATATTTGGGAATCTACGCACATTTCTTCTTCGACTTACGACCTTCTTCAGGAGCTAGATTTTCTTTCTAATTTTCACCCTTTGTACACTACTTTCACACACAATGTACATAATTTACTCAAAAAACCCTCACCTAATATTTTGTGTTTTAAAAAGTGACACAAAAGCTGTAAAAATATCTACCACCTGAACCTATATATAATTCTAGCTAAAACTATTTCTGCGAATATTTCTACATAAATTTAATTGAAAATTCGAATTGCAACTAATATATAATAATTTACTATGCATTTTTACACTATTTTGAAGGTTTAATGAAAAGTAATTTGCAATACGCACTTAATCAACGTAATTCTACATAAAAATCATTCTCAAGCTTTTATCCTTTCTAAATAATGTCTATTACTGACAAATCTTTTATACGAATAACGAAAATTCCTTTTTAAAAGTGAATAATCTTTATTAAAATTAATTGAACATAATTTTTTTTTATTAAATTTTGTTAACAAATATTTTTTTTCTCAGAAAGTCGATAAACCGGAGAAGCAAGAGATCAAAAGGGTTAAAGCACCGAAGGCATCGAAACAAAAGGACTATGAACTTCCTGAGATACCGGATTACGAAAGACCAGTTCTTGAAAAACCGCAAGAATTTGAATTCAGTGAATATGCTGGACGGGATAAAACGAAACTTGACAGACCTACGACCCAGGTAATCAATCAAATTTTATTTCTCCTTTTGCACGGAAAACATTTTCTTATAGTATTTTAATTTTTTATTTTTACTTTTTTTTTAGAATGTTTTTTATATGTTTAGAGAATGTTTTTCAAGGTAATGATGAACTGATACCTGAAAAATTAGACACCAATGTATATATAAAATAGTCATAATGAGAGTATAGTTTCTAAAAGGAAGGTTGCCACTATTGGATATGATTCAAAAATTCAACTTTGAGATTTTCAAATACTGAAAAGATTGATTCAATAAATTTTAAATTTCCAAGAAAAAAAATTGTCATTGAAAAGATTTTAAAATTGTTTAAAATTTATTTATATTATTTCAGATTTTATATATTGCGTAAAAGTTGATTTTTTCTAATAGTGGAAATTGATCCTTCCTTGAAATTGTTTTATTGATTAGCATTTTTTATTAGATTGTGTGTAATTTAGTATCTACTTGTGATAATTTAAGAAAAATCTTGTTGGATTTTATTATTGTCAGAGGATTACTGGCAAGAGAAATTTTATATTACTGTTTTCGTGAAACAAATTTTTTTTTTCAAATTTATTTTTTGAATAAAATTCAAGGTTCATTTTTAAAATAATTTTCCAAATCACACACAAATCATATTAGGAAATATTTTCCGGGCAGAACAAATTTTCAAAATTAGAATCAATTATAATGAAGATTTTCTTCTTTTACATGTCAACGAACAGAAATTCGATTCAAAGGTGAGTTGAAGTGTTCGAAAATTGCGAGAATTTCAAAAAATTAAAAAAGCTTTTTTGACTCAAGAGAGAAACCGACGCAAAAAAAAATTGTTTTGTTTATTTAATTTTTATACAAAAAAGGGGATGATTTTATTTTTTGGCACGACTGCTGATTAAGAGAGCAACTAATCCTGCTTCATTCAATGATCGTGTGTCAATGACAGCTTAAACTTTTGAATGTTGATCCCTTCTTAATATTAATCAACTCATTCTTTCCACTACCTTTTGACTCCTTTTTTCCTTTCTTTTAAATAAACACAAATATGAGACAATTTTCTTGTTGGAGTTAAAATAATCATCAATTAAGTTATCTTCACGAGAAAATTATCCGCACGACCAGAAACCGATGATTGGCCGGCCCCAAATCTTTTGAATAATTTGGCACACGTGTAAATGATGCTTTGCGTAGAAAACTATTTTTGCAAATATCTCGCCATATCTCTCGTTTTCTCCCCTTGATTGCAATTCCCCCCGAGACCCTCTATAATACGAGAAGTGAAGGCAAGAAGGGGGACAAAATGTTGAAAATGGCCTTCGCTATTTTTGGAAATATATTACGACCACTTTTAGTCGGGACATGCAAACTGGCAGGTCACTCATCGTCCCTCTGTTCTGTGTCTCATTGGTCTCAGTTTAATTTCCATCGCGATTGCCATCGAATCATTCTCGAGTTCGTCGATCGGTTTTTCTCTCGAGGTCACACGCTTCAAGTCGCTATTGCCAAAAAAAAAAAAATTTTTTTTTAAAAAAAAGATTGTTGGCCATTTTTTTTAAGTATATACTTTTTTTAATATAGCCAAAAGTACCGGAAATAAAGACACCTGAAATTAAGGCACCCGAGATTAAAACACCGGAAGCACCGAAGATCGAGGTCAGCAAAAACGTATCGCCAGTTCCTAGCAGGAGGGGATCTATTATAGTTCCACCAGGAAGTGGTTCTGGTAGTCGACGAGGATCCCTTATTCCTCCTGAAGAATTAGGACGCAGACCCAGTCTTATCATCAGTGACGAGGTATGTTTTAAATTTTTGATATTTATTTCAGTAAGATTTTTACACCGTGTGGATCATTTAAAAACAGAGGCTCAAGGATCTAGCATTTTTGCGAAATTTGTACAATTATAGTGAATTTTTATTTTATTCATCAAATATTCAACTTAATTAGGAGTTTTCTGTTCATTTTTTTATTTCTATTATTTATTTAATATTAATTAATTGTCCTTTAGCCTTTGATTTGAAAGTTACCATCAGATGATCGATCTCGTTGAAAGATTTTGAAACTTTAATATAATTTCGTACAATCAAATAAAAGGAGATTAATCAACTGATTTTGTACTTGGTACTCGATTGTTTTTCACATAAATTCTTGATTTCAGTTAATTAGTCTCAAATTTTATGAAAAAATTAACAAATTTAGAAAATATTCTTTTTATTAAAAAATAGTAGTAATTTTTTTTATTTTGAAAAATGCAAATTTAGAAATTGGAAATGCTTAATTATTGAGCGTGTCTGTTGAAAGCACTTTTTCTTGGATATTGTATTTAATTTGAATAGATTTAGCAGTATTTACATTACTTTAGATTATTTTTATATAGTTTACTAATAAATATTATTAATTACTAATTGTAAAATAAATACTGATAGTATATATACTAAACGTATGGACATGCATTATTGAAAATGTAGAATTTTGTTTAGAAAACAAAACAATAATTTGTAAAATCGAGTGATGCTTTCGAGTGCCAAGTACAATTAATTATTAATTTAATTAAGTAATATTTGTAGGAAGTAGAATGTCGAGATAGTCCTAGGGGTTTTTTTTTATTAAGTTTGGTTTCGTAGTTCAGTGATCTACTCGTTCAAGTCTCAATCTAGTCAGCAATTAATAATATATCTAAATCATAATTTAGTAAACAAGTGATGTCCCTTTTTGTTTTAAAAACATAAAAAAAAAGTTCTTTTTTTTCTGTATCATTCCTGACAAGCAAAAGTACGTCTCTCAGTGTACAAATTTTAGATTAGAGAATAATTTCCTCTTGTATACGTTATGTCTTGTTTTTTGTTTCTCGTTTTCATCCTACTGTGCAATATTGAATTCCAAAAAACAAATATTCCAATTTTATCCAATTGCAAAATACATTTCGCGATCTCAGGCAATTTTAACAGGTTTAACAGGATCCATGCGGTATACAAGAAGATACCAAGAAGAAGAGGATAAATGGAGAAAGGAAGATATTGATCTCATTTTTTACTTTCTGACATTCACAAAACTGATCGCTCAATTTGCATATTAAGATATTTAAAATTTTAAACAATTTCTTTATTGAACAAATTTATTTTTGTATATTTTTTTATTTTCCCCATTTTATATGTGACTTTTTATTTTTTCGAAAATTAGGGAAACTTTTAACTTAGTTAATATTTATTTATTGATAAAAGTAGATTTTAAGCAGATTGATCGATTAATGATTTTTTAAAAATAAATATTCTGTACACAAGCACACATACACGCAGCGTTTGCTCATAACGATTTGATTCATAGGAGAATAGAAAGCTGCGCCCTGGTGAGGTGGTCGATGAGCGCATGAAGGTGAGAAACTTCTTCAATTTGAAGAAGAGAATGATGCCTCGTCTGCAACCTTCTTCAAACTACTCCACTTATCGAGCATTGCACTTTTTCTGACACTTACTTGCCTTCTCACTCATATACACTTACAATTTTTCTTCTTCTTTAGATGTCTTCCACATTCACACTCACTCATGCCAAGACACCATTTGATCTTCTATTCTATTGTATTTATTTTTATTTTATTTTTATTCACTTAAAAAATTCCTGGTTTATATAGATATTTAATTAATTTATTTGTTTATTTTATAATTATGCATTTTTTTTAAATTCTGTTCCTTTTTTCTGCTATGTATTTATTATTTTTTATTAATTTCTTTTTTATTATCAATTGGGTTTTGAAAGATTTTTCGCAATTTTTGTTTTCTTTTTAATTACTTTAATTATTTATTAAAATCGATTTAGAGTACTTTGAAAAATTTTAATTCAATAGTGCAATTTTGTTATATTGCTGTAAATATATTTTTTTAATTCACATAAAAAATTGACAAAAAGACAAATGATCTCTTTGGTTGTGCCTGCTCGTTACTACCACTATCAGTACTATTCATCGACAAATTTTTAACAAACTATGCACGAGCTCGCACGTTAATTTATTATATTATGTCACACGGAAAAATGAATTGGTTGTATCTCACTGTAGTTATGAGCAATATTTTACTTCTGTCTTGAAAAGTTTTTTTAATTTTCTTTCAATATGAAATTTTAGTTTTAGTAATTTTATTTATTGTTTTAAATGTGTTATTTTAAAACTTCTCGCAGTAAATTGGTATAAATTAATAAAGATAAATCATTAAATAATTTAAGTTTTAATTAAAATTTAATTTAATTGAAAGTAAATTTTTTACAATTATAAAAAATGTAAATTTTTGGAAAAAAAATGAATTGAAACTAGTATTCTAATAAAATTGAATATTCGAAACAAATTATGAACATAATTTGCGAAAGATAATTTTTTTTGTAAACTTGAGAATTTCTCGCACACTTTAACTTTAATTGAGATCGAAGAAAATCGGTGATTATTTTTGGTGGTGCCGGATGGCAATAAATTGGCGTTAAGTGATGAGAGATTCAACTGTATTTATTGCTCGTAACTATAGATCTAGTTTCTGTTTACCAAAACAAGACAAACAAAAATTTACTAGTTTAAATGAGAAATGCCAAACAGTGCCCCCGCAAGTAGCGCACGGAATTCAAAGTCAATTCGGGCTGCATGCCGAAATTTTATACTAGACGCTCGTCACTAGATTTTAATTCATATTAATCAAAAACAAAAAAAATAAATTTTTTGATTAGAACTCGAAAAGTATACATTCTCAAATAGCGACATTGCAATTAAACTGGAACAAATTCAAGAATCAATGCGCGGAGAAGAACTACATAGAATTAATAAACTTTATCGTTTAATTTTATATATATTCAAATGATTTTCCCAAAATAGAACAATTTTTATATTCATAGTGCCATTTGGCACCTGCCGGTTATTTTGATTATCCATTCACCATTCAAATATTTTGAAAACATTTAATTTCATATTGGAAATAATTTTTTTAATTCGTCGACATTATTGGTCATTAATTTTCTTAGTGCTTTTCAAAATTATTTGTGAAATGCAAAATAAACTTTAATTATCTTTTTTATTTTTTCAAATGTTTAATTTTGGAGAAATTGCTTAACTTGACATAAAATGAAAACATTGTTAGGAATAAGTCTAAAGATTGGAAAATTCAATACAGTGTTTAAATGATAATATATCGTGTCTGCACTTGCTTCGTGAAAATAAAGCCGTAATGCAAAATGTTGGCCAAGTTTTATCGGCTTACGGAGAGTAGGAAATATCTGGTGTACAGCTATGTCTTCCGAAATGCATGTTGGCCTGTCTGATTTGTCAAGCTAATTAGATTTAATTTATCTTGCTTTTAATAAGGCACATTTTCCACATCAAAATGAAATGTAATTTCATCATGCAATTTCGCGATATTTTCTTCAAACTTTTGCCAACAAATAAGACAACAATTCATAATTCAGATTTTTTATTTTTATTTTCTTATATCAAATATCTACTCTTTTTATTTAGTATAGTTTATCTAATTTTGAGAAATATATGTTATAAAAATTGTACAAAATCTATCAAATTAAAAAAAAAAAAAAATTTTACAATAATCTATCAAGAGCAAAAAAATATTTTTTTATGAAAAACTTGATGATCCATTTCAGAAGAAATTTTGCGAGTGAATCATCGAATAAGTAATTCTATCTGAAATTGGCAATGACACGGATCGTTTTAATGTTCACGATTTGGCAAACGTTGTTTGTTGGACAATGCTGTTGAAGACGCTGGTTGACATTAACAAGTGATTAAAGCAAAGTTAACAATGTGTAGACAATTTATCGAACACATACAATTTTCCTGTTGGTACTCGGAAAGAAGTGATTTATTATTCGTTATCAAAATATGTCAGAATTTAGAGAGAAATGAAAAATTAAGACATTTTATTTTAAAAAACAATTTATAGTCTATTGTAAGGTAATACTTAATTTCCACTACAACGGGACAAAATATAAAATAAAATTAACGAAAAGCAGTTTCTTTAAATTACTATCGAGAATACTTTTCGAGTTCATAATCGAAAATTAATCACTAAAAAGAAACAATTAATTAATTCTAATCATTTAATCGGAATGGTTCCATTTAATAAGAATGAGAATGAATTCGGTTAAATTTTAAAAGTGCAATCTTGACCACTAAACGCATATATGTACAGTTACCACCATACAATCACAATTACATCACAAGACAAATATTTTTTATATCATATATGAAATTTGATTTTTTTTATTAATTAAAATATTTTACTAAAAAATAAAAATTTTTGAATGATATTTTAAATTATTAAATTCAACATGATATTAATAAAAAAAATAAGTATTTTTTAGTTACTCTTCTTTTTTTTGATTCGAGAATTTTTATTTTTTAATGTGTAGTTTAGAAATCGCATTGTGGAAATTGGTTTAGCGATATTATTATTATTATTAGTAGTAGTAGTAGTAATCACAATCACATTTCGTAAATAGATCATGAACAATCATCGAATTCCTGCGAATCATCTCGGATCATTTTTTGGGGGTCATTTGTGACGTTTCCTGTTTTTTTAAATTGTTGTGATGTCAATCGATATCTTTAAGATCGTTACATTCAAATCGGGAGCAAAACTAGAGTGAAAAATAGAATTTAATTTATTCATTTTTTCGCAAAAATGTTATTCTTACAGAAAACTTGTATACAAAATTAGTAAATTTCTAATCAAAAAATAATATTTAATTCTCAATATAATAATTGTAAAAAAATTGTTTTTCAGGGGTAATAATAATTTTTGTTTACTTACAAATTTGTAAAACTTTCATTTTCTATATTAAAAATTTGCTCGCGATGTTGAAGTAGCGATTGAGGGCTTCAAATATATTAAGAAAAGTTTCTTAATTCAAAAAAAACCAAAAAAAAGAAAAAATCCACTAATTGTTCATTCTCGTCTCTGTGATTTTCCACAGGCGGGAAAGTTACGTCCCGGCGAGGTGTTAGATACCAAGGTGAGATTTGTGTTCGCTATAACACAAAGCTTACCAAATCATACCCTGCAATAATTTTTTTTTCCTCTCATTGTCATTCATTTTCAATTGACCACATTCGCAACCATTAATTCAAAAATTTTATTCACGTATTTGTCATTATGCAAAAGAAGGGAAGAAAAATTTTATCAGAACAACAAAAGTGTACAAATTTTGTGCATCTCTTATTTTTTTCTCTCATTCTAAGGCAATTTTAATTTGTTTTACTTAAAATTAATATTTTAATTTAAAAATTATTTTCTTGTTTTTTTAAATGAAAACATTTTTTCGTAAAAACTTAAAATTAAAAAAAAATGGTTCTCACAAATATAATAATAGACTGACCAAAATAATTATATCACAATCATAGCAGTTAATTAAACATTACTCATCTTTCAGTTTTTTTTTTTTTTTTTTGAGTATCACATTTTATGCAACATTGAAGTAAGCAGGGTCAAAATAAATAAAAATGCTGCTGCGGATAATCGTATTAATATTAATTAATTAAGAAATTATAATTTTAGCCTTCTTTCGAAGCTGATGCTGAATTATTGCTGCTATCAACAATGCTAATTTTGCTAATTCGCCTTTTTTCTCAGGAAACATTTACTATAACGTTTCAAAGAAACGGTAACATTTAAATATTAATTTTTTAAAATAAGCAAATAGCTAACATTTTCTTATCAACTTCTCAACCTTTTTTAAAGAGACCTTATTTTTTCACTAATTTCTCTTTTTTCCCGGAAAACAGTCCCGCGGGCGTCCTGGCGAACTTCAAGATAAGGTTAGCCATTCCAAAGGTTTTTCCTGTCTTTTTTTTTTTTTTTTTTTTTTGCAGAACTTCTTATCATATTTCAACAGTGAAGGACAATTTTCTTAAAGTTTTTTTTTAACTTTTAAAAATATTTCTTTTGAAATTATTAGAAAACTATTATGAAATTATTTAATAAGAAACTTTGTAAAAAAATTTTGAATATTTTTAAAAATTCTTTAGTTCAAGAAATATTTTGAAAGAAATAATTTATTTTTCTTTCATTTTTTAAATCCAATGATGTTGAAAATTTATTTGAACCTTTTTCTAGTTTAATATTGATGTTAGTCACGAAAATTAAAAATATTTTTGGTCCTATGAAATGAACAATTTTCTTTATTCTGTTAAATAACCAATTAAAATAAATTTAGTAATTAAATTAATTTCGAATCAGTAATTTAGTATTCATTTAAAAAAATTGAATTTCACTGATGGAAAATTGAAACTGAATTTTTCTGCATATCGTGATTAATATTTTTCATCTGGGACGAAAATATTTATATATTTTCTTGTGTAGATTGATACCTTCCATGTTTTATAATAATTTGTGTTGATATTTGTATTATAAAATTTAATGTCGTCGCTTTTATGGGACATGACGACCTATAATCTAATTTTTTTAAATGTATATTTTAGAAGTATCATATGTGTTTAACTATTGATATCAATTTCGACTGTTATTAAAAATGTGTTTAATTTTTTTTGTACACATCTATCTCATTTGTAAATAATCGTACAATTTTTTTTTTATAATATTTAAAGACAAATGATTTCTCTAACTTTCTTTCTGCGCTCCAAAATTCGCTTTTTAAAAACGGTTTAACGGTTTAACGGTTTCATTTTCAAAATAAGAGTTAAAATTCTTTGAAATTATTTATACAATTGATATAATTTAATCTTAAACTTTCGGACCAATCTTCATAATATTTCGGTAATAATTTTGTCAACATATTAAATAAAAATGAAATTTTTTTTTTCGTGTCCTTTAGCTTTGAAAATGTGAAATTATTACTCGAATCAACTATTTTTATATCTCCTGACCAACCATTTTTATTATTTTAATTCCTTCCTGAATTACTAAATCGTTTTCATTTTTTTTAAAAAGCCTGTATATTAAAAATTATTCTCTCTCACACACCTGTACTATAATTCTTTTTAATTGGAAAATTGCAATGTGGTGTGGGTGTAATATGTGGCATCCGAAGAGAAAATATTATTATTCCACTTATCACAGAGACTTCATGTGACTGGCGTGTATCCAGAATCCAATTTGCAGCTGATCATAAAATCAGAGCATGGGAACATTAATTAATACACCTTTCTGTTACACAAGGCCCGTGGGTTATAGAAAATTTTCATTAAAATGTAATTTAAGTTCTGGAAAAATAATTTCCTCAAATAATCTCACAATAGATTTTTTTCTGCTTTAAGAAAAAACTATGCTATGAAAATATTAATAAATAATATGTTTTTTAAAATAATTTAAATAATATTGAATTACAACAGTTCAAATTTAATTATTAAATAGATGATTCATTATTTTAAATTGGATGAAATTCTTATTTAATTTGATGCCGAGAATATAATATCCTTGGTCCATAATCAGAATAGCCAGAGAGAATAGGCTACATTTTCTTATAAAATATAATTGAAAATAATTTATCTTGTTGCTGTCTCAAATTTATTGTGAAAGACAAATATTTTTGATAAAATATCCTGTTGTAAATTATTTCGTGGGGGTAAAGTAAAATTTTCTGTAAAATTAATGAAAAGTGAATTAAATTCAAACTGTTTCGAAAATTCACCCACGCCACCTTCAATTTATCTTTCTATACAATCGTAATTAATTGGTAATAATAATAATTAATTAAATTTCACTCCGATTTCTATATTTAATCCGAATTTATAACTTTTGTATCCGAAAAAGTCGGAAACTGACGAAATAATTTAGTCATTTTGATTTAATTTTAAAATTTAATTTCGATTTCAATTTTGATAATTTATGATTAATAAAAGTGCAAGTCAGTTTCCAGCTCATGAAGATTATTCCAAAAATTCTAACTAAAAAAATTGCTTAAATAATTTATATTATGTGCTTTTCTATATTTATTGGTAAAAAAAAATGGAATATTAAAAATAGTTAGACCTTACTTTTGTGTTACTAGTCATATCTAAATGTTGCACTTTATGTATACATATAATTCACAATATCATTTATTCATTTTCACTTATTACAAATATACGAAAGTGATTTATATATGTTTTATATATGTACATGTATCTTCGCAAGGTATAATTCATCCATCATTTATGTATATGTAGAAATAGATAATAATCTTATATGTATTTTCACGATGGCGTACACATGTACACGACCGTCCACAATACGACTGTACAAAGTATTCCTCATGGTTATATGTGTCCAATCCAAATATATGTCAATTAACAATGCCCCCCCCCCGAAAAAAATTTCTTTATCGGCGACACGCTTTCAAGGAAACCAATATTTTCTTTTTTTTTTACATAATTTTAATACCCAAATTCGTGTTTCTAAACTGATAAAATTATTTCCAATTTATAGAGAAAAGTTATTTTTCAAAAATAGTCTAGAAATTTTATAATTAAAAATAATTATTTTAATTTTTTTAAATTCTAATGAGTAATTAAATGTGAAACTAAAATTTTTAATGATTTTTTTCAAGATCACGATTAACGGTTTATTAAATGAGAAAAGAAAAATTGGTCCCTGAAATCGTCGTTGCCGCAAATCACAACAAATACTGACCCCCCTTGTGGTAACGGAAGCACCTTGATAATATTTGTAACTAACGATATCAGCTATATCATAGTGGTTAACAAAAAGTGACTGACAAAACTTATTAAATAATAATTAACATATGGCAACCTTAACACGGGAGAGTGATTAACCCGATCGATGACATGATCAATAAAACGTCCTTGAGACGTGACTAATAAACTGTATATATTTATAAAAAAAAAACTGTATAATTTTAATGACTTTTGCGATTTTTACGATTTTCTATTTTCATTGTTTCTATGTATAAATTTTCTGATTCCTAATAATTTAATCTTGTGCCTCAATTATTTTTCCTCTAAGCTTTTTTACACTGTTCTTCATTTCTTATTAATTGTAATAATAAAAATGATTAATTAATCATTATTAGTAAAATGCTTTGATTCAGAAGGTAAGTCCATTTTTTTCATGAGGTCGCAAAAGTCATTTTTCTTGCTTAAAGTTTCTTGTAGAGAAGCTTTTTATATTTGTTAAGTCGAAAAAGTGATTTTACTAATTAATTGTTTTCATGATTGAAACAGCGACGTCGTCCGAGTGCGGACGTTAGAAGACCAAGCGTGGCGGACCTTGAGAGTAAAATCAACAAGCCAAGTACACCCCTTCGAGATGTTGGAAAACCAGGACCACCTCAAATCGTCGATTATCAAGAATCTTATGCTGCCACCGAAGGTATTTTTCTTTTTAATTGCAATATTCAAATATTAATAACATATTTATTTGACATTGATTAATTACTTTTACTAAATGAAAATGTTAATTAATTTTTTCTAATAAAATGAGGTAGTAAAAAAAGTTAATTTTATTTTTTAGATCAAACGGCGGTACTCACAGTCGAAGTCGAAGGAACACCGGCACCAACATTCAAATTCTATAAAGGCATCACTGAAATCGTCGAAGGAGGTCGATTCAAATTCTTTACAGAAACTGAAACCAATACCATTTCTCTTTGTATTAAAAAAGCAAAGCCTAACGATGAAGGTACTTACAAAATCGTTATCAGCAATATCCACGGAGAGGATTCGGCAGATTTGCAACTTTACGTCTCTGGTATGAATTAGTAAATTAATAAACAATATTAATTATAATCAATTATTTTAATTAATTATTAATAATGATAATTTATATTATTAACATAACTATTGTTTTCTCTAGACTCCAGTGGAATGGACTTTAGAACGATGCTCAAAAAGAGGAAATACCAAAAGTGGGGAATCCAAGATCCAGATAAGGAGCAAGTTGATCTCAAAGAAGTTGAGAAACCAATGCCTGCTCTCAAGAAAGTTGAGAGGGTAAGTTTTAATTCGCACTTAAAGCGTCTCTCAATATTAATTTTCTCCCCCTACAGAAAAAAATTCCAATGTAGTTTTTGAATTTGGTTTTAATTCAGGTAGGAAAAGTAAAGTAAGTTGAGTTTGGAAAAAATAGATAAATTGGTTGGTAAATGATTTTCGATGAACTTTTTTCGAGTGACAATGATGTCCCTGTATTCGTTCTTTTTTAAGTCTTCGTATTTTCCAGTGGATTTTTGTGTAGCACGAAATTCGATGCATCTGAATTTTTTTTTATTTTAAAAAAAGATTCCTTTACTAACTCATTTTTTTAAAACATTCTTCTTTTCAGGAAATAGGTATTATTATTATTAGGATGTTATGTAAACTAAATTAATTTATTATTTATCAAATGTACACAATTTATGTTGCAAGAATTTTGCATTTTTGAATTCATGTTATTTTTTGTGCATTTTTTTTTCTGACAATGGTTTTGTTAGTTTTTCTTAAATTCGTGTCTATGTGTTACAATTTTTTGTCCAATGTCCAATTTTTTTTCAATTGAGTGTCTTTGAACAAATGTCTTGAATCAAAAATAAAATAAGAATATGAAAAAAATACCAAATGTAGGGAAAAAAGAATGAGAAAGAGCACAAAGACCACCTTTGCCTTTATTCCACAAAAATTCGTGGACAAAGTGAAGATATTTTTGTTTCTTTTCTTTTTTATTTTATTTTTTAATTTTAGGTATTTCAGTTTTACTTATTTTTATTTTTAAATGTCAAGTTTTGAGCACAATTGCAACGTGAATATTAAAAAGTTTAAAGTATGAACAAATGTATTGGTCAAAATATTATCAAAATGATTTTATTGACTCAAGCATGAATGGGTTTATTCTTTCTAGAATAGTGGATATCGTAGGCTATCATTGGCCGAAATAATTCCCGACTGGCCCGTTCTGCACCACTTCATCAAGACGGAGGTTGGACACAACGGTCAAATTTATCTGAATGTGATAATTATCTGATTAATTGCATTTATGTATAATATTCTCTCAATTTATCCAAGTTATCATTCAATTAATATTGAATTATCAAAATTAATAATTATATTACAATATTATTTCGTCTTCATAAATTTCAGCTCATGTCCTCGTTATAAAATAACTCGAAGGCTCACAACATTCAAGGACTACACATTAATTTTTAATAAAAATCAATTTTTGTAACCTTCAAATATATTTTTCTTTTTTATCTAAACTTTTCCATATCATTAATAATTCAATAATAATCTGCACTTCCATATGATGGTAATAATTTTTAAAAATATAAACGATATCCTAATTATTTCATTGTTAATGCATAAAAAATTTCTGGAATCTTCACAAAAACAATAAATAGATGTTGCATTGCATTTAGCAGAATAATTTGGCAGATTGGCTGTTAAATTAAATTTCTTTTTCTATCATCTTTTATTGATACTCGTCTATATAATCTTCTTTCCGGAAATAATCTGCTGTACTCTTCGATGTGCAGATTGCTTTAAGTGTATCGTATATATATATATATATTTCTATCAAGTGGATCTAAATTTTTTTAAATTTACAAATTTTATTTTATTTTATTAATAATTGTATTTGTTTCTTTATTTCAGATTTTTTTCTAATTACTTTTTAATTTAAAAAAATTTCAATTAATTTTTTTTTTAATTACTGTATTGTCTTTATTTATTATAATTTTACAAATTTACATCTTATTACTTTTATGGATGTCTATCATTGACTCGTTTCTCAGGATAAATGATAAAAGAAAAAATACTTCTTTTAAGGTAAAAAGAAATTTCTTAGGAAATATCACTTTAAAAGCGACCAGTTTTATTATTCTGAAAAATCCAAAGATTTTTATTCTTGATATGAATTATTTTTTTTATATAAAATCGTTCAAACACTTTTTTTAAGTGCTAATATTGAATTTTTATTTATTGAATATAGAAACAAGATTCCTTCTTGAAACCACTTGTGGACAGACATGCTAAGGAAGGAAAAGACAAAAAGGTCGTTTTCGAGGCCAATTTCTCAAAACCCAATTGCAAACCCAAATGGTTCTTCCGCAAAGATGTGAGTATTAGCGAATTTTTTTCGACAATTTTGAAATTTTCATTGCAAATTACTTTTTAATATTTCATTCTATAGATAAATCTTTTTTATTTAAGTTTATCTCGTAACTAACAAAAAAAATTATTTTGAAAGGAATTGTTTCCATCACCGAGATACAAATTCAAGAACGAGGAAGATCTTTATCAGCTTATCATCACGGGTCCTAAAGTCGACGACACTGGAAAATACACAATCGAAATTGGCGGAATTTCCTCGACTGCTTTCCTTACAGTTGATGGTAAAAAAAGTTTTCAATTTCCTTTTTTCGGAGCAATTATTTTAATTCAAACTAAATAATTAAAATATTTTCTTATTAATTTAGAGCCTGATCCTACTTACAACTTCGTCAAACCATTACCGAAGAAAACAAGTGGATTCACAAAACACGAAGCATATATTGAATGTACCGTCAGTTCTAATATGGCTAAAGTTGAGTGGTTCAAAGGGGAAAAGAAATTGGAGGTAAACAAATTTTATTTTCATTTATTAAATACAAAAATTATTTAATTAAGTGACTTAATTATTGTTTTTTGCATTAATTAAATTATTATTAAAGAGTAATAATTATTTTATTTAATTCATAAATGTTCTTAATTAATTTGAATTATTCTTTACAGGATGGAGATATTTACAGCATATCGAAAGATATGTCAGGTGTCTGTAGATTGGCAATAAAAAATGCAACTCTAGAAGACAGTGGCGAATATTCTTGTAGAATTTGCAAACAAACTGACAGAACAGATACAGTTCTTACCATTGTTGGTGAGTAAATAGAATGCTATTTAAAAATTGTTCATATTATTAATTTTGAAATAAATCCTTTCGATTGTATTCGAAAATAAAAATTCTTATTTTTCCTTCAAGAATATCCATATAAATTCGTGAAGGTCTTGAAACATCAGACAGCAACTGAAAAAGAAACCATAACTCTTCTCTGTGAGCTCGACGATGCTGCCGGTGAAGTAAAATGGTTCAAAGGTGATCAAGAAATTCAGTCCGATAAGAGAGTGCAAATAAAGGAGGAAGGAAGAAAACGAAAATTGATCATCAAAGACGCAAAAGTCACTGATGCTGGAATGTATTCTTGCGTGAGCAACGCTGACAAAACCGAAGCTGAACTTATTGTCAACTGTAAGTAAAATCAGTAAAATTTAATTTTTTCGTTAGTATTATTTTTATTTAAAAAAGTAAAAAAAAATTAATTTAAGGATAAAAAATTTTCATTTTGAGTTAAAACATTTAATGTGTATGCATTGAAAATTCCAGACTTAAATCGCTTCAATAAGAAGCTTAAGGATACAACGGCAATCGAGAGAGAGAAGCTTGTTCTTGATGTGGAACTTCAGGACCAAACGGCACCAGCAGATTGGTACTTCAATGGCAAAAAGATTGAGCCCAGCGAACGTGTTGAAATCAAGAATCTGGGTGGTGGAAAACATCAACTCGTTTTCAATAAATTAGAAATGGGAGATGATGGTGAAATTACTTGTGAGAGTGGAGAGCTTAAGAGCAGTTGTATACTTACCGTCAAAAAGGGAGAGAGTAAACCAATTCCTGAAATTCCTGACAAAGTTGAAGGTCCTTGCAGTGCACCCATCTTCTTCACTGTGCCTTACAAAAGTATGAATTACTTTCTTTTTTTATAAATAAAATACATTTTTTTAAATAACTGTATTAGCTTCAAGCTTATATTATTTAATATTTTCTTCTATTTCTCTATTTTTTCTTTTAATTATTTATTTATTTATTTATTCTGTCGAATAGTCGAAGGCACGAAACAAACACCAGTGGAGGCTAAACTGATGAAAGACGGCAAAGCTCTGCCTCTCAAGGACGTCGAAATTGTCGTTGGAGAAGACAAAATCACATTCAAGATCAAGAAGCCTCAGCATGATCAAACTGGCATTTATCAAGTCAAAATTGGTAACGGCCAGGGAGAAGAAGTTAAAGATGTTTTTGTTAACATGCAAGGTACAAATTATAATTTTATTTCTAAGAAGAAAAAGAAAAAATAAATTGTACAAAATATTTTTCTCCACACTTAAAAAAAAATTTTTGTAGAGGTTCCATCTCCACCTTTGGATGTCGATGTGAACGAAGTATTCCAGAATTCTTGTGTTGTTTCCTTCAAGCCAAGCAAGGACGATGGTGGTTCACCAATTACAAAATACGTTATTGAACGTCTTGACATGAGTCTCAAATCTCAGTGGGATAGCGTGGGAGAGGTCGCGGCTGGCGAAAAATGTGTTTACAAAGTCGAAGACCTGGTGGCAAAGAAGGAATACAAATTCAGAATCCGGGCTGTTAATAAAATTGGTTCCAGTGAACCTGCTCTCTTCGCCAAACCCGTTTTAGCCAAAGATCCATGGGGTTTGTATTATTTGTATTTCTTCACTATATTTTTATACATTTTAAAAATTTTGATCTCTAAAATAGGTATTGAAAAATTAAAAAAAAATTCTCGTCTAAACACGCATTAAAAAAAAGACAAAATGTAAATACAGGAAAATAATATTTCAGATGAGCCTGGAAAGCCAACAAATGTTGAAGTCGTTGACTGGGATAAGGATCATGCAGATCTCACTTGGACCAAACCAGAAAATGATGGTGGTGCACCAATAACGGGTTATGTCATTGAATACAAAGAGAAATTTGGAAAAGAATGGGTGAAGGGCAAAGAGATTGAGGGTGATGTGACGAAGGCAACGATCGATGGACTTAAAGAGGGAACACAATATGAATTTCGAATTCGAGCCGTTAATAAAGCTGGTCCCGGTGAACCGTCGGACGCAACGAAACCGATTATTGCAAAATGTCGTTTTGTTAAGCCCTACATTGTCGGCGATGGTCTAACGAATCTCGTCGTCAAAAAGGGTCAAGTCATCAAGTACGACATTAAATATGCCGGTGAACCGGAACCGGAAGTTCATTGGTTCCTTGGCGAGAAGGAACTTGTTCAAGATTCAACCGAGAGAATTACAATCGATAAGTACGAGTTGAACACTGTTCTCACCATTCGAAAGACAACTCGAACTGATTCAGGAAAATACAAATTGGTGTTGACCAACAGCTCCGGCACCTGTGAGAGTAAAGCAGATGTTGTAGTTCTAGGTAAGGCTAATATTCTATCTAAATTGAAAGAATATTTGAAATAATATTCAATTGTAATTGAATTGAATTTTTACATTAAATTGTTGCAGATAAACCGTCAATGCCATTGGGACCATTGAAGGCTGAAGAAGTGCGCTCTGATCACGTGACAGTAAAATGGAACAAGCCGGAAGATGATGGTGGGACAGACATCACGGGATACGTTCTCGAAAAAATGGACATGGAAACTGGGCGTTGGGTTCCAGCGGGAGAGGTTGGACCAAACGATAATACATTTACCTTCCAGGGTTTGACGCCGAAGAAAAATTACAAATTCCGTGTAAAGGCTGTGAACAAGGAGGGTGAATCGGAACCGCTCGAAACGGAAGAAGCTATCAACGCTAAAAATCCATACGGTAACTATAGTATTAATTATATAATTCAGAATAAAATAAATGAGTAAATAAAATTAATCAGTTAGTTTTATGAAATCGTGAATTGTTATTAATTTTTTCAGATGAACCTGGCAAGCCAAGTAAACCCGAAATCTTCGATTATGACAATGAGAGTGTATCATTGAGATGGAAAAAACCGGATACTGACGGTGGCCGACCAATTACTCATTACACTGTGGAAATGAAGGACAAATTTTCGCCCGATTGGGTTGAAGTAGCAAAAACTAAAGACGACAATCCGGAAATTAAAGTTGATGGGCTTAAGGAAAAAATGGTCTATCAATTTAGAGTTCGAGCTCACAACAAGGCTGGATGTTCTCAGCCTAGCGAGCCCACTGACAACCATGTTTGCAAACACAAAAATTGTAAGTTTTTTTTGTTTTCATGTGAAAAAATTAATTCAGCATACCTAAAATTAACGTAAAAATATTTTTTAACAAAAATTAATTTATTTATAATAGCTTTTAATTAAAATTCAAATAAATTCTTAATTTACTTTATTTTTAATTGTTACAGTGAAACCAAGAATCGATAGAACGAACTTGAAGTCCGTCATTATCAAAGCTGGTCGCACGCACAAATGGTCAGTTGATGTCATTGGCGAACCTCCACCAGAATGCAAATGGATTTGGAGGGATAACATTCCCCTGACAAATACCGAACGTATCAAAATTGAAAACGTCGAATATCATACCGACTTCACAGTTATTAACGCTGTGAGAAAAGATACCGGAAAATATACTTTGGTTGCTGAAAACGTCAATGGAAAGGACGAAGAAACTGTCGAATTAACCGTTCTCAGTGAGTTTTAGACAATGTTTAATATAAATATGTGATCGTATTAAAATTATAATTTTAAAATGAATACGATCTTTGATACTCATTTATTAATTTATTTTTAGGTAAGCCCGATTCACCGAAAGGACCACTCGTTGTGTCCGATGTCACGAAGACAACGGCTAAAGTCAAGTGGGAGAAGCCCGATGACGACGGCGGCAGTCCCATCAAGGAGTACGAAATCGAAAAAATGGACACGAGAACCGGCAAGTGGGTGCGATGTGGTAAAATTCCTGGCAATTCACCTCTCACTGAATTCGAAGTCACTGGACTCAATCCAGGAAGTGAATATAAATTCCGTGTCACTGCTGTCAACGATGAAGGAGATTCGGAACCCCTAGAGAGTGAACGAGGAGTCATTGCTAAGAATCCATTCGGTACGAATCACTCATATAATTATGCGGTATATTTTTAAAAAAGAAATTTTTTTTCTTTTACAATTTGAGGAAAAAAAACAAATTTTAAGATATTCAACACATGACTTATTTGGAGAAGAAAATGTGTTTTTAAAATTTTTTAAATACTTTAGATGAGCCTTTGAAACCGGGAACTCCTGACATTGTTGATTACGATAATGAATCGGTAACCATCAAGTGGGCTGCTCCAGACTTCGATGGTGGAGCTCCGATTGAAAAGTACATCATCGAGAAGAAAGATCGCTACAAACCAGACTGGGAAAAAGCTATCGAAGTTTCTGGCAGTGAGCTAACAGCGAAGGTTCCAGATTTGAAGGAAAAAGGAGAATATCAATTTAGAGTTATTGCTGTGAACAAAGCTGGACCCTCACCACCTTCAGATGCATCCAAGATGCAGATTTGTAAATTCAAAGCTCGTGAGTAATTTAGTAATTTGCAGAAATTTAATTTATCCAATAATTAATTAATTGCTACAGTTTGTGTTCATATTAATGCAAAAGACTATAAATTCTTTAAAATTATTTTCATTATCACCATATATATTTTTTTAATTTCTATGCTACTTATACGTGAAAAATTAATTAAATTATTCTTTTTTATTTAGTGAAACCTAGAATAGATCGAACGAACTTGAAAACAACTATCGTACGCGCTGGTAAGCCTATCAAGTTCGATGTTGACATTCGTGGTGAACCACCACCGGAAGTTACTTGGTACCAAGTAGGACAAGTTGTTAAATCGGAAGGCAACATTGAGATTATCAATGTTGATTACAATTCAAAATTGAATATCTCCGATTGTGTACGAAAAAATACTGGACTCTGGAAAATTAAAGCTGTCAATCCTCATGGTGAAGATGAGGCTGAAGTTGATATCACTGTGCTTTGTAAGTGCCTCATAGTAATTCAAATTCATTATTAGAAATAGCTAATAAAAATTAAATTGTTCGATTATTATTTGGTTATATTAGCTGCACCTGGAAAGCCAAAAGGCCCCCTTAAAGTATCAGATGTCACAAAGAATGGTTGTAAGCTCAAGTGGGATAAACCGGAAGACGATGGTGGAAAACCAATCACTGGTTATCAAGTTGAGAAGCTTGACAAAAATACTGGTCGATGGGTGCCCGTTGGCCGGACAAATGATACCGAAATGGATGTTAAAGGTCTGCAGGAAGGTCACGATTATGAGTTCAGAGTGAAGGCTCTCAACGAAGAGGGCGAATCTGAACCTTTAACAACCGATGGATCAATCAAGGCCAAAAATCCATTTGGTATGTTTATTCTCTAGTTTCTTGGTAGTTCAATCAATATATAAAATTGGTTGGTAAAGTCATATAAATGTAATTACTTTTAATTAAAAAAATAATTATTTATTTTTCTTAGACCTGTCTGGAAAACCTGGAACTCCCGAATTGGAAGACTGGGACGTTGATCGTGTGGATCTCAAGTGGGAACCACCAAAGGATGATGGCGGTGCTCCCATCACAGGATATATTATTGAGAAGAAAGAGAAATTGGGACACTGGGAAGAGGCTGTGATCACTGATTCACCTCAGCCGAAAGCTCGTGTTCCTGGTTTAAAGGAAGGTGGCACTTACCAATTTCGAGTACGCGCCGTCAACAAAGCCGGTCCATCGGAACCTAGTGAACCTACTAAACCTCATATAGCCAAAGCTCGTTTCCGTATGCAATTTATTTTTACATAAAATTGGCTTTTTCCTATTTTTATATGCTCAATTTATTTCTTATCGTTTTCAGTGAAACCGTTCATTAATCGTGATAAATTGGGAACCGTGAAAGTTAGAGCTGGTCAAATGGTTAAACTTGATGTCGATGTCAAGGGTGAACCTCCTCCAACAATCACTTGGAGTCTCGGTTTGAGACCCCTTGCCGCGAGTGCAAATCTTAAAATCGAAAATGAGGATTACAACACCAAACTTCAGTTGACAAATACAACTCGCAGTGACACTGGAAAATACACAATCAAAGCTGTCAATGATTCTGGTCAAGACGAAGCCGATGTGGAGATCATTATTCTTGGTAAGACTACAAATACCTAAGAAATTAAATAAACGTTTTTGTACGATATTTCTTTAAAAAAAATGTATTTAATTTTTATTGAAACGAATCAGTTTATTAAAATGAAATCCACCGATAGATAAACCTGGCAAGCCTGAAGGACCGTTGGAGGTTAGCGATGTGCACAAAGAAGGTTGCAAACTCAAATGGAAGAAACCTAAAGATGACGGAGGTTTACCACTGAACAGTTACATCGTCGAGAAAATGGACGTCACCACTGGACGATGGGTACCAGCGGGAACTGTTCTTGATCCTGAAAAAACCGAACACACCGTCACTGGCTTAGAACCTGGAAAGAAATACGAATTTCGAGTCAAAGCTGTCAATGAAGAAGGAGAATCGGAACCTCTCCAAACGGACACTTCCATTCTCGCTAAAAATCCTTTCGGTAAATTTTCCAGCTTCAAAAAAAAAAAATTAATTTTTTATTAATAATATTCTATTTATTCGATTTATTTGAATTAAGATATTAGTTTATTATTAAGAAACTAAAGTAGACATTCCGTTACAGATCCGCCACCAGCGCCAGGTCTTCCGGAGATTGTCGACTGGAACGAACACATGGTGAAACTAAAATGGGAACCACCGATTAGGGACGGTGGTGCTCCAATTACGGGTTACATTATTGAAATGAAAGACAGATTTGGCACAAATTATGTGAAAGCTGCCGAGGTAGAGGGTCCAATTTGCACCGGAATGGTGCCAAGATTAGAGGAGGGAAATCAATATCAATTCCGAGTGCGTGCTGTAAATAAAGCCGGACCTGGTGAACCTAGCGAGGCAACAAATCCTCACACCGCTAAAGCCAGATACCGTGAGTTCTCTTTTTTACATTGAAAGAGCTATCTTACTAAAAATTTAATAATACCTTTAAAAATTTCATCTTTTTTCCTGTTACAGTGAAACCTTATATCGATCGCACGAATCTTCAGCCACAAATGATTAAGGTCGGTCTAACATTAACATTGGATGTAAATATTATTGGCGAACCACCACCAAAGGTTACTTGGTCTCTCAGAGGCGAAGAACTCACCAATAATGACGAGTTTCGCATTGACAATGTAGATTATCATACAAAATTCATTATTCTTAAGACCAAACGTATGCACACTGGCAGATACGTTATTAAAGCGGCAAATGAAGTTGGTGAAGATATCGCCGAGGTGGATATAACTGTTCTCAGTAAACCTACAAAACCACAGGTATTCATTTTATATATTTATTATTTATATTCGAAATTTTTTTTATTAAAAAAAATAAACTGTAATCTGATTCCGAAATTTTAGGGACCTCTCGAAGTGTCGAATATTACAAAACACGGTTGCAAACTGAAGTGGAAGAAACCAGAAGACGATGGAGGCAGTCCAGTGGAATTTTATGAAATTGAGAAGCTCGATCCATTGTCAGGACAGTGGATTCCTTGTGGCCGATCAACCGAACCAGAAGCAAACATTACCGGCTTGTTAGAGGGTAAACCTTACAAGTTCCGAGTCAAGGCTGTAAATAAAGAAGGAGAATCTGAGGAATTGGAAGCCGATAAAGCCATTATTGCCAAAAATCCATTTGGTAATTTAAATTAATTTCTAATTAAAAAATTTATTTATATGTAATTCAAAAATGCATTTAATTTCAAATTACTCTGTAATATTAATGTTTTTAATTTTAATCGTCAGATGAACCTGGTAAACCCGGCAGACCAAAGATCACCAATTGGGACAAAGATTTTGTCGATCTTGAGTGGACTCCACCGGAGAGTGATGGTGGTGCACCAATTGAGAGATACGTTATTCAAATGAGAGACAAGGACGGTAGGCAATGGATTGATGTTACCAGCGTTCCCGGAGACAGAACAGACGCCAAAGTCAATGATGGCATTGAAGAAGGTCATGAATACGAGTTCAGAGTTGTTGCCAGAAATAAAGCTGGACCTGGAGAGCCAAGTGACACGTCAAAGAGCGTGATTGCCAAACCCCGTTTCTGTTAGTTCCACATTTATCAAAATTATCTAAACTACAAATTTAATTATATAAAAACTTTATTTATAATTAATTCTCATTTTTAACAGTGGCTCCACACATTGATCGCAAGAACTTGCAGAAGAAAGTCATGCGAGTTGGACAAATGCTACGAATCGAGGCTGACGTCAAAGGAGAACCGGCACCGATTGTTACCTGGAAGCATAATAATCTTGTTCTGAAAACACAAGATCGTCTCAAAGTTGAAAGTGAGGACTATCATACAACTTTCATTCTAAGCAAATTGCAGAGATCAGACACTGGTATTTATGTTGTCACAGCGAAGAATGACAGTGGCACTGACGAAGTTGAAGTCGAACTGCAGGTTATTATAAGATTACAATAATATTAATATAGAATTATTTATTTTTGAAATAATCATTTATGAGTGATATTAAACAAATCCATAGGTTATGAGCAAACCAAGTAAACCGAAAGGTCCACTTGACGTATCAGACGTGACAGCTGAAGGTTGCAAGCTAAAATGGAACAAACCAGACGATGATGGCGGCGAACCAGTCGATCACTATGTCATTGAACGTATGGATGTAGACACTGGCCGCTGGGTACCTTGTGGAACGAGTAAAACACCGGAAGCTGACATTAGTGGCTTAAACGAAGGCAAGGACTATCAGTTCCGTGTTAAAGCTGTCAACAGCGAGGGCGAGTCTGAACCTTTGGAAACATCTATTCCCACAACTGCCAAGAATCCTTACAGTGAGTGTAATTTGCATTTTATTAATTCCACGCGACAAACTGTAGTTTTATAAAATTGATTGTTAAAATTTTCACACACTTTTTTTTCTTGTAGCCGAACCTGACGAACCAGGAAAACCAGAATTGAAAGACTGGGACAAGCATCATGTCGATCTAAAATGGACACCGCCAAGGAAAGACGGAGGTGCACCAATCGAGAAATACATTATCGAGAAGAAAGATCAATTTGGAAAATGGCAAAAGGTTTCCGAGGTTCCGGGACATAAAACCGAAGCCAAAGTGGGAGATCTCATTGAAGGACAAAAATATCAATTCCGAGTAAAAGCATTGAATAAAGGTGGACTGAGCAAACCAAGTGAACCCAGTGATACATTAATTGCAAAAGATCGTTTTGCACCACCGAAAATTGATCGCACGACATTACGTGATATCACTGTAAAAGCTGGTAATCACATTCGTCTTGATGTGAAAGTTTCCGGTGAACCACCACCGACTAAGACGTGGTACCTGAATAAAAAGGAGCTGGAGGATTACAAGGATGGTGTCGCCATTGAAATTGAGGATTACAAGACGAAATTCGTTATTTCAGCAGCTGCTCGTTCGCACACTGGTCATTTGACTCTTAAGGCGGAAAATAGTTCCGGCAAGGATGAAGCGACAATCAGTGTGACTGTGTTGGACAGGCCGGGTAAACCGGAAGGACCACTGGAAGTTTCAAAAGTGCACAAGGAAGGTTGTAGCTTGAAATGGAATCCACCGTTGGATGATGGTGGAGTGCCAATTGATCATTATGCAGTCGAAAAAATGGACACTGCTACTGGCCGCTGGATTCCTGTCGGTCGTACATTAGAGCCAAAAATGGACGTGGAAAATCTTGTTCCTGGTCAAGAATACAAATTCCGTGTTTCCGCTGTCAATGCTGAGGGAGAGTCCGAGCCGTTGGTAACTGACGTTGGAATCATTGCCAAGAATCCATTTGGTATGTGTTATTATTGCCTTGGCCCACAAAACTTTTTTTAAACATTAGTTAATGAAAATAAATATCACACTCATTTAAATAGAAAGATTTGTGCGATGTGGCACCCTTTTTGAAGTTTAACCGTTGTAATTCGCGGAACTCACACATTTAATTTGAAATTATTTATTATCCCGTCGAATTCTGTGAAATATTATTTTATTTATTTTTGTATGTAGATGAGCCTGGAGCACCTGGTCGTCCGGAAGCAACAGATTGGGATAAAGATCACGTTGACCTTAGATGGACTCCACCTGTAACCGACGGTGGATCTCCAATCACTGGCTACGTGATTGAAAAACGCGAAAAAGGCAGTCCAAAATGGATCAAAGCTGGTGAAGTTTTTGGTCCCGATTGCAAAGGTCGCGCTGATAATTTAGACGAAGGAGTCGAATATGAATTCCGCGTCAAGGCTATAAACGCTGCTGGTCCCGGTGAACCGTCTGACGTGAGCAAGGGCATCGTCGCCAAGTGCCGAAGAAGTAAGATCAATTAAAATAAATTTCGATTATTACAGATTCTTTTCTCTAATGAGTGCTTTTTTTCTTATAGTGCCACCAAAGATCGACCGAAGAAACCTGCGGGATCTTATTGTCCGCGAAGGTGAGCCAATTCGTTTTGATGTCAAAGTTTCCGGTGAACCAGCACCGGACGTTAGCTGGTTGTTGAATAACAAAAGCATTCAGCAAACCACTTATCGTCGAGTGGAGAATGTGCCTTACAATACGAAATTCTTCAATGAAAAACCAGAGCGCAAAGACAGTGGAATTTATAAAATCACAGCCTCCAATCAGTACGGAACGGATACTGCAGATGTTGAGGTCACAGTTGTTTGTAAGTTTCGCAAAAATTTCCTACTTTTTTCTTTTATTTACAAGCAAAAAAAATTGAAGATTACTTTTTACAATAAAAGAAATCCTTGACAATTTCAATTTTCGAAATGTTAAATTTATCAAATGTAAAATGAGAGTAAAAAATTTAATTATCTCATTATCGGATGCTAGGCAAACCCGATAAACCGGAAGGTCCATTGGAAGTGTCTGACATCCACAAGGACGGATGCACACTCAAGTGGAAGAAACCGAAAGACGATGGCGGCGAACCAATCGAGACTTATTTGGTCGAAAAATATGATCCAGAAACGGGAGCTTGGGTTCCGGTTGGTAAAACTTGCGGAACTGAAATGAAAGTCGATGGCTTGACTCCCGGTCATGAGTACAAGTTCAGGGTCAAAGCACAAAACAAAGAAGGGGACTCTGAGCCCCTCGAAACTTTCGGATCTATTATTGCTAAAGATCCGTACAGTAAGTTTCCCATTGTAATTGTTTGATTTCTATTTATTATTTTTATTATATTTTTTAATTAATTTAAAAAATTGAAAGCATTCGTAGCCAACGTTTCAATATTTTTTCAGCTGTACCTTCTGCACCTGGAGCACCAGAGCCCGCGGATTGGACGGCCAACCAGGTCGATCTGGTTTGGAAGGAGCCGGTCAGCAACGGTGGATCACCAATCACTGGATACATTATCGAAAAGAAGGACAAATACAGTACCATGTGGGAGAAGGCCTTGGAGACTGATTCTCCTTTGCCAAAAGCACTTGTCACTGGCCTTATCGAGGGCAACGATTATCAATTCCGCGTTATGGCCGTCAATAAAGCTGGTCCATCTGAACCGAGTGACGCCAGCAAAACATTCACCGCTAAACCCCGATTCTGTAAGTTTCACTTTGATATTTTTATCAAAACAATTTACTAATATTATATTATTATTATTATTATTGCTAATAATTTGTTTCGTTTTCGTAAATAGTGGCTCCGAAGATCGATCGTCGCAATTTGCGCGATGTGACACTCTCTGCCGGCTCGACCCTGAAATTCGATGTAAACGTGATTGGCGAACCGCCACCAAAATGCGATTGGCGATGGGCAACGAACCCTTTGACACCCAACAAACAAGTTTCAATCGACAATTCAGATTACAACACAAAATTGACAATACGTCCGGTGAAACGCGGCAATACCGGCGAGTACACAATCACTGCCATCAATTCTTCCGGCAAAGATACCGTGTCCGTAATGGTGACAGTGACGGACAAACCCGCACCACCCGAGGGACCACTAAGTGTCACGGACGTTCACAAAGAAGGATGTCAATTGAAATGGAAGCGACCAATTGACGATGGCGGTACTCCAATCGAATACTATCAAGTAGACAAAATGGATCCAGAAACTGGATGCTGGGTACCTTGTGGACGCTCAACCGAGCCAAATCTTGAGGTAACCGGTTTGACACCTGGCAAGGAATATAAATTCCGCGTCTCGGCAATTAATGCCGAGGGTGAATCCGAACCGCTAGAGGCAGATCAAACGATTCTCGCCAAGAATCCTTATGACGAACCTGGCAAACCTGGCGATCTTCAAGCCACCGACTGGGACAAGGATCACGTCGATCTCAAGTGGAAACCACCATTAAACGATGGTGGTTCACCGGTGACGAGTTACATTATCGAGAAAAAAGACAAATACGGAGAGTGGGAGAAAGCTCTAGAAGTTCCAGCTGACATGACACGAGCAACGGTTCCTGATCTTATTGAAGGCCAACCGTACGAATTTAGAGTTCGTGCAGTGAACAAAGCTGGACCTGGCGAACCATCAGACGCCACGCCGACAATATACGCAAAACCACGTAATTTGGCGCCAAAGATTGATCGCACAAATCTTATTGATGTGCGAGTTAAAGCCGGACAGAACTTTGTGTTTGACGTAAAAGTCACGGGTGAACCGGCTCCAAAAACCACATGGTTCATTGGCAGTAAACAAATTATATCTTCAGATCGAATAAAACTCAAGGATGTTCCTTACAATACAAATTTGAATGTTCGAATGGCCACGAGGGCTGAATCTGGAAAATTCATGATCACTGCTGAAAACATCAATGGCAAGGATATTGCCTACGTGAATGTAGTCGTTCTCGATAAACCCGGTATGCCCGAGGGACCACTCAAGGTCTCGGACATCACTGGCGAGGGTTGTAATTTGTCCTGGAAACCACCTGAAGACGACGGAGGACAACCCATTGAGAAGTACGTCGTGGAGAAGCTGGACGAGACAACTGGACGATGGGTACCTGCCGGAGAAACTGACGGGCCCGAAACTTCATTAAACATTGAGGGTCTTATTCCAAATCATAAATACAAGTTCAGAGTTCGTGCGGTCAACAAGCAGGGCAAATCGGAACCGCTGGCAACAGCGGCGAGCATTGAGGCGAAAAATCCATTTGGTAAGATTACTTGATTTACTCATTTATTTTTCCTCTATGCGAGTAGAATTTCTAATTTCTATTTTGACTTTCAGATGAACCAGGGAAACCAGGAACGCCAAAGATTAGTGATTACGACACGGACTTTGTCGAACTGGAATGGAAACGTCCCTCTTCTGACGGCGGTTCACCTATTACCGGTTATATTATCGAAAAACGGGATAAATACAGTCCCACTTGGGAGAAATGTGCAGAAGTCGAGGGCGATAAAACGATTGGTCGTGTCAATGATCTTCAGGAAGGAAATCAGTACGAATTTCGTGTCAAGGCTGTCAACAAAGCAGGACCCGGTGAACCATCCGACGCTACCAAACCTCACATTGCTAGACCTAAGAATCGTAAGTTTTTAATTCCATTAATTAATATAATTTCTCAATTAACAACTATTGAGATTAATTAACAATTCCCGATTGATGAATTCCAGTGCCGCCGAGAATTGACCGCAAATACATGATGGACATCAAAGTTCGAGCCGGAAGCTTCTTCGACTTTGACGTTCCCGTCATTGGCGAACCGCCTCCACGAAAAGAATGGACTCTCAAGGGCAATGTGGTCAGTTCAACGGACCGCATTAAAATCACAAATGAGGATTACAATACGAAAGTTCGTGTTTTAGAGGCGAAACGTTCTGATTCAGGAGAATACACATTGACGGCAAGAAACTCAAATGGCAAGGACGAGGCAACATTGAATGTCATTGTTCTGGATATTCCATCGCCACCTGAAGGACCTTTAAAGATCAGCGATATTACGAAAAATAATTGCAAACTCTTTTGGCGACCATCGAAAGACGATGGTGGCTCTGAGATTTTGTACTATTCCATTGAGAAAATGGACGCCGAGAATATGCGATGGGTTCCAATCATGGAGGCATCAGACACTTTTGCCAAAGTTGAACATCTAATTGAGGGTCATGAATACAATTTCCGCATTCGTGCTGTCAACAAACAGGGTGAATCAGGGCCGTTGACAGGATTAGAGAGTATCACGGCTAAAGATCCATTTGGAAAACCAGAGAAACCTGGTGCGCCAGTGGCGACGGATTGGGACAAGGATCATGTTGATCTTGAATGGACGCCACCTAAGCGCGATGGCGGATCACCGATCACGAGTTATATTATTGAGAAGAGACCGAAATTCGGCAATTGGGAGAAGGCTGCCGAAGTTCCGGGAAGTATGACTTCTGGTCGAGTGCCAGATCTCACTGAGGGTCAAGAGTACGAGTTCAGAGTCATTGCTGTCAATAAAGGTGGACAGGGTGAACCTTCCGATGCTTCACTGCCGATCGTTGCGAAACCACGCTTTCGTAAGTTGTTGAAATTCGTATTCAAAATTTCAATCATTTTTAAAAAATAATTAAGGAAAATATTGTAAATTATTTTTTGCTTGTCTAACGATAGATAATTTTCTTACAGTTAAGCCAAGTTTCGATAAACATATGCTGCAAGATATGGTTGTCAGAGCTGGTCAAAAGATTGGCTACGATATTCCTATTGAAGCATCACCAAAACCTGTTGCTTCGTGGACAATTAACGGTGTTGACGTTCTTGCTGATGATCGTCACGATATTTTTACTACCAATATTAATACCAGTTTTGAAATTCCATTCTCCTGTCGTGCTGATTCTGGAAGATACACTCTCACGCTTACCAACAGCCAAGGAAGTTGCAGGTACATATATTTTTAAAAATTTCTAAACTAAAACTAAATCACACGCATAATTAAAACATTTTCATAATTATTCCTGAATTGTAGTGCCAGTGCAAATGTTACTGTCATCGACAAGCCATCACGACCTCAAAAACCACTGGACGTTTCCAATATAACGAAAGAGAGCTGTCATCTCTCGTGGCTACCACCTAAAGATAATGGAGGCACTCCAATTCTTCATTACATAATCGAAAAAATGGATCTTTCTCGTGGAACTTGGTCAGATGCTGGAATGAGCATGATACCAAAACACGACGTGACTCGATTAGTTCATCGAAAAGAATATCTCTTTAGAGTCAAGGCTGTTAACAGTGTAGGCGAATCGGAACCTCTAGAGACAGAAAGCAGCATCATTGCCAAGAATGAATTTGGTAATTCTTCTACTTTCAAATAATAATTACAAAATTGAAGAATACAATTTCATAATTAAAATTAAATAAATAACTAATTTTTCCAGATGAACCCGATGCACCTGGAAAGCCGCGTATCGTCGATTGGGACAAGGATCACGTTGATCTTGAATGGCCAGCTCCACAAAACGACGGTGGATCTCCAATAACTGGATATATCATTCAAAAGAAGGAGAAAGGAAATCCTTACTGGACAAATGCCGTTCACGTGCCACCATCGCAAACTAGTGCAACTGTTCCCGATTTAACAGAAGGACAGGAATACGAATTCCGAGTGATTGCTGTTAATGCTGCCGGTCAATCAGAACCGTCCGAACCGAGTGATCTTGTCACAGCTAAACCGCGTAACCGTAAGTATCCAACTGAATCTGCGTAGATAAGATTTTTATATCATATTTTTATTTAGATTAATTAATTAACACTAATTAAAAAATAGGAAAGAATTAAATTAATTTCGCATAAATAATATTTTTACAGTTGCTCCCAAGATAAAGACACCGTTGAATGATATTCGCATTAAGGCTGGTCTGATATTCCACGTGGACATTGACTTTGTTGGTGAACCAACACCCGAAGTTAGATGGACAGTCGCGGGTAAAGAACTGCAGACTAATGATCGAACAACTGTAACTTCCATTGGATATCATACGATTCTTCACACTGTGAATGCCAAGAGATCTGATTCTGGTACTTATCATTTGCTTATAAAGAACGAGAATGGAATCGATGAGGGCAGCTTCCAATTGACAGTTCTGGATAGACCCAGCCCACCTCAAGGTCCTCTGGAGTATGAAGAGGTCACAAGTCAATCAGTCACTCTCTCCTGGAAACCACCTAAAGATAATGGAGGCAGTGAATTAACGTAAGTATTTTTTTTATATCAATTTTTTGTTATTATATTTATCTTTAGTAATATTTTTTATTATCAGTTGTTTATATTCAATTATTCATTTTAGTGGATATGTTATCGAGAAACGCGATTTGACTCATGGAGGAGGATGGGTTCCTGCTGTAACTCATGTTAATCCTAAATATAATCACGCAACTGTTCCTCGGCTCATCGAGGGAACCAAATACGAGTTCCGAGTTTGTGCAGAAAATTTCCAAGGAAAATCAGAGCCTTTGAACACCGATCGTGGAGTTGTTGCGAAGAATCAATTCAGTGAGTGAAAACAAGTTTTAAATTTATAAATAAATCATATTTATTTTGTTGACAAAATTATTATTTATTTGTTTGTTTGCGATTATAGCTGTGCCTGGCCAACCCAGCAAACCCGAATGTATTGACGCCAGCAAGGATCACATTAAAATCAACTGGAAACCACCAATCAGTACAGGTGGTTCGCAAATTCTTGGCTACGACGTGGAACGTCGAGACCGAGCAACTGGTCGTTGGATCAAGCTGAATAAAGATCCAGTACAACCAACAGAATACTATGACGATCATGTAACTGAAGGTCACCAATATGAATATCGCGTGACTGCCATTAATGCAGCTGGCGCCGGTAAACCCAGCGAAACATCAGCTGTATTTACTGCCAAGCCAATGAAGGAGAAACCAAAACTCTATCTCGATGGACTTATTGGACGCAGGATCAAAGTCCGAGCTGGAGAACCTATCAATATTCATATTCCTATATCGGGTGCACCTACACCGACAATCGAATGGACCAAAGATAAAATTAAGATCCCCGAAACACTTCGCATATCATCGGAAACCAAGAATGATCACACTCATTTACTGGTTGATAAATCCGTTCGAGAAGACAGTGGAAAATATACGATTACAGCCGTTAATGATTATGGAAGAGACTCTGCTGATATTGATGTCATTGTTGTTGATAAACCTGGACCACCTGGTGGCCCGATTCATTACACTGGAACAACACAAGATTCTGTTTCACTCTCTTGGAATCCACCGGAAGATGATGGTGGTTCTTCCATCACCAATTACATTGTCGAAGTTGCTGATTACGGTACAGACAATTGGCGACAGTGTCCTGGCTATTGTCCCACGACTCACTTCATTGCAAAGGGATTGTCCGAGGGCAAGAAGTACGTGTTCCGAGTTCGTGCCGAGACAATGTACGGCGTCTCCGAGCCATTGGAAGGCAAACCAGTCATTGCCAAATGTCCTTTCGATCCACCAGATGCACCAAGTCAACCAGAAATTCTTGGATACACGCCAAACAGTTGCAGTTTAACGTGGAATCCACCTCTCAACACTGGTGGAAAACCAATTACTGGTTACTATGTAGAGAAACGAGAACGTGGCGGCGAATGGTTGAAGGTCAACAACTATCCAACTCCAAACAACTCTTTCACTGTGCAAGATCTTCACGATGGAGGTCGATATGAATTCCGTGTGATTGCCGTTAACGAAGCCGGTCCCGGAAAACCTAGCAAACCGACCGAACCAATCACTGCCGGACATCAAAGACTACCCCCTGATGCTCCTGAACAACCGAAACCAGACCGCATCACCAAGGATTCCGTCACACTGTCTTGGCGTCCACCACGAAACGATGGCGGTGCCAAAGTCCGAGGATACATTATCCAACAGAAGAAGGCCAGAGGCGATGATGACTGGAAGGACGTTAATGGTGTACCAGTGCCAGCGAATGTATTTACAGTTCCAAAACTTACCGAAGGCGAGGAATATCTGTTCAGAGTTATTGCTGTCAATGACATTGGCCAAAGTCCACCAAGTCGTCAGAGCAATCCAATTGTCGTCGAGGAACAACCCAACAAACCACTCATGGACCTTGGAGGTGTTCGTGACATCACAGTTCGTGCTGGTGAAGATTTCTGTATTCATGTACCATATGTTGGTTTCCCAAAACCCATTGCTACCTGGTTTGCCAATGACATCGTTAAAGACGAAACAGATTCTCGCGTTCATCAACAATTGGCCGACGATTACGCCAGTCTTGTAGTGAAGAACTCAAAACGCTCAGACGCCGGTCAATATCGTTTGCAATTGAGAAATTCATCTGGTTTCGACACTGCAACAGTCAACGTTCGTGTTCTCGATCGTCCAAGTCCACCGCAAAACCTACGGGCCGACGAATTTGCCGGTGATGCACTCACCCTTTTCTGGAATCCACCCAAGGACAATGGTGGAGCGGAAATTACAAACTACGTAATTGAGAAACGTGAACCACGACAACTCGCTTGGACAAAGGTGAGCGGATACGTAACAACTCCGTTTGTGCGTGTCCGAAATCTCGAAGTTGGATCACTTTATGAATTCCGCGTAATGGCTGAAAATCAATACGGAACGTCAGATCCGGTCACTACTATTGATCCTATTCAGGCACGTCATCCATTCGATCCACCAGGTGCTCCAGGTGCTCCTCGAGGAATTGAAACAACAGAGGATAGTATCACGATCACTTGGACGAAACCACGTCACGATGGTGGATCACCAATCACTGGCTACGTTATCGAAAAGCGTCTCATGAACGATGATAAATGGATCCACGCGACTCAGGCCCACATTCCCGAAACGACTTACAAGGTCGGCGGATTAATTGAAAATCACGATTACGAATTCCGCGTCGCTGCTGTAAATGCCGCGGGTCAAGGACCATGGAGCTTGAGTTCGGACGCCATTCGCGCAAGTGCTCCAACATGCCCACCAAAGATCACCAGCGATTTGAGTATTCGCGACATGACAGTGATTGCTGGCGAACCATTCACAATAACAGTTCCATTCAACGCTCATCCAAAACCACGACCACACTGGTGTATCAACGGCGAAGATGTCCTCACCGATGAGCGCATCAAATTCGACACTTCGGATCATGCCTCGAAATTCATCAACAAAAAAGCCAAACGATCGGATACTGGAAACTACACGATTTATCTGACAAATACTGTTGGAACCGACTCGGCGTCTTGCAAGGTTCTCGTCGTCGACAAACCCTCACCACCACAAGGTCCTCTCGACATTTCGGACATCACACCCGACACTTGCGCACTCTCCTGGAAAGCGCCATTCGACGATGGTGGATCACCAGTCACGAATTATATTGTCGAGAAATTGGATCCAGCCGGTTTCTGGGTGAAATTGAGCAGTTTTGTGCGACACACACACTACGATGTGATTGGCCTGGAACCAAATAAAAAATACAACTTCCGAATTCGCGCTGAGAATCAATATGGCGTTTCGGATCCACTCGTTGCTGATGAGCCAATAACAGCCAAATTCCCATTCACTGTTCCTGAGCCACCGGGTAAGCCGCGTGTTACCGATTGGGACAGTACCAGCATTACGATCCATTGGGAACGACCATTGACGGACGGTGGTTCCAGAATTCAAGGCTACAAGGTGGAATTCCGCGATCCAGCCGACGATGCCAATTGGCGTATAGCTAACGATTACCTAGTGAAGGACACGAGTTATATTTGCTACGGTTTAGGGTGTGGACACGAGTATGAATTTAGGGTACGCGCAAAGAATGCCGCTGGTCTCAGTAAGCCTAGTCCTCCGTCGACTACTTTCAAATTGAAGAACAAATTCAACGTCCCGTCACCGCCTGGAACACCACAGGTTGTCAAAGTTGGAAAGAATTACGTCGATCTCAGATGGGAAGCACCGGAATCCGATGGTGGTAGCCGTATCACCGGTTACGTCGTTGAGAAACGTGAATTCGGCGGTGGTAATTGGATCAAATGCAACGATTACAATGTCACCGATTTAGAATACACCGTACTTCACCTAATCGAGAAAGGTGACTATGAATTTAGAATATTTGCCGTGAACGCAGCGGGAAGATCAGAGCCCAGCTCTTGTACAACACCAGTGAAGATTTGTGAAGTTGAAGGTGGACAAAAACCGGACTTTATTCGATCATTGCCCTTCAGTCAAGCGGTACCTCTTGGCAAGACACACGTGTTCGAATGCGAGGCGACTGGTAAACCAACACCCACATCACGATGGTTGAAGAACGGTCGTGAAATAACATCAGGTGGTCGATTTAAAATGGAATCAATCGAAGGTGTATTCCGATTGGTAATATCCGAAGTTTGGGACGCAGATAACGGTGATTACGTATGTCAAGCGAGTAATCCAGTTGGATTTGCCAGCACTTCGTGTAGATTAAAGATCGGCACGCCGCCAAGGATTGATCGTTTGCCGGAAGATTTGTATTTGCCCGAGGGTGATAACACCAAAATTAAGATCTATTATAGCGGTGATCAACCAATGGATATTTCACTAAATAAAGACGGACGGGAGATTGTTGAATCAACTCACATTAAATACACCGTTTTTGATGAATACCTGATTATTTTCATCAAAGACGTAAATAAGGATGACGCCGGTAATTATGAATTATCGATAAAGAATAACAGTGGCAGTGTCAGTGGATCATTCAATGTTAATATCACTGGACTTCCGGGACCACCGACAGGGCCTCTTGATGTTACGAATATTGACAAACATACCTGTACACTGACATGGCATCCACCCAAATATGACGGTGGACTGAGAATATCACACTATGTCATTGAACGCCGTGATCTTAATTACGATCGTTGGATCATTGTTACGTCCTTCTGCAAGGAACACAGTCACATTGTACTTGGATTGACAGAATATCAGGAATATCTGTTTAGAGTTATGGCTGTCAATGAGAATGGTATGGGACCACCTTTGGAGGGAACGAATCCCATCAAGGCTAAGGGACCGTTCGATCCTCCTGGACCACCTGGCACACCAAAGATCCTCGAAGTCGGTGGAGACTTTGTCAACTTATCCTGGGACAAACCGGAATCAGACGGCGGTGCAAGAATACAGGGTTACTGGATAGAGAAACGAGAAGTTGGTAGTCAAACTTGGCAACGTGTCAATGCGCTCATCAGCTTGACGAATCAGATCAACATTACCAATCTCATTGAAGGTAGACAATACGAATTCCGTGTGTTTGCCCAAAATGAAGCCGGTCTCAGTCCTGAGTCAAAGGCCTCCACTTCAGTTAAAGTGAAAGATCCATTGGAAGTAAAGGCACCCGAAGTACTGAAACCACTCGCAAATGTCAATTGCGTACAGAATCACAATGCACACTTCAAGTGCGTAATCAGTGGTTCGCCGAGACCAAACATCACTTGGTTTAAGGGAGCAAGGGAGATTGTTAACGGATCTCGTTACCAGATCTATTCGGATGGTGATTGTCACAATTTGATAGTGATGGACGTATTTGGCGAAGATGCCGATGAGTATGTGTGTCGCGCTGTCAATAAGGGAGGTGCCAAATCAACAAAGGGCGAACTCTTCATTATGACACCACCGAAATTAAATGTTCCGCCTAGATTCCGCGATCTTGCCTTTTTCGACAAAGGCCAGAACGTTGACATCAAGATTCCCTTCACTGGATTCCCGAAACCGAAAATCTCCTGGGTCAGAGAGGGCGAAACTATCGAATCAGGAAGTCATTACGCGGTCGAGGTCACTGAACGACACGCTATTCTCACCATTCGAGATGCGAATAAAGTTGACTCCGGTCCCTATCGTATTACAGCTGAAAATGAACTCGGTCAAGATTCGGCAATCATTAAAATTCAAATTAGCGATCGTCCTGATCCACCGAGATTCCCGCAAATCGACAATGTGGGACATGATTCATTGGCTCTTAGTTGGAAACCTCCACTTTGGGATGGTGGTAGCAATATCACGAATTACCTTGTCGAGAAACGTGAACATCCAATGAGCAGTTGGATACGTGTTGGCAGCACAAGATTCTGCACAATGGCTGTTAGTAGTTTGAGACCTGGGAAACAATACGATTTCCGTGTGTTTGCCGAGAATGTTTATGGTCGCTCGGAGCCCAGTGAAGTGTCACCGCTCGTCACCACCAAGGGATCAATCAAGAGAGAATTCAAAAAGAAGGAATACAAAGTTGATGAGACCGGCAAGAGAATACGTGGACGTGATGATGAGAAAGTTCAAAATTATGATCAATTTGTCTTTGATGTGTATAGTAAATACGTGCCACAACCAGTGGAAATTAAGCATATTTCTGTTTACGATAAATACGATATTTTGGAAGAGATTGGAACTGGCGCATTTGGTGTTGTTCATCGTTGCCGTGAGAGAGCAACTGGCAATATTTTTGCCGCTAAATTTATTCCCGTATCCCATCTCATGGAGAAGGAACTCATTCGAAAGGAAATTGATATTATGAATCATCTTCATCATCCGAAATTGATCAACTTGCATGATGCCTTTGAAGACGATGACGAAATGGTTTTAATCTACGAGTTGTGAGTATTAATTAAATTTTAATTATAGTCATAATTTTTATAATTTTTGTATATTAAATCAATTTTCTATTTACAGCTTATCTGGAGGCGAACTATTTGAGAGAATTACATCAGAAGGTTACTCGATGTCTGAAGCAGAAGTAATTAATTACATGCGACAGATTTGCGATGCAGTAAAACATATGCACGAAAAGAATATCCTCCACCTTGGTGAGTAAATCAACTGAGACAAATCTCACAAATTAAATTCCTATTGAATTTTGATTCAATGAATATATTGATTTTCAAATGACATTTGTTATTGTTGTAAATTAAAAATTATTTTTTCTCGATAGACATCAAACCCGAAAATATTATGTGCCAAACACGTAACAGTACGAGTATCAAGTTAATTGATTTTGGCCTCGCTACGAAATTGGATCCAAATGAGATCGTCAAGATCAGTACAGGAACTGCCGAATTTGCTGCTCCTGAAATTGTTGAACGTGAACCAGTTGGTTTCTACACTGATATGTGGGCCTGTGGAGTCCTGGCTTATGTTCTGTAAGAATTTATTCTGTTTATCTTTATGCTGTACACTTTTTCAATTTCATTTCTAAATTGATGATTGTAACTAGATTGAGTGGCCTCTCGCCTTTCGCTGGCGATAATGACATCGAGACACTGAAGAATGTTAAAGCCTGTGACTGGGACTTTGATGCAGAATCATTCCGTCACGTGTCTGATGAAGGCAAAGACTTCATCAGGAGACTACTCGTTAAGAATAAAGAGTGCGTATTTGCGTATATTCATATGAATACAGTAACTTTATCACTTATTAAAATAATAATAATAATAATAATAATAATAATAAAATTAATAGATAATAATAAATAGTAAATAATATATAATTATTATTTTATAAAGAAATTGCATTTTAAATTAAATTGGTTTTTTAATCAGGAAGCGCATGACCGCTCATGAGTGTCTCATTCATCCTTGGCTGAAGGGTGATCACACCAACAAAACACAATCAATCGACAACAATCGGTACAAGAGCTTCCGAGACAGAATTCGTGCCCAATACGATAACTGGGACAAATATGTTCTACCCATCGGCAGGTTAGCTGAATACTCTGCACTCAGGAAGCTTCTTATTGAAAAATACAGGATAATAGACACTACCATAGGTAATATTCTTATTAAAATCTTTATTTATAATAACAAATCTAAAAATTCTTATTGTGCAGAACAATAATTTCAATTAATTAATTTCATTTTTAATTTAATAATTTATCTAGATCGTAGACAAGCAGCTCCAAGATTTGTCATCAAACCGCAAAGTGCCTTCTGTTACGAAGGACAGAGTGTCAAATTCACGTGTCGTGTTATCGCCCTGGCACCGCCAGTTCTCACCTGGTTCCACAATAATCAAGAACTCCGACAATCTGTTAAATTCATGAAACGATATATTGGCGATGACTACACATTCATTATTAACAGAGTTAAACTCGAAGATAGAGGGGAATATCTCATCAGGGCAGAAAACTCGTACGGCTTCCGAGAAGAAGTTGTATTCCTCAACGTGCAACGTATGTTTCATATAATCATAAAATAATTAACGATTTAATATTAATTATTATTTAATAATTGAATTAATTTTTTCAGCTATACCTAAGGAAATTCCAGCATATCGTCGTGAATTGCAACCAATTCGAAGACGTGAACCACTTCCTTATCATTGTTGGGTGGAAACTACTGAATGTGCACCAGACTTTACATTCTTACTTAGACCTCGTGTTATGCAAATTAGACAAACTTGCAAGCTTTTATGTTGCTTGAGCGGTAAACCGCCACCAACGGTGAAATGGTACAAGAACCAGAAAGAACTTTCCAAATATGAATATTCAATGACACATACTGATGGTGTTGTCACGATGGAAATTGTCGATTGCAAACCAGAAGACAGCGGCAAATATCGTTGTGTGGCTACCAACAAACACGGCACAGATGAGACGAGCTGCGTTGTTATTGTTGAAGGTTCAATATTTTACATATTACAAATTAATTGCTTCATTATTAATTGTGTACAATGAATTTAGATAACTTAATGATAAAAATTGAATAATTTTAATTTTGTTCGTTAATTTGCAATATTGAAACAAATTTTTGTTCAAAGGTACTGGCGAAACCGATGAAGAAATTCAAATGGCTCATGACTTTTTGCATTCGGGAGGTAAGATTAATTGTCAATTGAACCGACGGATCGTAAAAAGGCAAATGGGCCATTTTAAATACATTGCGTATATGCCCTTCTACGATCCGTTGGTTCAATTGCTATTGGAATCAAAAATATGTTTTTTTTTTCATTATTACACCTCAAGTCGAAAATTTTAAAACAAAATTCATAAAATTTCAGATCGAAAGTTCATCGAACATCCTCTGAAACCACCTATTCAACCAATCGTCACGGTTCACACTTCATCAGGATATAGTGGTTACTCTAGTAAGACAACTGGACAGGAAACGTCGCGTAATTATTCTAGTTCCTCATCAGCGTATAGAGACACCTCATCGACACTGAAACAAAGTTCAGCAGTCGACAAATCCAGCTCGAAGGTATTTTAGCACACCTATATAATTATAATAGAATAAATTAATTAATTAATTTCAAATATATTAAATATATTTGTTGTCCTGGAAAGAAAAGCTTTCTATTTAACTTTGTAATTTAAATTTATAGTCAATTGGACAGTTTAAAAAAATGTTTCAAAAATTGAATTAATATCAAACAAATTTGCAGATATCCACGGAGATAAGTGGCAAATTGAATGAATTAGCATCGACACCCACGGTAGATAAGAAAGCAACTAAAAAGTACGGCAGTAAACTCGATACAACCGGTAGCCCATCAAGGTCAAGAAGTGCAACTAAAGAACTTATTCGTAAGTGATTTGTAAAAAAAAAATAGTGTATTTCTTATTTGATCACAAACGAAGGCACGAAGTATAAACTTACAGACGAGGCTATATTTACATGAGTCATTTTTTTTTTGTTTCTTTCACGATATTTTTTATGTTTGGTTCTAGATCCTCCAGACGACGCGTCTATGTGTCCTCCTAAATTCACTCAAGAATTGAGTGACATAACAATCGATGATGGAACTAAACTCGAGCTAGTCGCTAAAGTTGAAGGCGATCCAGAACCACAAGTGAGCTGGACGAAGAACGATAACGTGAGTTTTAAAATTAGATTTAAAACAATTGATTACTTTAAAATTTACAATTTACATTTACTTGAAATACTCGATAATACTTTTTTTTGGATGGTATATATTCTTATTACATTTCAATATTGACAAATTATTCATTTGGCCGAAATTTATATATTTTAATTTCTTTTAAATTAATCAATCATTCGAACAAATGAAGAGTCTGTCAATTGAGAAGTAGGAAAAATATATGAGACCTCTTTTTCTTGTTTTTGGTTTAACTCAATACGATTTTGTTTTAAACATTAACTGCAGCCTCTGAGCTCATCGGAAGTTATGGATCTGAAGTACAAAGGTGGTATCGCAACTCTTACAATCAAAGAAGTCTTCCCCGAAGATGAGGGCACTTATGTTTGTACGGCAACAAATAGTATCGGTTCTGTCACAACAACTTGTAAACTGACAATTAATCGTAAGTACACATTTTAGATAAAAAAAATGTTTACCTAATCTAATTTAATTACTTTTTTTTCTAAATCTATGCTAAAAAAAATAATTCTAAATTACACAGCAATGGCAGTCGCAGCAGAAAAACCAAAAGAAGAGGAAGAAGTTGAAAAGGCTCCAAAAATAGTAGATCATTTGAAGAGTTCTTCTGTCACTGATGGTGATGGCGTCACCCTGAGTTGTCGAATCATCGGCGCGAAGAAGTTCGATGTCGTTTGGTTACACAATAACAAAGAGATAAAGCCCAGTAAAGACTTTAAATACACAAACGAAGCTAATATTTACAAGCTACAAATCGCAGAGATCTTCCCAGAGGATAGCGGCACATACACATGTGAGGCCTTCAACGACATAGGAGAAAGTTTCTCGTCCTGTACCCTTAATGTCCTTGGTAAGTCAGAAAAAAAGTAAAAAAAAATTTAACTAAAATCGGACAAAATTTTACATAATTTTTTTTGATTTCGGTTTTCTAGTTCCCAATGAGGAACCCAAGAGTCCAGTGTTCACGACATTCCCACAGTCGGCAACCGTTAGTGAAGGTGAAGCGGTTAATTTTGCTTGCCAGACTGCAACTGCACCTTTAAAAGGTAATGTAGCATTAGTAAATTGAATCAATTTACAAAATTTCTAATCGAATAAAATAATCGAAATCGTTATAAAAATTAATACAGAAGCGAAGAAATAGTTCATTTTTGTCAAATTAGTTTTCATATTTTATTTTTAAGACTGAGAAAAATTTGTTTATTTTAGTAACGTGGCTGAAGGATGGTAAGCCGATTGATGAAACGAGTAGCAGGTATACCTTCAGTGCGGACGGCGAAACGTCATTCAAATTGAAAATAAAAGCATGCACAGCTGCGGACGTTGGACAATATTTAGCACGTGCAATCGGCAAAAAGGGTGAGACGAACGCCGCTTTCGCCCTCAATGTCACTGCAAACGATCTCTGAGTCTGTCATTAATCAGCCTCAATCATTTACGACTCATCAAAATAAAAAAAGCGCAACTGCCAAACGAAAACAGTTACGTCAACATGACATTTACCATTAATATAATAAAATAAAATTTCAAATACAATGATAAAAACATGACCTGCTCTCGATGCAGCGTCCACGAAAACTAACGAAAATTATACACGATAATCGGAAGCAGGTCGTAAGAATGTCGTCGAATACGAAGGTTACTTAATTATATCACGAGATAAAATATTCATGCATGAAAGTTGAAAGGATTATTATTATTATTATTATTATTATCGTTACTATTTATTACCGATACAGTATGAAGATACTATGGGACAATATGTTTTTCTTTGTTTGTTTGTTACTTTGCGAAAAAAAAATAAATGCGTTTACATTACGTGACTTCATGCACCGTGAATAGAAATCGTTAATTTTTTTCTTTTTTAAAACGTGGTAAGGAATCAAGTTTTAATAGAATTTTGCCAGCATCCTCCGAACAACATCAAATTCTAGAAAAATTAGATTCTTTCTCACGTTAGAAAGAAGAAATAGTAAAAACGACGCTGTCAACCGTGTAACCAAACGCATTGTCGTGTTATATTTGTTTTAAAGACTGCTTCCACTATAAAATATATGATAAATAAAAAAATATATCATTTTTATTCTTACCTTAATTCCGAAAAATCTATTCTCACTCATGAACTTTCCTCATCTCTCTGCAAAATAATCGTTTTAAGTTCTATAATTTATATTCTTAAAAAACTTAATTAAATTTTAATTTAATTTTCAAAAAAGTTAAAAATATTCCTCATTTAAACTTAAATAATTAAAATTAGTGAAATTAAGTTATGAAAATTTAAAAAAATGTTTATTACCAACATAAACAATTTATCTGGATTCAGAATTCGAAAGCATCCTACATTTGTCTTGAAATATACTTTGGCGTGTCTCTGATCGACATAACTTAATAATGGTTTGTAAGATCCGGATTCTAAATTACCAACTCGAACTCCTATCGTCCCATTATTATTAATAAACCATACAAAATGGTTATCTACCGTTAAAATATTAAAGCTTGATCCCACGGGTATTTCTCCTTGGGTGACGAATGTAAAATTACTTAATTCACTGATACGTTCAATGACGCAAATTTTCACTTTTATTAACTCATCACGTTTAGTTTGAACTGCAAAATATACACAATATTTCAAATTCAGTCAAATCATATAATTTATTGAATAATATATTAATATTTCTTTAATTTTTCCAAAAAACAATTTTTTGAATCAAATAAATAAAAAAACTTACTGAAAGCATATAATTTGGCTTCATGGAATAATATGTTTCTAATTGCAAGTTGGCAGCTGTTTGCAGCAATAATGACAGTCCAATCATTTTTTTTAACGTCATAGCTGTGAATTCCATTTACTGCAATTACAATTCTACTACTGACAACACAAAAGGGAGGTATATCTGTAAACGTAAAAGGTGCATCCTTTCCTTTCGTCCAAACTCCTGTTGATAAAAAAACTCAATTTGTAAGTATTTCGTTTTCTTTAAATGACATGATACTAGTAAAAACAAAGAATAGAAAATTAATAATAAAAAATAATAAATTTACACCTGCATGAATGTCTAAAATGTGAACAGACGTCAATTTTATACGAAATTTTCCCACGCCACCGATAAGAACCAATTTGTTACCAACAAACGTAGCGACCATATGTCGCCTTTCTTCCAGTAATCTAGAAAAAATACATCTCATGTTAATTAATAACTACAACAAATTTAAAAGTGAAAAAAAATTAATACCTTTCTACTCGGTACCATTTTTTTGTGATTAGACAGAATCGCGTGATATAAAAGTTGAATGTGCCATGGCCCAAAAATTTTTCACCGCCAACAATATAAATACTGTAACCTAATCATTATAATAATTATGACAAAATGAATAAAAAATAATTTAAATATTGTAATTTAATCATTACATATGACAAATTGAAGAAAGAATTTTTTTCATCAACAATTTGCTCAACAATGTTATTAAATGGCGAAATTGAAATAATAAAATAAATAAATAAATCGTATTATTGTAAATAAAAAAAGAATAACCTCTGCCAACAATCTGCGTTCCATTTTGAGTATAAATTTTATATCCGTCAACCATTTTCGCAAGTTCCTCGAGACGATGCCCATCCCATGCAAAGACAGTAGCTTCTTCAAGGCCATTGGAATTCGCTCTAAAGCCGGTTACACAACTCAAAACTCTGGCTTTACATGCGCAAGATTTATCACTCTGGAATGTATAAAAATTAATTTCTATCAGTAATAATTAAAAAATTTGCAATCATATTCATACCTGTGAACTGTCCTCTGAACTTTCAGAGTCTTCTTCAACTTTCCTCTCATTTCGTTTAGCCCATTCATTTAAAATCGCTTGTCGATGAGCCTCTGACGATCTTAAATTAGCATTATTGACAAGTAAATAAAAATTTTCTTTCGGCAAACTAATGACAGCATCTTCAGGTAAATGTTCAAAAATATCTAAACACGTGGCAAATACAACTTGTTTTAAATTTGTTTGATTTAATTCCTCGGCCAGTAACCATAATTCAATCAAATTATCACGTTGAAGCCACTTATGTATAATGATATATGTTAAACTGTCTAAAAGATTGTCCACAGCATAAAACGATGCGAATCGGAAAAGTTCTAAAAGTTCTCTATAACATCTGTGAACATATTTTGAAATAACCCTATTATAATAGTGGCCCCAAATATCATCAATAAGATCCTCATCGTCCAACCAATCGACGAAAGTCTGTTGAAAAAGAAAATAAAATTAATAGTTTCGTTATATAAATAATATTTATTTATTGTAAACACAATCACCTTCAATGAAAATAAAAACATTCAAAGACAATAATAAATATACACGTGCTATTTAAACTAAAGAAATGATTAAACATTCTTATAACTGATTAAATGTAATTCAAGTTAATTCTATTTACCTTTTGTGTTTATAAATATGTTTTTAATATTAATTTGATAAAACTAACCTTGAAAGTCTCGAGATTCACTCTATATTCTATGTCGAATTCCTTCTTAGTACTGTCCCGATAATTTCCGGCAAAAAGTCTATTAAAATAAAGACTTTCATTTGAAAGTTTTGTCTTATTTACTTTAAATGGTACACCTCTTAATTTTAAAACCACTATTTCTTCTTCCATTCCAAGTTGAAGGGCCAATGCCGGTTCGTCCATGTTTATATTTGTGTTATTATTTTTGTGTATTAAAACAATTTAAATTAATTACATATAATTTACACATAAGACATTTATTAATTTTAGACAATTTACTATAGTTAAAAGGTTAAAATGGTTAAAAATTACAGATAAAATCGATCCTAACCACCATTAAGCTGATCTGTTCTGGTCTGTCTAAACACAACTGTGATCACTGACAATTTGACAGTACAGTTTTATTTTATCGACAGTAGATAAAAAAACTCAGCGCGAAGTTTCAATTTTTTACATTTTATATTTAATATCTACATATTATTTCGATTATTTATTTTAATAAATAAATCTTAATCAATAAAAATAAATGAACAAGTAAGTATGATATTAATTTAGTTTGATTACATAAAAAAATTTACTTTAAATTAAATACGCAATACTTTATCTACTGTAGGAAATGTCATTTCCCAGGGCAGCGCAGTGGGAGGGGATAAATTTCACGAGTGAGATTTTAAACAATTCATATAAATAATAAAAAAAAGAACCTTATTTGACTTTTATTGAAAGCAATCTGTAATTAGTATAAGTCCTTTTATCATAATCTTGATTTCCATATCAGCGAAATAAAAATAAGAATCAAACTGATAAGACACTGCGTCATTGACGGCAACAAAAAAAAGGTCGGTGCGCCTTTAATGAAAAATATTCCGATATGACGTCCCAAAGGTTATTTAATTATTAATTATTTGTCATTTTATGTATCCAGTATATAATATTTCAAGTATTGAAAAAGTGATAATGTGTTAGTGCGAAAAACAAACATTTACTTTGTTACAAACTACTATATTGTAATTTTTTGTTTTTTGGAGTCAACAAAGTGATATATAGTTATATTGTGATCAAGAGATCGGCAAAAGGTAAATTAATCTGCAAATACGACGACCATATAATTAATTGATCGTGTCAATTTGTCACTTCAGAAACAAATCAAAGGAAATGGCTTCGGAGCGTACTCCTCTTACGGATAAAGATTATCCACCACCACCTTATACCCCTATAGCTCCTCAACGTACGTTTTTTTAATTTGAAACTAAACATAAAACAAAAATAACCAACAAAATAAAAATTTGGAAAAGTATTTTTATAAATAACTTAAATTTAAGCAATGGGAAAGTCTAGTTTTATCGAATATCTGATATCACTTTTTTGTTTTAATTAATTGTTAATAAATAAATTTATTTTATTTACAGCAACCTGGCAATCACCTCCTGGATATTATCCAGCATCGACAAATCCTTATCAACAAGAATCTACGACAATTATTGTTCCTGAAATTATTCTCGTTGGTGCTTGTCCTGCTTGTCGAGTTAGTTAATTTTTTATTCAAAACAATTTTCCGCTATATTTAGTAATTAAAAACTTAAATTAATTATTTTTATACTTACGGATTAAAGTTTCTTTCTTCTTATGTTCGTTTTTAATATTTATTTTCTATTCTCAGAGCGAGAAAAATCTAAATTTCTCCTTATCATAGTTTAATTTTTTAAATAATTCCTCTGAATAAAAATCCATTTTTATACAAATTTAAAAATATTTCTGTAAAAAAAATTGAAATATTAAAAATTTTGATCTTTATGTATACGTATAGAACATACAAAATATAAAGTCTTTTACAGTTTTAAAAAACAATTTTAAAAAATTGATAGAAATTTAAAAATATGAATAATAAAAACTATTACTTGTTTCCATTTTTTCAGGTGGGTGTCTTAGAAGATGATTACACATGCCTCGGAATATTTTGTGCGATATTTTTCTTTCCACTTGGAATCATATGTTGTTTGTTACTGAAAAATAGACGTTGTTCCCATTGCGGTGCTTATTTCGGCTGAAATATTCTATACTTGAAACGATATGAACCAATCCTTGAAAAAAACACAGATTACCAAATTAAGTGGTTGTCCTTGAATTTGTGATAAAATATATTGTCTCTTAATAAAAGAACAAATTTTTTTATATATTAGATGAATATTGAAAAATCAAGAGATAAAGTATTATTAAAAACAATCGTCTATATAAAATGTTCACTTTATAAATTCTACTACATTCCGATAAAATTAACAGGCAATTATTAGAAAGTTTATTTTTCGATAAATTTCATTTAGTATAATAAAAAAAAGTACAAAGAAAATAAAAAAGCAATGTATCGCTTTTTTGAAAAAAAAAGAATGTTAAATACATAATTATTCAAGTTGTAAAACATTTTATCAAAACTTGAAATAATTAAATTTATAATAAGGGAAAATTCAAACGATGAACAAATGAAATTTTGTTCAACAAATTTAATTAATTTATCGATTTATTAAATCGAATCTCAATGAGTTGACAATATTCGCTTGAACTGTGCCTTTTTAATTAATTAATTTTTTTTGGCTAGAGATGTGAATTATCCAGTTAGAGCTAATGCAAACAAGGAATTAGAGAAAAATATAAATTGTACATATACAATGAGATTCAATGTTATTGATTAGTTCTACCGAGTTACTCTTACTTAATTTTACAATTTCTCAAGATGATTATTGAACGTTAATTATTAAAAATACTTCTTTTTATTGGACTTTCATTCTAATTGTAAGCATTAAAAAAATGAAACGCCAAAGAATAATCTCTAATTCTCCGTTAAACAGGCAAACTTGCAGACAGACAAAGTTTGATTACAATTTATCCCACTATTGTTTAATGATGTGCAATAATTTTATCGTCTACGTAGACCCTATATTTTGTAATGGATTTTTCAAGAAAAATTATTTATAAGGAGTTTTTAAGAACTTTTTTAGACAATGTTGTTAATATTTCTTATGCGTTCTTAACGACATATATTTAACCAAAATTATCAAATGTTACGGGATATTAAAGATTATAATTAAGAGCATTTTAGAAACAATTATTAAAAGGAGCAGTTACAAAGAACTATTTTTAAAGAAAAATGTATAAAGAAATTTTACGAAATTTTCATCTATTTTACCTATAAAAAACAAAAATCTATTTTTCTTAATTATTAGATAAGTTTTCCTAAAGGATTTTAGAATAATTGTTTGTAGACAAATAAAAAAGCTTTGTATCTATTATTATATACTGATTAAATAGAGTAAATTTGCTCAACGACTGTTTCATTTTGGCGTAATCCAAAACCTTTTAACAATAATTTCATTTAATTGGCCTTTTGTTCTCCAATTTCGACCATGACTTTGACCTTAAATCCCTCAAACTGACAATCACAAAGTTCATTCGATCATTTTTCGTGATTAAACCCAAGAACAAATTAATTTATTTTTGTTAATCTTATTTAAACTTAATTAATTTTATTTATTTAGAAACAAATAAAATAGAAGAAATATTTTTTTCTCATTGAATCACAATTTGTATTTTTCACGGCGTAGAAAAAAAAACGATCGTAAAAAGTCAAATAACAAAAAAGGCTGACATTTATTGCTGTAGGATGATAAAACTTGAAAACCTCAGTGCGAGAAAATTATGTCGTTAACCAAAATCTCGAAATATCAGATTTGATTATAGTCAAGGAAAATAAAATTATACATCGATTCCGGCAATAGTGAATGCGATTTGTTGCAAATTATTAGGAAAAGCAAGGGCAGTACTCTATGCCAGGAGATGGAAATAAAAAAAAACGCAAATGATCATTTACCACACACAGAAATATATGACGAAGGTTTTCTGCAATGCCATTTCATATGCTGACAGATCTTTTTTCTTCTTTTTTTTGCACTAATTGAGGATACTCCGAGTCTATTAAACATTTTTATATTTACCGAATAAAACTATTTATTAAAGTATCAAAACTTCCTTAGAAAACGTCAATAATATGTTACGTAAATTTTTTAATGTTTATAACCAGACATTAACGTTTTTAAAGACAATAACTCTCATTACGATACACATGAGTGAATAATTTCGTTCAAAAACATTTTTTCCACATTATTTGTCTTATTCCCTCAATGAGATATATTTCAACGGAAAAATTAAAAAATTTACTATGTATTCTTAATTTTTTTGGAATAATTAAAATTTCTTTATTTTGTTATTTCTTTGTATTTCGTTTATTATTGAAAAAAAATAATTGAATGATTCCTGAAATTATTAGAAATTGTTATTTCAATTCCTAAGGAAAATCTAATTAAAATTTCCCCGAGTATTTACATATTTTTTCACCCAATAATAAAGTGACTACGTCATTAATTAATTACAAACAAAGATTGAACTTTATTAATATGATAAAAGTGCGTAATCGCCAATCAGATAAGGCAAATGATAACTCAATTGCAGAAGTCTCTTTAAAGTCATTTGGCACATAGGGTCTCGATAAACGCGCTTCTCATTTGACATCATAATAAATGATTTTATTAAAAATAAAATATCAAATATTTTCGAATTTATTCAATTTTTTAAAAATATGTACTAATTTTAAAATTGAAATGCCAAATAATAGTTTTTTAATCAATTTCAAATAATTTTTTTTCTTATTTTGCTAAATAATTCTACTCTACTCTCGTTTTTTATTTAAATTCTTGAAAAAGTGATTCAATCGAGAGCATCGAGAAAAAAACCATTACACCCACGTCATACAGGATTTTTTACCTCTAGGAATGTTTGTTTTAATTGCAGTGATTGGCGATTACAACGAACACTAGGTCGCATCTCGGTGAACGTGTCAAAGAGGAAAGGAAAAAAACTATAGGCGCAAAAAACGAAGAAAAAAAACGGAAGAGAATTCAGAGGATCCTAATGATAAGACAGGAAGAACGTCGTCACCTCGAAAAGTAAATAAAATTTCCAGGAAAAGGAGTTTGTACACGTTAGTGTTTATATTATATATTGATGTGAAACGCCACTAGCAATAAGGAGTAAAAACTATGACACGATTCAGAGATACGTAAAGTGTGTATATAGTCACATGGAGGGAGTTCACAACGTTGTGTTTTGTCCTTGATACAAACTTTTAGCGTATAAAGGAAGCCGAGGCCGTAAACGGAGGTCCAGAACGAAACGATCTACCAAGAGAGCCATGCCAGCCAATGAGGAGACCATGGAAGAGTGTTTGTGCCAGGAAGTTGATTGTAAAACCTACGAGAATACGACGGGGATGTCTGTCAATAATAAATTGAACGGCTCCAAAAACGCCTATACAAATTCGCAAAATGGTACCACCACCAAGAATGCTGCTGCTACTCCTGTCAACGATGATGAACTCCCGGAATCGCTTCGCAGTTTTCCATCGAGGCGCGAGCACGAGAAATTTATTCGTGATTCGGTTAATTTGATTCTCAACGATGCTGTCTTCGAGGTGAGTGGCCTGAAATTTAAACAATCAAATCACTCAATAACAAACATCAAATGAAATTTTTTTTCAATAATTTAATCATCCAAGTTGCTAATTAAATCTCATTAAAGCCACTAATTGTTTTAGAACTAATTCATTGGAAACCCTAAAAACACAATCATAACGAACCCTAAATAATTAAGAGCACAAATGAAGTATTAAAATCACCAATTGAATAATTCAGAAACATCAATGCAACAAGCACTAGGTAAAACACTAATTAAAGCACTAGTTATGTTTTATCAAACACTGATTATAAACGAGCGAATTGAAAAACATTTGAGTAAACAAACGATTTAAAGTATATTGGAAGAAAGTTGTTTACGAGTGAAATAAAAATTTAATGAAAATGTAGATGAAAGTTGTGAGGAATTTTGAAAATTGTCAAAAATTTATTGAATATTTAAAAAGTAGTGGAAAAAAATAACGGTAATCACGGCATGAATTGCATAAGGAATCTTTTCGAGTTGATAATGTATAAAACGTTTTTCATCGAGTGAACAAACTCAATGCATAAATGGTATGATTAATGAGATCAGCTTCATAAATAAATCATCATACTATATTCACTTATCATTCTTAGCTCCTTGACTCTTCGGGCGAGAATCCAGGAGAAAAAAGTCAACAATCATTACAATTCTTGCTTTGAAAGCACATTTCACATTTATTTGTCATTGTGACCAAATTTCATAGTCAATGACAAATTTTTAAGTTCATAATTTTTCTCACATAGAACAGAATTATATTATTTAAAAAATGTCATTATTTTTTTTATATAAATCTATCAAAAAATGGTATTTTTAATTATTAATATTATTTTATTCTACGTTATTTTTTCATTTTGTGAAATTGAGAATGTAAAACGAGGCGATTCATATTTCTTGTTTATGGAAATTTACTGAGATTTCTACGGGTTTTCCTTGTCAGACAAGAGAATAAATTTCCTTTTCATGTCTTTTCTATACTTTCCCTGACCTGCGATTATCTTATTATGATTGGAATTTTAAATTTCGTTTATTTATTTTAAAAAACACTTTAAATATTCACAATTAACACATCTTTTTAAGAAATGAACCATGAACAAATTTTTGCGTTGCCATAAACATTTGTTTAATTACAAAATTACGACTGTTGGATCAATGAACTTAATACTTATCAGTTCTACAAAATTAAAAAAAGAATCCCATAAAGATTAGATTTAGGATGTGACTGTTGAAGTTCAATATTTGTGAATTTATCGGAATAAAGATAATACTATACAAATTAGAAACAAAATTAATGACAAGTTCAGGGAAATTATATAAAGTTTCATTCATAATATTTCCAGATTTATACGCATATGTAAACTTATATATATTTTTTTATTTTTCTCAAGGAAAAAATCTGTTACCTTCAATTTTTTTTTTCTAATAACAATTTTTATACCTAGAATGCAACAAAGTATGTTATTAGATAGGCAATTAATCTAATTTCCATTTTGAAATTAATTTTTTTCATATTTTGTAACCTTTATTGAAATTACTTGATTTATACAAGTTTCATTTGAATATCTTTTATTTTTTATGCACTTGAAAAAAATTTTTAATATAACAAGAAAAATTTTTTTATTCAGTAAAATGTCTCTAGTTAATTTAATTTAATAAATTCTATAATAAATTAAACTCAATCGTCCTAAATTTAATAAAGTGACATTGAATTATTATTATTATTTTTGAATAAAAAATTAAAAGCACCATATTTTAATAGAATAATATTTCATAAAAAGTTTTTTATTTCAGAAAAAGAAAAAAAAAATTACTTCTATCAAATTTTGTTTTTGTTAGAAATTAAAAATTTCTATAAAAAGTTATTTAATAGAATAATTAAGAAGATTAATTTTTTTAAAGAAAATATTAAAAATGTAAAAAAAAGAAATTTCTATTATCGTAATTGTTTTAAAATTTTAAACATTAATGATCTAATTGTCTATGCCCTTTATCATAAAATTACTGTTTAATTTATGTCACGTGACTAAAATTAAAAAAATAATACAAATTCATTAACCACCTGCTATTAGTAATTAAATACCAATTATGTGATTAATGACAAATTTTGTAGAAATGTGTGACAATTGCCTTATTAGTTCATAAAACATATATCCATTAATAAGCTTTATGGATAAAGCAAAAAAAAAAAAAAATAATAAATAAAAAAAAAGCAGAAAAATGTAATTAATTTGGAGGACCAATTATTATGACAGTGTCATGTTCACGTTTAGCAATAGTGCGTGAAACTGACGTTATTCTAAACTTTCTATCATTACAGTCAAGGACGTGGAAACATAAAAGAAAAACTTAATTTACAAACTGTATCGAATCAATTAATATGCAAATTTCATTCAAGAAGTATTATTATGTCTAATTTCGCTTTTTTGGTGACATAATTTTTGATTTTTTAAGAATAAATCTTAAAAAGAAAATTACATTGTTTATTTAACATTTGGTTGAGATTAATTTTTGTTTTATCATAAAAAAGTTAATTTTACTTCTATTGTTTGTTAAAAATTACTTTCTCTTTCATAGTTATAATAAAATATCTTGAATGAAATTTGCAGCTTTTCACAAATTGAAATTTTAATTCTAGTCGTTTATTAAGACTTTAATGACACACTAAAGAAAACATTTAATCAAATACTTTATCTAATTTATCATTTGACTAATATTTGTCAAACTAAAGTCAAAATAAATTTTTTATTATTGAACCAAATAATTTTGTTTGAAAAAGTAAATTTAGAATTTATTGTATTCTGAAGAAAATATTTTTCTTATACGTATCAGAAAATCTTAATAAATTAGAAAATCAATTTGTAAAAGTAAAGAAATAAAAAAGAAAGAGAAATAAAGAATTAGAAAAGAATCGAAAAAAATACCTATTCGGTTGTGAATTTTCCATTTTTAGGGTCTATCGAGGAAGAGCAAAGTTGTTGAATGGGTGGAACCACTTGATCTCAAGTCCATAATAAATTTCAATCTTGCTGATGATGGTGTCTCGCAGGATGATCTTCTCGCTATCGCCAAATCAGTGATAAAATACAGCGTGAAAACTGGTCATCCACATTTTGTCAATCAATTATTCTCCGGTCTTGACCCATATGGTCTCGTTGGTCAATGGCTAACAGACGCCTTAAATCCGTCTATTTACACGTACGAAGTGTCGCCCGTCTTCTCCCTCATGGAGGAAGAAGTCCTCAAAGAAATGAGACGAATTGTCGGCTGGGAAGATGGCAAGGGCGATGGTATTTTTTGTCCCGGTGGCTCAATGTCAAATGGTTATGCCATTAGTTTGGCGAGACACAATAAATATCCAAAAATCAAAGAAACTGGCCTCTGTCAATTGCCACGACTCATTGTTTTCACGTCCGAGGATGCACACTATTCTGTGAAGAAGCTGGCATCATTCATGGGAATTGGAATGAGTAACGTCTTCTCTGTGAAAGTTGATTCTCGTGGCAAAATGTGCGTCAAAGATCTCGAGAAACAAGTTCAACAAGCTTTGGACGAGGGTGCAGTTCCATTAATGGTTTCAGCAACCGCAGGCACAACTGTTCTCGGGGCCTTTGATCCTCTCTTGGAGATTAAAAAGATCTGCGACAAGTATCAAATGTGGTTCCACGTCGACGCCGCTTGGGGTGGAAGCACCTTGATGTCCAAGTGAGTCTGAAAATTTAATTTAATCTCAGAATAATTTATCTTAATAATTAGGTATAAGTTTAGTAAATAAATCATGTTTTCAATAGTAATTATAAGCAACTATACATAAGATGCAGAAAAAAAGAATTTTTATATAATAATTAAAAACTGATAGATTAATAAAAAAATCAGTGCAAGGTCAAATCGAACCTTTCTATTTTCTAAGGACAAAAAAAAACAAAACAGTTCCCTAAAAAAATACACTTTTCATATGATATTGTACTTAATGATAGGTTGAAATATCTAATCATTGAATAAATTAAATTCCATAACGTTATCGGAATACTAATTTAATCTGGTATTACCAGTTATTGCGTGAAATATAATTTTATATACAATATTTGAATTATTCCGAATAAATTAGCATTTTTAATTTTTAATATTATTTATGATAGGAAATATCGTCACCTGCTAGAGGGAATTCAGTTCACTGACTCCGTCACGTGGAATCCCCATAAAATGTTAACAGCGCCTCAGCAGTGTTCCACATTCTTGACGTGTCATGAAAATTTGATGCAATCAGCACACGGTGCAAAGGCCACGTACCTGTTTCAAAAAGACAAATTTTACGACACATCATACGATGTCGGCGACAAAATTATCCAATGCGGTCGACGTGCTGACGTTTTCAAATTCTGGTTCATGTGGAAGGCAAAGGGCACCGCGGGTTTTGAGAAACACGTAAATCGTGTATTCGAGTTGTCACGCTATTTCTTAGAAATGATAAGAAATCGCAATGGATGGCAATTGTTACAGGAACCGGAATGCACGAATATTTGTTTCCGCTATATTCCACCATCGAAACGCCAAATGCAGGGTGAACAATTGATGAATGAATTGCATAAAATTGCCCCAATTATCAAGGAAAGAATGGTGAAACAAGGTTCGATGCTCATCACTTATCAACCACTACGACATAACAGAAATTTCTTTAGGCTTGTCGTGCAAAATTCAGCATTGACCGAGGAGGATATGCAATTTTTCGTCGAAGAAATTGAAAGGTTGTCGAGTGATCTTTAGATACCTGTAGAAATTTAAAAAATCCTTTTGCCCAAAATGTAAATATAGATTAGAACAGTATAAAAACAAATAAAAAAAATTCAAATTGTCATTGTTTCTGTGATGTGATCTAAATTCATTTTAAGAATGAAAAAAAGAATTCTTTTTTCTTGTAAAATTTAATCAATATAATCGAAAGCACAAATATCAACAATATTATATATGATTAAAGTGCTATTTACAAATCAACGACATTTAATAATAATTCAGTTATTTTGACCAATCGACAAAAGTCGAACGTTTTTCTTTTTTTTGATTTTCAAACATGTATATATTATAAGTACATTAAAATTATTATTTGTCAGCATTGAAATTTTCTTTCTTTATCGAATTTTATTATTGTCATTTTAACTATATTCTTTAAGGAATTTTATATGAAATTCCTTGAGACTATTAAGCATAGATTTGATCATTTCTTTTTGTGGCAAAATTGTTGTACGAAAATGATATGTTCCCGGTTTTTGTCCAAAACCACTGCCGGGTATGATGCAAATTCCAGTAGCTTCCAAGAGCTTAAATGCATAAAATACATCGGGTTGCATGTTTTTGGCTTTTGCCTCCTTAATCGCTCTCTCAGGGAGATCAATTTTCGGAAAAACGTACATCGCACCCATTGATGGATTAGCCTGGCAAGAAAACATCTATGTTATATAGTAATAGCAAAAAAAAAAACCCAGTATTGATAAACAAAAATGTTTAATTATTAACTTATATCTTTTGTTTACCTTCTTTGTTTATTGTATTCATATATGAATACAAAATACTTTTTACAATTTATTAAATAGACAAATTTAGATAGTAGTGAATTTTAGAAAAAAAATTTCATTCATCTTAGAATATTAATAATTTATTTTGAATAAATATATTCTATTTAACATAAATAAGTTGTTGATTTAAATTTTTTTTAAAGCTTTATCAATATTTTAATAATAATGAATATTAAAAATAGAATACTTCGTGTATCATACGTACATGTTGAATTTTCATTCTGTACTTTTGTTTTACCTTCAAGTTATACCAATAAAGATATTGAATAAAAAAAAGAGTTATCATTAAATCGAATTATATTCTATATTATTATTAAATATAACGAAAAATTAATATTATGAATTATAATTAATTAATTACCTTATATCCGGGGATTTCGTTAAGTGTATCGACAACCAATCGAGATCTTTCCGCCAAAGATTCTAATGTTTCGTGTCTTTCCTTCATGAACGATTCGTAAGAGGGTTCATGAGATTTCGGAGGATTAACGACAACATCCATTGCAACTTGACCTAATACTGTTGGACATAACATTGCCGAAATTGACTTCATCAAAACTGCCATCACAGCCGGCTCCAAATTAACAATCTCGGCATAACCACCACGAAGACCGCACTCGCCTGAAAAACCTGAAAAAATAACAAATATTATTTATCACAATCTTTGCGAGAAATAACAAATATTATTTATCACAATCTTTGCGAGTTATCCTTATTTTACAAAACTTATTAGATTAGAATAATTAACTTATTAATTAGAAAAGAAGAGAATTAATACCTTTCGAGACTGACATAAATGATGCAAGCTCCATTTGAGAATACGGTTTTCCCATTTCATTAACGATTTTCTTAAATGCATAAAATTTAGAATTTTTATCATAAATGTTTGTCTGGTAAACCTCGTCAGCCAATAAAAATAGATTATGTTTATGGGCAAATTTAATGACATCAATTATATTTTCACGTGTCAAAACTTGACCAGTGGGATTTCCAGGATTTATCACAACCAATACTCTTGGTTTACATTTTTTTTCAGCCTCTTTGTAAGCCCTCTCGAGTTCGCTGATATCGAGAGACCATTTATTCTCCTCATTTAAATAATAGCCAATTTGCGATAGACCAAATTCAGCTAATATAGCAGAATAGAGTGGATATTGTGGAATTGGTATCATTACTCCTGATGGTTTTCCATCGACTGGCTCATTGAAAAGTTTTAAGAACGACTAAAATAAAATAAAAACATTTCAATAATTTGTGATAATTAAAATATGTTTATATATTCAAAAATATAAAAATTGCCCAAAAAAAACAAATTTGAAATATTCTATGATATTAATTTCTTTAGTTAAATTTAATTATTAATTAATAGTTTAATAATTAAATAAACAGTAATTTACATACTTTAATAGCATCCGAAGCCCCATTGGCCAACATAATATTGTTGTAATCGCTGGGAAAGCCATCTCGCTCTTGAATATATTGCGCTACGTGTTTTCTGATAATTTCAATACCAGGAGACGCCGAATACGAACCAACACTGCCACCTCCGCAATTTTTCAGGATTGTCGATGCACGTTCCTTAGCATCCTCCGGATAATTTGGATCATCCAAAAGTTCTGGATTTACTGTCAAAGCCAATACTTGTCGTAAAAATGTGATCGGCTTATTGCCCATTGCATGTGCATCTCCAATATTCGCTTTAATTACGGATTTAAATGGCTTCTGGGCTCCCTGAAAACAAAAAACGAGAATATTTAAAAAATGAAGTTTATTGCAAAAATGCAAATATCTAGAAAATTGCATAAATATTTTTTGAAACGTCTTTAATGAATGTTCAAAACAAAAAAATCAATATTCTCGCGTAATAATTATAAACAAAAAATTTACAACCGTCTAATTTTTAAATTAATTTAAATATTTAATAAAAATATTGAATAAATCTACAATTAAATAATAACTATAAAAACAACACAAATAATTAAAGTAGAAATAAATGAAATTTAATTTTTAACAATAAATTATTATTACGTGAACGTTATGAAATTGATTTATTGAGAACAAGATTATGACGATTAATCTTTATCATTTTTCGAGACGAGAAAAACGTTCGACAATTTAAAGATAAGAATAAAACTATGGTCTATTTCTTCATTTTTTAAAACAAACATAAATTATTCAATTTTTAGAAAATTTCAAAATCTTTAATTTAAAAAAAAAATTTAAGATGAGATTTCTCGTTTATTTAAGCACAACATGTAATCATGTTATTTCAAGGTTGAAACATTTAAGGAAACTATTTCACGTGATGCTATAAACTCATTGAATATGCGTCAACAATAAAATTATTCTTTTATTTAACTTTTTGCTTAATAGATGATTACACAAATTTTGAAATAAAACAACAATAGGTAATTAAAAATAAAATAATAATTTACCTTAATTTTTACTGTATGAATTGTAAAAAGAATTATTTTTGTAGAGATTTGTAAAGAATTTTATAAAATTTGTTAACAATTAACTATCCTCTCTTTTAAATACAAGTAAATATTTTATCAGCAAATCGTTAAATGTATAAATATTTTAATCTACTAAACCAATCGATCCTCAAGTACTGGAATGTAGAACAGTCAAAGGTAGACTAAAAATAAACCAAAAAAATTTTTAACTTTGAAGTATTTAGAAAAACTTTGTATTTTATATTAGGTTAGAACGCAATTTCACTATAGATAAAAACAACTTGTCAGAATTGAAAATCATTAAAAAAATCTCATAAGAATATTAAATGTCAATGATTTTGCAAATAAGTTACAACCGGTTGTCATTTACATTTCACGTGTCACCTCAAATTTATAGGTTAGAATTCCTAATTGTTAAACGTCAAAACATTGCGAATTTAATTTCAAAAAACTAAAATTTAAAATGACAAATATTAGTTTACAAAAGCAACAAGTATCTATGACAATGTAATCAAACAGAATACACTCTTGTTATTGATCCATTTTTTGAAATATTAATTATATAAAAAAAAATTGACATACACATTAAGAAAAATGTACAAATAAAAAATCCATTAATAAACTTTTATTTAATTATATTACAAATTACTTGATGTAAAAAAGCTAAATAACAAATGCGAATCAACCGAAATTAATAATCCAGCAACAATCTGTCAGTAAGAAGAATGCATAGTACAAGCAACAATTGAGAATCGATTGTTTAATTCCTAATTCATAAAACATCTTTTTAAGTCTTTTTTAACTTGTTAAGAAATGAATTGTTAAAGATTTTAAGATAAAAAAGCAAAATTAAAAGTAGGGCGTGCGTATAAAAGAAAAGTATATTGAGTTGCGCGAACGTCAAATATAGAAGTTATGAATGGAATCATTTACCTTTTGTAATTCCTTTTCGATTTCATTGGCCCGAAGAAGAAGTGGACCACGAACTGCATATTCCATGATTTTTAAATTGTAATAAACATTATCCTCTGTGAGGACTTTCTTCTCAGCGCTGGTCATGCTTTTACTGTGATTGTTTTGAAGTGACACCGGTTGTAGAAAAGTTGTTCCAGACTGGCCCACTGCACTAGTAAAGACTAAAGCACCGCCTCCCATTCCCCTTGTACCCCTAACACGAAAGTCACTCCCGCTTCTATGCTCCCATCCTCGTGACCATGCTTTGCCAATGAATGTCTTCAATTGTCCGTGTGTACTCATGATTATATTTAATAAAAATTCCAATTATAGTCTTATCAACAGCTGTCAATGTTTACACACACTGTTCTTTTCCCAGGACTTTTGATTCTGAAGGCAACCCGTTCTGCGCACTACTGTCTTTATTTTTTTTAAATAACAATCCCGCTCTTTTTCAAAATATATTATTTTGTTTCTTTATATAATTCGAATAATGACACTGAAACGTCGATTATTCAGACTCGCATCGATTGACTGGCATTGATGGATCTGGTAAACTAGGAAAAAAATATTTAAATTATCCATATAAATTGAATTTAATAAATTTTTTATGACAAAATGATTTATATATATATATATATATATATATATATATATGTAAGTATACTAAAATTAAACGACATCAAATATATATAATGAAAATATCAAAAAATTTCCAATACTTTGTTTTTTTAAAACTATATCATGCAGTCGATTAAAAAAAATTAATTAAAAACTACTGTCGTTAATTAGAATGTTTAATATTAAAAATGTTTCACTCTCAGCAAAATTTTTTTGAATTTTAGATAACTCAATATTTTTTTCTGCTTTCCCTGATGATTCAAATTATTCAAGTTTAATTATTTCCCTATCATATTAATAATAAAAATAATTTATTCCTTTAAAGTCTACTAATAATTCTTTTAATGCAATCAAACCTCGATAACTCGAAACACCATCAATGGAGGCAAAAAAAAAATATAAAATAATTTATGACTAGAAATAAATTTGTTATATACTAAATATTGGAAATAGTTTTAATCTTACCGTACTTTTGTCGAGTCTCAATAATCGAGGTTCCAGTGTATTCCTATATATAAAATTCCAACGTCTTCAAACTTCATTGAGTTTTATAGCTCTTAAATTATCTCCAATCACATCTATCTCATTGACCTGCAATAAAAATTTAGTTTTACAGATTTTAGTAAACATTTCTAAACCAACAACACATAATTATATTTTTTTAACATTGACTTTCTGAAGACAACTGAATTTAATGGAATCAGATTGAGAGAATATTTATTTTATTTTTAAAATCAAACTTGTAAGGGTCACGCTCTTTGCAGTTTGTACCGACTCTCAAATCAATATTAATCACTATTAAAAGCCGTTATAATATATTTATTAATTAGACATAATATTATCCACTTTTTTTAACCTAATTCTATTTCTATCATAAAAGTGTTTACGTATCTCTTTCATAAACTTATAAAAACATTTAAATATATTGGATAATTATTTTTCTTAAACATTACTAAACATAATTTAAAACAAAAACCATATATTTTTAATTTCATCAATTTAAATAAATGAAAATAAACTAATAAATTATTCAAAATAATATATATTAATAATTTTTTTTGTTACTATTATGCATCTGTTATTTGTCAACAATTAAAAAAAAATTTGTCACGAATGTTAATGCCAAATTCACTACAGTCATGAAGGTTGATATTATTCAGGCGTTACGTGATTTGCCGGGATGTTAATTTATTCACGTGGGAGAAAAAGTAAAAGTTACCTATAAATAAATATAGAAATTTATTGTCATTTATTGTCAACCCATTTATAATGTAATCAAGTTTAAATAATTGAAAAATATTTAAACAACTTTTTTTTAATTTAATTAAAAAAATATACTTTGTTTTAAAAGATCTTTATAACGTGAATAAAAGTGTAAATTCATTACATAAGAATTTATACCTGCTTTCTTTTTAAAGTCGTTTTTCTGGCATTATACTTTTATACAACTCAACAATTTCCCGGATTTTACATACATATGTATAACCACAACCTATTCTCAGATGATATTTGGAAGTGTTTATTTCTGGGTCACGAGTTAAATGATGTATAAAAAGAATTAAAAAAAAAACACGAAACCGTCACATATGAATTAGTCTGCACATAAAAATTTAATATACATTTAAAAAATCCACAAAAAATTGAATAATAATTGTAATTTTTAAAAAACCGGTTAAACTTTTTCATTCTTTTTGGAAATTTAATAAAACTTTTAATGAGCTATTTTATACTATCAATAATTTTTGGAGCAAAACATGCATAACAAATTGTTATCAATTTCTCAACTATCAAACTTAATGATTAAGAAGATAAAAACTTCTTTTAATACAAAACAAAAATTTATATAGAGATTAAAATAAACAAGTAGTTACCGTAATTTGTTTTATTTGTAGATGGCTTTCTTCAAAACATTACTATTGTAATGTTATATACAAATGTGTCTTGATTATATTCGTGTCAGTAGTAACTTTTGAATCTTTTGAGAACTGTTTGAAATTTTGAGGTCACTGAAAACTAGTTCTAGTTAACTGTGTAATGCTGTTAATCATTAATTTTCCGTCAATGTGAGAAATACGATCTGTTGTGTCGCGAGAAGAATAAGACGCAGACAAGTCTCACGATCCTCGTGATAAACTAAATAGCATTATTTATATATTGAAAGTCGGTAATGAAGTTTCTGAATTATCGATGGAATCTTGATAAATATTTAAACTTGATTCTATAACGATTAATAAACTATATTTTAAAATTTGATTAACATAAAATCCTGATGGATTTTCATTACTATTCAATTATAATAATTATTATTGTTTAATTGATATAGTATTTCCTCCTCAAACTTTCTTAGCCGACATCAACTGTATTTTTCTAAAAATTTTAAATGAAATTCTTTCAGGGAGCTGAGCATTTTTGTTACCCGTTCTCTTTGAGGTAAAATTGTTGTTCTAAAGTGATAAGTTCCAGGTTTTTGACCGAACCAAGATCCGGCCAATACACAAATTCCAGTAGCCTCAAGTAATCTGAATGTGTAAAATAAATCAGGTGATTGATTAACGGCCTTTGCGGCAGCGATTGCCTTTTCTGGAAAATCTATTCTTGGAAAAACAAAAATCGATCCCAAAGCTCGATTCACCTGGGATTTATTATGTCTTGTATTAGATTTTTTACATGCAATTAAGTCAATAAATAGTTAAATTAGAAATATAAATTTGAAAATAAAATTTCCGAGTAAAAAATACCTTATAACCAGGAATACTGTTTAAAGTATCAGTCATTAAGTGTGACTTCTCGGCTAATGAATTTAGTATTTCCGTTTTTTCCTTTATAAAAATTGAATACGAAGGTTCATTGGGTTTTGGAGGATTCACCACCACATCCATTGCAACTTGTCCCAAAATATTTGGACACAAAACTGCCGAAAGGGACTTTAAAAAAATAGACATTACATCGGAATCCATATTTACTATCTCTGCATATCCACCTCGAAGACCACATTCGCCCGTATAACCTTGTAACAAGAAAATAATTTATAAAAATTCCTTTAAATAAAAATTAACTTAATAATTAATCAATTACATATTGCATCACTATTACATTTAATAATAAATTAAATATTTAAGAAATAAATAAACCTTTTGAGATGGACATAAAAGACGCAAGTTCCATTTCAGAATACGGTTCACCCATTGCATTCATGACTTTTTTAAACGAATGAAATTTTGAATTCTCGCCATAAATATTAGTTTGATAAACTTCATCAGCCAGTAAGAAAAGACGACGTTTGTGTGCAAATTTAATAATATCTTGAATATTCTCAAGTGACAAAACTTGACCAGTTGGATTACCAGGATTTATCACAACTAATACTCGTGGTCTGCAAATTTTTTCAGACACCTGATAAGCTCTCTCGAGTTCGCTAATATCCAGGGACCATTTATTTTCCTCGTTTAAATAATAACCAATTTGATATAAACCATATTCCTCCAATATTGCTGAATAAAGTGGATACTGAGGAACTGGTATCATAACTCCTGATGGCTTTCCATTAATTGGTTCATTAAAAAGTTTCAAAAATGACTAAAAATAAAACCAAATTTATTAAAAATTTTCAATCGTTTAATTTATTAAAATTTTGAAAAATAAATATTTTTAACTTTTTTGAAAGTCATGCATAATTAAAATTTGGTAAATAATTTGTCAAAATATCATGCACGCACTTTAATTCCATCGGAGGTTCCATTTGAGAGGATAATATTGTTATAATCGCTGGGAAAACAATCTCTGTTTTCAATATATTTCGCCACGTGTCTTCTGATAATTTCAATTCCAGGTGATGCTGAATAAGAGCCAACATTGCCGCCATTACAATTTTTCAAAATTGTCCTAACACGTTCTTTTGCATCCTCTGGATATTGTGGATTCTCCAAAAGTTCAGGCAAAACTGCGAGAGCCAAAACTTGTCGGAGGAATGTAATTGGTTTTTGACCCATTGCAATTGCATCACCAACATTTCCTTTAATTACTTCTTCAAAGGGTTTCTTATTACCCTATGCGAATTAAAAATAAATGTCTCAATTCAAAAAAAATATACATTACATTAGAGTATTATTATAAACAATAAATATTTGTTTATAATGCGCCGTGTAAAAATAATTAAAATTTAATTATTAATATAATAAAAAGCATAGGACCTTTTGAAGTTCCTTGTCTATTTCATAAGCTCTGACAAGAAAAGGCGATTTAGAACTTGGATATTCTATAAATTTAAAATTAGTAAAAACATTGTTTTTTGTAAGAACTTTGTTCTCAGTTCCCGTTAAACGTCGCAAGTCGTTCCATTTTGATGAAACAGGTTTTAAAATTGCTTTACCTTTAAAGGAAATTTCTTTGATTAATATATATTTAAATACTTATTGATTTTATTTTTTATATAAAATTGTGAATTAAACTTACTGTAAATATTATGCTTATAATTAGTAAATATTGATTTCTTTAACAACTTCATTGTATTTTTTAAAATTTTCCTTGTCCAAATATGCCGGATACTTTGAACATAACCTCTAAAAACGTGAAACGTGTATTTTATTTATGAATTATTATAATAAAATAAGATCACCTTATATTATTCCCGTATAGTAATAATTTATCACAGTTACTATTGATACTCAACTAATTTAACTAACCACACATAACATAAAAATAAATTTAAAAACCATATACTAAAAATTATAAATAAATTTATTGCTTCTACACGTCTTCTAGAACGTTTGACCAGGCTGACAAACCTGATGAACTGTCAATTTTTACTTGTCTATATTTGGTACCACTGAAAATATTCCCGCCATATTTAGATTTAAATAAATAATTTGAATTTTCTTTTAAATATTAGTAGATTAATTACTATTTTATATACTTATATATTTATATTTTAAATCCTTCAAATAGATTTTTAAACATTAAAAGACAATAAAAGTAATAATAATTCAGTCATATAAATAAGTTTTATCTGTCATTAAAATATAAGTCTGAATATACATACACTTTTAATATAATTATATTCTCTTTCTCTTTGTATATTTGTTTTGTTTTGTTTGTTTAATTATACGTATAGTATATGTACATCTCTTGTAATCGTGTTTCTCTGGTCGATATGGGTACAGGGAAAACTTATTTGTTATCCTTAAAAATATATTCTTGGACGGTATCAATATTTGCACAATATATTAACAATTATTATTTTGTCAACTCACAAAATACTGATATATTATAATTATTATATTAATTGAATACTCTGGATCCCTGCCCAGATCGAAGTCAATTTTAACAAGAAATTCATCAACAAGTATTTATATAATTATTTGTGCATAAGGTACAACAGCGCATCGTTCTCATTATATTATGTTTTCAAGCTCCTTTTTAATATTCAAAAAAATATATTTTTTTAAAGAATTAATTTCAGCAGTTAATAAATTTACATTTTTTTTTCATTGACTTCTATCATATTGTGATGTTAATATAACAATCAAAATAAACCTAAACAATCATTTGTTTATCGAACAATTCGCCGAGGCACCTGATATTACTTAATAAAAGAAAATGTACAATAATCTTTACGTGGCCGATCAATAATATTCTGAGCGTATTCTATATTAAAAAAAAAACATTTATTTATATAACGTAACCAATCGTCCAGTTTAACATTTATAATAAAGATTTTTAACAAATCGCGCGATGACAAAATTCATTCACCATTTATATATAAAAAAAAATAAAATAAACAACGTGTCTATTTATCTGTTCCTGATTGGTCACTATTTTTTTAAAAGAATTTTTAATCCTATGACATTATCTCAAACTTTCAGTAAAAACAAAATATTTAAAAATTAAATAATTGATTATTATTTTAAAAATTTTAATTTAAATTAACAGTAATTAATTTAGAGTTCAATTAAATTTTTAAAATAATTTTAATAACTAATTTTTTCAGATTAAATATGCAGAAATTTATTCTAAATCTTTTTTTATAATATTCTGAAAAAAATGTTTATTTTGAAATTTTGTCAATGGATCAAAAACTCTCTTAATATCAATTCTCCCTCGTCTTTCATACAAAAATACTTGTTAAAAAATACAAATTTATGTTCCCGTGTATATTTGCATCTACTTACATGTGTACCCTCGTTGTAAATAAACACTTTCACGCCATTATACGCTATCACTACACCCTTTATGATTCTTGAATCAAGAACGTTGAGTGTAAATGGAATGTGTTGCGCTTTTTTTTATTATTACGTTTTTTTATGTACAAGACTTACAAATCACACCTAAAAAATGACACGATCGTTCTCTGCCTATTGCAGTCTGATCTCGAGCTTTTTTTCTACAACGGTAATTATCATTATCGTTACCTTTACATCTTATTATAATTATAATTATTAAATAAAAATTGTCTGGTCCTCTTTATATTATAAGACAATTTTCATTTCTCTCGGGAAAATCTGCCATTTCATTGTCAATTTTATTGAACAATTTTTCGTTTTTTTTTCTTTTCTTTTCTTTTCTAATGTGTAGTACTTTAGAATGAAATGCTTAAAAAACTTTAATCTATTATGTAAAATATTATATAAGTATGTAACGAAATAAAAAAGCACTTTTATAGATTAAATGTCAGATTTATCCGAGTTTTGAATGATTTCGAAATTACAAAAAACGGTACCAACAAGGGTATTTTTTATGACACTTTATAATGAGAAAAAAATTCTAAATTCTCACGTTGATCCGTTTATTTGAATAAAAACTTTGATTAAAAACGTAAAAATTAAAAGAAAAAACATTATTTAAAATCTTTTGTATAAAAAACTTATTTAAAACGTTCACCATTCGCTCTAAAACTCATTTAAAAGCGATTACAATCACAATTGCTTTTCAAAATTCAAGCAACTTCACTTACTAGAGTTCTCGAGTATTCTCTTCTTTTTTCTTTTCTTTTCATTTTTTTAATTGGTTTTTTTGAGTGCACGTTGATAAATTCAAGATCAAAGGCACAATAGTAATTGATGGAAAAGTACTTTTTTAAACTAACACTCTGACTTGTCCTCTTCCACTAATTGTTGAGTGTCTTTACCCGAATCGATGGGCGTTGGATCTAACTCGCGTCTCTTAAAGTGAAGTTGCGGTGCTTCTTTGTGTTGTATACTGGAAGGTTTCATTTCCGCAGGAACTTCGTAAATACCGCTGCCACTGGTTCCATTAGTATTACCAGTTTCCAAATTTACAGCGTCGTACATTGGATTACTAAAGTCTCTGTTTTTGGTGTTTACTTCAGTAAGGTTGTATTCTACGTCGAGTGGCTCCTAATTTAAAAAAACATGATATTTACCACATAAATAATTATTTTAAATATTTATTTTTTAAAATATAAACATTTCCAGTTAAATTGAATTTTGTAATCAATCATTACTTAATCATTTCTATTATTAGTATTTATACGAATAAAATATTAAAAAGAAATTAATTTTAGTAAAAAATTATACCATTCGCTCTGTCGATGATCCGCCAAACTCGACATTACTTCCTTGTCTGAAGGAGACGCTTTGAGCACCGGTTAGACTGGCAAGTCCACCTGGTTTACCACTACAAAAATGGACCACATTATATTTCTCTAATTTAAATAAATTACAAATAAATAGGTAGAAAATAAAATATAAATCTACTTACAACGGCCGTTTCTTGAGAACGAGAATAACGGCAGCGGCACCAAGCAACACCAAGATAGAAACAACGATAGGAACAACAATGGCGGCAGTGGAACTTCCAGATCGCGTCGAAGCCGGAAGCACCTCGCAATACTGGCCTTGATAATCATTTTGGCACTCGCATATCAATTCATTATTTTCAGCTTCCGAGCAGAAACCACCGTTCTGACATTGACAAATTCTCGGCGCTGGTTTTGGTCTCTCCTCTGTAGCGTCACAATGTATTTGACTCGTGTGCGCTTCTCTTGGTCGACTATTTTCCGGACAAAGACATCTATGTCCACCATGAATTGCCACACAAAGATGAGTACATCCCGATGAGACACATGGATCAATCAATGTTGTATTGTATCTGAGTCGATGATAAATTTTTGCGCCACCAGTAGTTTCCAAATTCGCTTTCACTGTATGTGGAACACCACGTCCAAATTTATCCTGTCTAATCAGTTCGCCACTATTTCTCGTTGTCCAATATAAAATATTCTCAAACACATCGATTGACACCGGACGCTTCAACATTGCGCCTTTTAATATCACACGTCGGTTGGCACCATACAATCGAATCGATTCAATGGTATTTAATTTACTGTCGGCCCAATAAAGTGTGTGATCCATTGCATAATCAATAGCAAGCGCTGACGGTCTTCCCAGTCGATCGGACACTAAAACTCTCCGTTTACTGCCATCCATCCAGGCGCCCTCAATTTTCGATAATGAACCAGCGTCAGCCCAAACTAAAATTCCTAACTGAGGATCAACAACAACAGCAGTTGGTTCTTCCACTTGAGCGATACTACGTCGATATCTTCCATCAGATTTTGCCACAACAACTCGTCCTTCAAGACGCGAACTCGTCTCGTCGACTTCCGTCCAATAGAGATTCTCAGCCACCCAATCAATTGCCAGACTTGTTGCTCTATAATTGTGTGCTAAAATATACAAATTAAAATATATTATATACTTTAAAAATATCTAAACTATGAAATATAAGAGTGATAGAGAAAAAGATAGGCGGTAATTGGATAGATTGAACTATGAAGAACTTACACTGAATATTAAGGTCTTGGGCAAATCCAATTTTAGCGTCGCCATTATTTGCGTGAATCATGAATGAACGTTTAATTCGATTATCATGTCCATCGATCCAATAGACATATTCTTTTCGTGGATCAAAATCAATGGCACTTACACGTTTCTCATTCGTTATTACGGGTATTTCGTCGCGTTTATGGATATCGAGTGCCCGAATTTCAGGGCCATTTGCATAAATTACCAATGCATTGACTTCCTCTGCACGACACACTCCACTGATATTATCCGAGAGTTTGAATCCTTGACGACACGAGCAAGCGTGAGTTCCATTAAGATTTGTGCACAATTGCGAACATTGATGTGTACCTTCTAAACACTCGTTAATGTCCTCACAATGCTTATTATTCAATTTTGAAATGATATACCCAGGATAACAGGCACATATGTATCGATTGTCAGTGATATTTTGACAATAGTGCGAACAACCGCCTCTATCATGATCCGAGCATTGTTTGTTTACATCTACAAAAAATTATTAATAGTAAATATCAAATAAATATAAATGGATAATTTGATGATTGATTTTTATGAGACATAGGAAATAAATAACTTACGACATCCCAATTCATCAGATTTGTCTCCACAATCGTCAGTCAAATCGCAAACTCTCAAACGGTCGATACAATGTTTGTTGGCGCACTGATACTCCGAAATTGGATCACAAGTTCGAATCCTGGCCGCGCACATAGTCATGTTATTTTCATCCGAACCGTCTCCACAATTGTCAACGCCATCACAAAGTTGATACTTGGGAATACATTTATGATTGGCACATAAGAATCTTCGTATCGGATCGCACGGGAACGTTGCTATAATAGAAAAGAGATGATGAAAACTTGTCTGTTTTTTTAAAAATTAATTAAAATAAATAATTAACTAATGGTTGTTTAATAATTACTTAAAAATAATTATAATTATTAATTAATAGATTAAAAAATTTGTAAATTAACAAACGAAATAACTTACCACACATGCTAATACTTTCGTCGGAGCCGTCACCGCAATCGTCAGTTCCATCACATCTGTCATTAAGTGAAATGCAGAGATTATTATCGCATTGGAAGTGTGTTTGTGGACAGTATTTTCCACCAGGATATCTTGCGGGACATCCAATTTCATCACTGAAGTCGTGACAATCTCTTGCGCCATCGCATCGTAAATAAGATGCAATACAGTGGCCACTGTTGCATTGATACGTGTCATTCTGTAAAAGAAATTTTATTTCGTTAAATTTAAATAATTTTATTACTTCCATTTCAATGATTTGTAAGAATTTAAATTTTGAGTACCTTGCACTTGAAATTCTGACAATCTCGTTCATCGCTCGAGTCACCGCAATCGTCTTCGTGATCACATCGCCACCTAGAAGCAATACACTTGCCGTTTTTGCACTGAAATTCTGATTCAGAACATTTACGATATTTGTCCTTGCAAATTGCCTCAGCCTCGTCACTGCCATCGCCGCAATCGTCAGCAAAATCGCACAGCCATTGCTTGGGAACGCATCGATTGTTTGCGCATTTAAAGTCCGTATTGTTGTCACAAGCGGGACAACTTTCTGGCTTTTCGTCCGAATTGTCACGACAATCGTCTTTACCATCACAAAATAGCCATTTGGGAATGCAACGATAATTCGCTTGACCTGGACAACGTTGCCATCCTGTTGTACAATTTCTCTGTCGACACATGAATGCAGGTTCATCGCTATCGTCACCACAGTCATTATCGAAATCGCACATCCATAATTTCGGTATACATTTGCCATTCTTGCAACTGAATTCAGTGTTCGGATCACACGTTCTATTGTCTGTAATGTCACAAAACATTAAATTAACGCATGGAATTTATGACAAAAATTGTTTTTACTTATTTAAAATTTCAAGGAAATTTATGTAGTTATTCGGAACTTTCAGATTGTAAAGTTTGTACTTACGACAAATTGCTGGATCTTCATCACTTCCGTCTTTACAATCAGCGTCACCGTCACACTTCCAAGATTCGTGAATGCAGCGTCCACTTGATTTACATTTGAACTCCAAAGCGGAACATTCCAATGAGCAATTGCCTTCATCGCTGTTATCTTTACAATCGTCGATACCATCGCAAACGCTGTTACTCGGAACACAATTTCCATTCGCACACTGAAATACTCCAGCTCGACAAGTTCTCGCTGGACAACTGCTCTCATCTGTACCATCTTTACAATCTTTTTCACCGTCACATCTGCAAGAAAACCAGTAATTAGTTTGAAGCTTAATATAGATTTTAAAAAGTAAACCATTATTAAAATAATAATTATTTTAATTAAAAAAATAACTAATTTGCTAAAACTTACTTCCAGAACCAAGGTATGCATTTCTCATCAGGTGCGCCACATCGATGTTGACCAGTCGTACAATTCGCAATGCAGGTTTTATTATCTTTATCCAAAATAAACTGATTGGGACACATACATTTGAACGATGTCATTCCAGGACGACCGTAGCCTTCCAATAAATATGAACTTGCTGGAGGAGAAATTAAACACAAATGCGAACAGCCGCCATTATTTTGCGCACAAGGATTTGGATAGGGAAGTTGACGTAACGGATGATACACATGAATATCATAAGGTCTATGAGTCGTATTTCTCAAAAGTGTAATTTGAGCACCTGAGAATTTGTCAGCCTTGCTGATAGCCTTCAAGTTCCAATCGGTCCAATAGATGTGATCATCAAAGACAGTCATCGCAAAAACATGTGGAACTTTAGCTCCAGAAAGTACAATTCGTCGATTTTTGCCCTCCAAATCGGCAAAAGCAATGTAATCAAGATGAGCATCAGCCCAGAATATTCGATCGGTAAAATAGTCAATTGTTAAAGCATTCGGCCAAGCGATATCATCCTCCCAATTGAGAATCTGTTTTAAGTTACTTCCATCCATTCCCACTCTTCCAATATACGCCTGAAGATGCCAAGACGTGAAATACAAATGTCCAGTACCCGGATGAACAACAATAGCTCTTGGATCCGAAATTCCACTAAGTAGAGTCTTTCTATTTGTTCCATTCAATTCGGCAACATCCAAATGCTTCGCGTGTCTATCCAGCCAATAAAGCTTTCTTCCAACCCAATCGATCGCAATTCCCTCCAAACCAAGACTATCATGGCGAATGATTGCCTGTCTCTCACCACCAGCGATTGGTGCACGATAAATTGTCTTAGCAGTCACATCACAGAAGTATAACATTTCCTCGGCATAATCAGCATCAAGTGCGACGACATTAACCAAATCCTGATGCATCAGTGCATATTGTTTCGCGTCCGCTGACATATTTCTCACATAATATTTGTTTGTAAAAATAACCCACGGTGGAATTTTATCTCGTCGCTTGCACGTGTGTTCATCAGCCGCACGCTCATAATATTTCTCATTGCACTTGCAGTAAAAATGACCAGGTGTATTCTCACACTGTTGACTGCAAACCTGAGGTGTCTCGATACATTCATCAATGTCAGCACAAGCTTTTCCATCATCCAAAAGTTTATAACCAGGATTACATTCACAATAGTAACTCGTCGGAGTGTCAACACAACGATGTCCACATTGATTCAATTCAACTCGAGCGCATTCATCAACATTACAGTGAGCTGGCTCATCACTTTCATCAGCGCAATCCGGTTCCTTATTACAAACCAGTTGTTGATCAATACAATTTCCATTTGCACACATAAACTCTCCAGGATTCGGACACGTGCTGTTCTTCTTCTTCGATGGACAATTAACTTCATCCGAATAATCACCACAATCATCTTGACCGTCGCAATGGAACTGTTTTCTGATACATTTGAAATTCTGACAAGTGAATTCATTTTCCGTACATGTCTTGTATCGATTGTGACAGAACTTACCCTCATCGCTACCATCACCGCAATCATTGTCATGATCACAGAGCCAACTTCTATTGAGACACCGACCGTTTGTGCAGGCGAATTGATTCTCTGAACAAGGTGTCGGTGCTGGGCAATGATGCAGGGTTACATTCTCATCAGCACCGTCTACACAATCAGGATCACCGTCGCACAACCACTTTTTCGGAATGCACTGTGCACGATTCCAGAGTTTATTCGCCGTGCAAGTGAACTCAGTTTCCTCGTCGCATTTCCGATCATTACACTGATGTCTCTCATCTTCATCGGAATTATCCAGACAATCATTATCACCATCGCAGATATAGATTCGCGGAATGCAATTCCCATTGTCGCAGGTGAAAAGATCACCGAAACATGTTCTTCCCTCGGACTGACAGTAACCCGGTGGTTCATCACTACCATCGAGGCAATCGTCATCCCCGTCGCAGTACCAAGTAGCAGGAATGCATCGATGATTCGGACAGCGGAAACTGTTTGGTGGACATGTTCTTTGAGCGCAATGAAGTGGATTCTCGTCACTGTTATCGCCGCAATCATTGTCACCATCGCAGAGCCAGTAAGGCTCCACGCAAATATTTGTCTTCTCGCATTTCAAATGATTAGCCGGACAAGTGGTGTTCCTTGGACAACGTTCGTGTGTCTCGTCGGATGTGACATTATCCTTGCAATCGTTAACACCATTGCAAACTTGCGATTGTGGAATGCAACGATAATTGGCACAAGTGAACTCGCCAGCAGCGCATGGAGGATAGACGCAACCCTCCTCGTCGCTACCATCACGACAATCATTCTCGTGATCACATTTCCACGATTTAAAGATACAACGACCATTGTTGCATCGGAATTCATTGGGACTGCAAGAATGATAGGAACAATAATTCGTATCTTCATCAGAGCCATCACCACAATCATTGTCACCATCACAGGCCCACATTCTCGAGATGCATCGACCATTTCTGCAGGCGAATTTATTACCATCACAGGTGACATTCTTCGAAACACACATTCTGTCCTCATTGACTAGACGGCTATTGTCGTCACATTTGCATTCAGCAACGCCGCTCGGACCTGGATGACAGGATTGATCACAGCCTCCGTTATTGATGTTGCAAGGATTCACTTTACATTGCTGCCTACCGGGGGAGTAAATATGAAGATCTCGGGGAGAATCTTCAAGGCGCTTGACTAATTCCACTTTGTTTGCTCCCGTATTCTTTTCGGCACGATAAACCCCTCGGAGTTGAAGATCAGTCCAATAGATGTGTTCTCTGAACACTGTGATTGCAAATGGATAAATTGTAGCCGCGATAAGAACTTGACGATTTTTACCATTGAGATCAGATCTCTCGATTTTCTCGCGAACAGCATCGGTCCAGTAGAGCATTCTCTCCTCATAATCAATTGCAAGTCCACTCGGTTGCGAAAGATCCTTGTCAATGATGGCTTTCTTCAAAGATCCCGCCATGCTTGTTCTAAAGATTTTGCCCGATGTACCGAAACGTCCCCAATCGGTAAAGTACAATGATCCATTACAAGGATCAACGACAATTGCCCTCGGTCGATCGACTCTCGCAATCATCACCAAATCCTTACCATCGATATTCATTGCGTAGATACTATTATTTGACGAGTCGGTCCAGTAGACCTTTCTCTGTGTCCAATCGTAAGAGATTCCCTCGGGATTGATGCCTTTACTGATGATCTTCTCGGGCTTCATCGATGATGGATTGTCTGAATTGAGCCAGGCAATCATCGCCCAGGGTCGAATTTGTGTGAAGAATAATTTTTTATCCTGATAATCAAAATCAACACCAACGACATTTGTCAAATTACCAATAGGTTTGAATGGAACGTTCGTAGATTTTGGATCTAAATTGATAGCACGAATTTCAGTTCTTGTGGCAAAGACAAGGAATTCGTCCACATTTTCACATCTTTTGCCATCTGATGCCAATCTTCCTGTGGCGCAATCGCACTTGACTTGCATGTGACTCTCTGGTGGAAGAGCAAAACAGAGTTGATCACAACCACCATTGGAATTTCGTGCACAGGGATTACTCTCGTCCATCGGTTGAACGGATTGATCAAAAATTGCGATATCTCTCAATTTCTGAAGATTTGTTCTCATTGATGATGGAAGACTGTAGTTACCAGCGAGTTTACTTGCTTTGAAAACGGTATCGAGATTACGATCTACCCAATACATATCAGGACCGAAAATTGCTAGTCCAATTGGATTTGGCAAATTTTGTCTAATGATTTCCCGATTACCGCCTGAATAGGAGACCTTCTGAATCATATCACGCTTGGAATCAACCCAATAGACGTCGTTCGTGGTAACGTCAATTGTCAAATCACGAGGAGTGCTGATTCCACTTGTGATTAATGTTGTCCAATTACTGCCGTCCAAATTTGCTCTTCCAATTCTCGGATATTGTCCATAGTCAATCCAATAAAGGATTCTCTTGATGGGATTAACGGCAAGTTCTCGTGGAGCATCTGTCGTTGTTTTGACCAAAACTTTCCGATTGCTTCCATCAAGGCGACAAACTTCCACATAATTATCATGTGGAAAGACATTGGCAAAGTACACATTGCCAGCGATCCAGTCAATTGTCAATCCTCGTATTCCATTCGATCCAACGCCACTTTTCACAATGTGTTCCAATTGTGTACCATTAGGTCGCACACGGAAGATTCCATTCCAATAGCCACGATTAAATTCCGCCCAGTAAATCCAATTGTTTGCATAATGCACATCCACGTGTAAAATATGATGACCAATTCCGGCGATTGGAACCATTGCCTCTTTGGAATCAGTCAAACTGTAACCGCGAACAACGTCAAGCTGAGTGACGACTGCAAATGTCTTGAAAGGTTCACATCGATGCTCTCCTGTTTTTCTATAGCCTACGCCGCAATCACAAACTCTCGTTCCACCGGCTGATGGAAGACAAAGCTGATCACAGGCTCCATTAATCACGAGACACGAGTGTGAGCCAATTGCACGTTTTTTGTAAATAGTAAGCGTCTTCAAATCAACTTCTCCGTTCATGATCAAAGTTGGGTTATCACCATTTGGTAGATTGACTCGTTCTATTTTTTCGTATTTTGGATCCAAATAGTAGAGTTTATTGTCATGGACGGCAAGTGCTTTCGGAAGGATCAAATTGTTAATCTCAGTGAGAATAGTTCGGAGATTTTGACCATCGGTTCCCATTGATCTTATCGCTCTCGAGGTACTGAAATAGACTGTTTTGCTTGGTATGTCTATTGTTATTGCTTCAGGATTATCAAGATTCGAGAGAAGAATCATTGCGTTCGTTCCGTCCATATTGACCCTGCCAATTTTCACAGGAACACCAAAACCACCCTCATCTACCCAAAACACATGACCTTCAAGTGGATCAACGCACATTGATCTCGGTTTAGCGACACTCGTGTTCTTTCCATCATTTGACAATACAATACTCCTATATCTGATGGGACCATCGACTTTAATTGCCTCGATGTTCGAAGCGTATTTATTACCAATGAACAAATTCCTTCCAAGCCAATCGAACGCGAGTGTTGACGGTGATCCAACGATTCCTGTGTCTCCATTCGGATTTGGGAATTCAGTTCTATTTCCACCTCCGTACGGAGTCGTGTAAATGGTACCATTCTCATCATCACCATCCTTTCCTTGTAGCCAATAAATAATATGATCAGTCCTATCATAATCGATAAATCGTCCATTCTCAACGGCAACCACAGGAGTGATGTATCCAGTTTTCATGTCACCCGGTACCAATGAAACGTCAATGATCTGTGTTCCACGGAGTACCATCAGATACGCATTTTCCTCCTCCACGCAGCGGCCATCAGACAACAGTTTGTATCCAACAATACACTTGCAATTGTAGCCATTCGGCGCTTTCGGTGAAAGAAGACAGAGATGTGAGCACGAGGCATTCGCGCAAGGATTCGTAGTGATTGGTTGCAGCACCGGATGATGAACATGAATCGAAAGTGGTTGTGAAATCAAATGAGAGACAACAGTTTGATTGATTCCGTGAAATTTGTGAGCAGATAGAACTCGATTCAGTTGGCGATCAGTCCAATACATGATGTCTTCGAAAAGAGTCAACGAATGTGGATGTAGTAAATAATGCGAATCGGCTAGAACTTGAATTCGACTACTTCCATCGTAGAGGCAACTGTCGATAAAATCGAGTTTACTGTCAGCAAAATAAACCCTCTTATTGGCAATATCAAGAGCCAATCCGTTCGGCCAGTAAATTTTCGTATTAATTATAATCGATCTCTCAGTGCCGTCCATGCCAATTCTTTCGATTCGTGGATTCTCGCCCCAATCGGTCCAGAAGAGCCATCGAGCACCGGGACTCGGATCCAAACACATTCCACGCGGCTGCGTTATATTCTCCTTGACAAGAACCAAACGATTTGCACCCGTCTCTTTGGAAACTTCAATCGTATTTAACTTTGAATCCAACCAATAAAGATTCTGTCCAATCCAATCATACGCCAACCCCTCGACTAGATCCAATCCTGTCGATATGATATCTTGCGGATCACTGCTACGATCTAATCGCGAAATTTTCTTCAACTTCATGTCAGACCAAAAGATCGTGCCCGTGTGCATGTTACTCGATGTCGCAACAACATTCTCAACATTAATTGGCACACGTTCGAGAGCTTGATCCTGCAGATCAGCAACTAGAATCGTGTGACGATTAGAAATAATAAGAAACGCTGCACTGTGATTCAATGCCTTACAAGTATGTTTATCTCGTTCTAAGACGTAGCCATCAACGCAATTGCAATAGTAGCTGCCTTTCGTATTGATACAAACTTGCGAACATTTCCCTGGTGGATCGCATTCATTCAAATCTTGACAAGTAAATCCATCACTACCGAGTTCTTCACCAGGTGGACAAGTACACTCCGCACCGAAAGGAGTCTGAATACAACCATTAGTGCAAAGTCCATCTTGATGTGTGCACTCAGCCAAAATACAATTGAATCCCTCGTCGGCTGAATTCTGACAATCAGGTTTACCATCGCAAACACTAGTTATATTGATACACTGCTTAGTACTATTCGGACACTTCCACTGATTCGACGGACATTTAAATTCGGGTGCTTTGCAAGCGTGCAATTCAATACTCTCATCTGATCCATCTCCACAGTCGTCTCTTCCATCGCAGATATAAGTCTTGAACACGCAGCGATGATTATTACATCTGAAGAATCCTGGTTGACAGCCCACATCGGAGCATGACTCAGGCTCATCCGAATTGTCATCGCAGTCTGGTGAACCGTTACAATACCAACTCTTTGGTACACAAGTTTTCGAACGAACACACTGGAATTGTGTCTCGGGATTACATTGATTCCCTGAGAAAGCTGGACAATCAATTTCATCGCTCCTATCGTGGCAATCGTCAATACCGTCACATTTGTATGAAACATTGATACACGTTTTCTGATCCGCACAGGCAAATTGACTGCTGAGACACGTGATTGGCGGACAATTCTTCTCGTCCTGATCATCGAAACAATCATTGTCGCCATCACAAACCCATGACTTTGGTATACAATGACCTGAACGTGGACACGTGAATTGTGAATACGAACAAGTTTTAGCAGCGCAAAAGTCACCCTCGTCCGAACTGTCACCGCAATCATTTTCCGAGTCACATTTCCAAGCAATTGGAATACAACGATTATTATTGCATGTGAATTGATCACTACCGCATGTCACATTAGGACAACCAATCTCGTCACTGAAATCACCGCAATCGTTGCCTGCATCACAACGGAAATTCAATGGAATACATTTCCCAGATTTACATTGGAATTCGTTGGTGCCGCAAGTCGGTTTTGTGCAATTTTGCATCTCGTCGCTGTTATCCAAACAATCGTCGTCACCATCGCACACCCAGGATTGTGGAACACAACGTTGATTCGCGCATGTAAAATCCCAAGTATTTGGACAAGCCTGTACTGGTGGTTCGGCTTCAGGATCCTCAACACACGAAATCTCATCATCGCGAAGTTTCTCACCATAAGGACAACCGCAAACTCTCGTTAATCGTGAGGGTAAAAATCTTGAGCTACTATTTCGTGGTACTGCAAAGCAAAGTTTTTCACATCCTCCATTATTTATCGTACAAGGATGATCAGTGTGTGGTTTCTGAATATCAGGACTGTAAACCTTCACTCCATAGAGTCGATTCGTGTCCGGTTCGCGAACAAGAACAACTTCCTTCTCACCAGTTTCCTTGTGTAATCGAATAATCGCATCCAATCTCCAGTCAGTGATGTACATCCAATCTTCGTAAATGGCAATGGAGAAGGGATGTCTAATAAGCCTTGAATTCACAGTTTTCACGTCAGTGCCTTCCAAATTGGAATGTTGTACATGATCGAGTAACGCATCACACCAGTAGAGTCGATCTTTGCCGAAATCGATGGCGAGACCATTAGGCCAGCCGAGAGTGAGATTTTTGAATACAACTAGATTCGATCCATCAGCACGAGCTCTGCTTATATTCGCCGGTCTGTCCCATTCCGAAAAGAAGATAAATCCCTGATTTGGATGTATTACAATAGCTCGTGGTCGTTTCAGATGTTTGAGTAAAGTACGACGATATGTGATATTCCTCGTGCTGAGGACATTCAAAGTTCCTTTCCGTGAATCAATGTAGTACAAATTCTTAGACGCCCAATCGACCGCTAAACCTTCAACTCCCTCGTTTTGACTGGCGAGCACAATTTCTCTACCGGTTCCATTTTGGCGAACTCGATAAATCACATCTTGAAGTACGTCACTGTAATAGATGTACTGATCACGAGCGTCAAAATCCAAACCGACAAATCGAGCTCGTCTGGAAACAACCGGCAAAATTGCGTCACTGAAACCTTCCATTGCTGGATCGAGAACACGACCTTTGATAAATCTCTGCTGTGAGTACATGAGAAATTGTCGAACGAGCTGACAATTTCGGAGATCGTCCGCCAGTCTCGAGCCAATGTTACAAGCGCAGCGATAGGCCAATCCTGAATCTCGATCAGCCGCTGCCGTGACGATACACATATGCTGACAGCCACCGTTATTAATTCCGCAAGGATTCGGAACCGACGGTTGAACAGAGGCGTGAAGTGCCTTCACAGCTTTTGGATCTTTGGCTTTAAAAATATTTAAAATCGAAAATTCGCCGACAGTTTTTTCGACACTCAACACTGCCTGCTTCGTTGTGTCAGTCCAGAAAACCTTATTCTCAAACAGAGTGAGTCTCATCGGAGCTGGAACTAGAGTTCCACGAAGAATCATAACTCTATTACGACCCATATAATCAGCCGTTTCAATGTAATCCAATAGTGAATCACACCAATAAATCCTTTTAGCAATAATATCAGCAGACACACCGGTGACACGATACGCAGCTTCCGAAATGATAGCCATCGTATTAGTACCATCCATATTGGCCCTTAGAACTTGTTTACTGTCAGCAATAAACATTAAACCCCTCGTTGGATCGAGTGAAATATCCGCAGGACTAGTGAGATTTGATCCTAATGCAATACCATGAAATCGTCCATCCAATTCAAAGACATCAATTTTTTGCACTATCGAATCAACAACATAGAGTTTCTCGCCAACCCAATCGACGGCTATTGCTACTGGTACCCATGATCCTGGCAATGAAATATCTACGTCCGAATTCGCTTGATTTCCACTTAGTGATTGTGAATGTATTTTCCTTGTTTTCGTGTCACTCCAAAAGAGAAGATTTCGATTGTAGAGAAAATCAACACCACTCGCTCCTGTTGTGTTGGCAACTAATTTTCGATTCTGACCTGATGCTTCCATTCGCCAAATTGTTCGATCTTGCGCCAATAATAATTCAAGTGGTGAACTTGTTTTTAATGCTCGACAAGAATTTTTTCCAGTTAACTCAAAACCAGGAGCGCAACTGCATATATAAGAGCCATCAGTATTTTCGCAAAGTTGCTCACAAAAACCCCATTCCGAGCACTCGTCTCTGTCTGTCGAAAAGAAAAATAATTATTATAAATAATTTAAAACATTCTATAATCAACTATTTTAATAAACTGATCTTGAAATAATTTTAGATAATCTTACCAATGCAAGATCTCGAGTCATTTGCGAGTATTCGTCCCTCTAGACAAGAGCAAACACCTCCGGCTGGAGAGGCTTGACATTTATGTTGACATCCTAAACTATTGCAAAGAATTGTTGCTGAAACATAATATATATTATTGTGAATAATTATTTAACCATATATACTATTTTAACAAAATATGGATTTCAGATTTATGAAAAAGAACATTTTTGGAATATTTGAAAAATTTAAACAAATTTTTTAAAATGAATTATCAGGAAATAAAAAGAATTTTATATACATATATATTATGTATAACGCAAAATAGTCATTTAAGAGCATTATTATCATACAAATATCAATTATATTAGATATATATGTATAATTTATAAATTCTACACAGACCGAACTTCTGCTGCAGAAAAATGAAAAAAAATAACAGTAAGAGAACATTTTTTTTTTTTTGAAATTACGCATTCCACAAATGAAATATATACTCACAACAAGCAGTTAATTCGTCAGCTCGATCTTCACAATCTTGTTTGCCATCACACAATTGCGTTTTGTTGATACACTTTGGCTTCCCACCTGGAGAACCTTTAGGACATAAGAATTTCGAATCGGGACATTCCACTTGCGGACAATTCTCTTCATCAGATCCATCGCCACAATCCCTGTAATCGTCGCATTTATAAGACGCTGGTATGCAAAGTGCATTTGCGCATCGAAATTGATCTGCAGTACAATCTGGAAAATCTGTTGAGCGAGAAAGTTACAATGAACCATTTTCAGTTAAACTTTTGTATTATATTTAGTTAATTTTAAAATAATTTTGTTTTAGAAAAATTGTAGTCTTACTTTCATTATTATATTTTAGCTTTTTGCAAATAAATAGTATTTAAAATAAGAGTGTTAATAATTAAGTGGAATTTTTTTTCAATGCGTCCTAATCGCGTTTAGAAATTTTCGTCATCTCACAGAATGTTTACTCTTTTTTTACTGGAAAAGGACGGAATGGAATTTAGAGTCGTTTTAGTATTTGCTAAGGAAATGACGATCCCGTTGCAGAGCCGCAAATGTTTCTTAACAAGCTCATAAACGACTGTAGACCCCATTACGTTCTCTCTGGATAAAGAAGTCGCTGCATATAAACCTCGATTTCGAGGTTACTGAAAAAAAGCAACTACTGTGAAAAGTAATTGACTTAATAAGCTTGAATATTTTCTGGATTTATAAAAAAAAAAGAAAAATTTCGGCAATACAATCAGTTTGTATAAAAAATATTATAAATGAATTACTAATACAGATAATAATATAGATTTTAAAAAGTAAATTATATTTAAAAAAATATTACTGTAAATAATGAAAAATTTTATTATTTTTGAACTTACTGCAATGTGCTTCGTCACTATTATCACCACAATCGTCTCTGTGATTACATCTTGCAGTTTGTTCCACGCAATGTTGCGTTGTATTACATCTGAATTGATCAAGTCTACATGGAGGATTTGAAGTCGGACAGTCATCTTCGTCTTTTCCGTTTCGACAGTCCAAATAACCGTCACATCGTTTTTCTTTTGGTATACAGAGCTCAGGTGTCGTTCCGCTACACCTGAAGTCCTCAGTCTGACATTTCCTGTAATCTTTGAATAACAATGCAGATAATTACTATCTTTCTTTCTGAGACAATCTTTTCAAAACGAAAAAATTTACTCTAAACTCAAATAAAAAATTTTAATTTAAAATTTTCATTTATATTTATTTTTTTATATCCAATTAATCAACTTAAAATATTCGTAAAGTTCTGAGAATATTTACTCAAACAAAATTTTTTATTTTATCTCAAGAAAAATAAGAAGATAAAATAAAATAAATTCAGTAAAATATTGAAAATCGGAATTTACCCTTTATGTCCAGAACCAGAAAATTTCCCCTTTAGTGTGAAAAATTCTTTTCAAATAGAAATTCTAGACATTAATATTGCGATAACGATTGCCATTTCAAGATACCTTCAACCTATTGAAAGTGAGTTAGAAGATTATTTATTACTTATTTTTATTTCTTCAAGTATCAGAGTTGCTGAGATTTTATAAGTTAAAACTATACATCTTCTACATAATATTATGCTTTACTAAATGTTATATTAAACGCCAATCCAAAGTAGAATTAAACCACAATCACAAGATTTATAATTGTAGAGCATCTTTATCAAATAAAAAAATCTATATACATAATTACTTTCAAAAACTAATGCTAATTGCTACTTATAAAAAAATAAAACCGTAAATTAAATATTCATTTTCTATAATGACTCTTCAAAGTCTCTCGAAGTACTCGATGATTTTTTTCCACAACTTGGATATCGTGGGAAACGTGAAATGAAGTATAGCTAGCTTTAACAAAAAATATAAAAACAAAATTTCCGACAAATTATAATGTAAAATTCATATTGCAGATTGTAAAGTGCAAGTCAACTTTACAAAGAAGAAATTTGATGGTTTAACGAAAAGACCTGATAAAATTCTGTCATATGAAAATCCTAACTAGATATTAAAGTTTAGGATATGTCTTATAAAATGTAACTTCAAGAATAACGATTTTTGAGAATATAAAAGCAATTCTTATAATTATATAAACTATATTACTATTTGACATAATTTTCGAATCTCGATTCATTTAAATGTGTTTCAATTGAATTGTCAGATCTTCCGGAACGAGGATCATGACAGGCGATGTTTTGTACTTGTTTAGTAACCAAGCAAAATGTCGGGATAAACTCATAAGACTTGGTGAGGTCTAGAGAGAATCTTTGAGGAGAGAAGAGGCATTTCGACCAAGAAACTCAAGGCAATGAAGAAAAAGCGATGATCCCTCAAACGTTAACACGAAGAACCTGTTTCTCGACATCTGCATAGAGACCTCGAGAGAGTTCCGGCTCCGATCAGTGGCTATCGTTATCCATTCCTCGTGTGCTTAGGAGAGTAAGTGTTCGAGAAATGTGGTGTAGCAATGAACCATCATCATCATCTCTCTCTCTTTCTCTTTTCATCTCTATGTATCTTCTTTTTTATTCCCCTCAGAACTATAATATTAGTATTTTCCCTTTGTATTCCGGAGTTTACTATCAATTATACTTTTTTAGAGATAGAATTCAGATGAAACAAAATATTTTATTCAGAATTTATTATTATTCTAATAAGTCTTTTAAATTCAATAGTGCTTTCGCCTAAAATATTAATCTCCTTCCACAATTTTAATTATTTTTTAAACGCCTTTTAAATGATTCTGGACATTTACTGGCATGGAATAGAATAGACGTAACAATTTGAAAAAAAATAATCATGCCTATATTCTGGATGAAGTATCATCACAATTCGAGAAAGTAATTGTGTCAATCGTAGGGTTAAACTTTGGAGAGAATACGTAATAAAAAAAATACTTACTACATCCGGCCTCATCGGTGCCATCAACACAATCTACTGTCATGTCACATTTCTGATGGGGAGGTATGCAGTAAGTTTTATTAAAGATATACTGGCCGCACGTGATTTGTCCAACCTCGCACTCAGGCGGTTCTGTAACAATATAAAAACAGTCAATTTTCAGAGAGTTTTAAAATATTATTGGGAAAAAAATGTTTTAAATTGAAAACTAAAGTAAAAATTCGAATATTTCATTAAATTAAAACATATACATATTGTCAACAAAAATTTTTAATTAATTAAAGATCAAATTTATCAATTTTAAATGCTTCTTCAAATAAAAAATAATTAATTTAAAAAATTGAGAAGAAATTAAATAAATTTGTTAAATTGTAGAGGAAAAGAAATTGCTAAAAAATATTTCTTCATCGCCAAATTGAGATTATTAGAAATCTCACGTGAACAAATGTCACGTACGATCGATAGAAAACTTACTGTGTGATTAAGAGGAATGCCAAGAAAAACTAAAATGGCATTGACTTTCTACACGTCTCAAATGATACATATCGTTGCAAGTGATACTTGATTTTTTGTTCTTTATAATTTAATGGAGTCAATTAAAAAGATGAGTGGTGTTGAAAGGTGTTAATTCTAAAAAAATTTTCTATTCCGTTTTTATTATTTCTTCTCTTTATTCAGAATTTATGAATTTGAAAAAATCGAATAATAAAATTCGTTAAAATGTTATGGAAAAATTATGAATTTAATTAAATTTTAATAAAATAAACATTCAATAACGGAAAAAATAATTTTTCAAAGTAGATATCTACATATATATGTATAATTGAAAATTCGTTAACTTTGCTGTTACATTTACATTCTTTTCATAATTATTTAACTTATATAATTATCATTTAGCAACATAATTGAAAAGTTATTTCTGATAGTAGTCTCTAAGTAATTTTAATGTCAAGTGATAATTAAAAAAAAAAATTTCAAATATAATATTTTCAATAAAATTCCAATAAGAAAATAATTATCATATCGACATTAATTTTAATTTACAATAATATTTTTTAAATAATTTTGTATGTAATTTTGTCGAATCGAATCTTTTCGTTTTTTTTGTATACCTATGTGTAAAAAAAGTCACGTGTATATTTCCGTTTTTATGAATGATGTTTGCTCAACAAAGAGCATTGATCGATCTGCCTCATTTGAATACAATAATGATGATGCGATGATGGATTATTTAAAGTATCTTAATTTCGCTTTTATTTTAAACGACTCTGAGCGGCTTTTTATCTTCAAATAGCAAAAGCCTGACATTTACGTAATATAATTGCAGGAAGTAAATATACAAGCACATATTTGTTATGAAATTCGACAGTTTTCCACGCAACTAATGACAACAGGTAATTTTTTTTACAAAGATTTTCTTTCAACTTGAAATCATAGTTAATTTCTATTTCTATTTCTGAGTTCTTGTGACTTTCAGTAATAACTATATAATTGAATATATTTTATTTTTTAATTTAATTATTTGCTATTATTAAATGAAAAATTTGAAATTTGAAATTCAAAATAAAACAAAAGAAAAAATATTATGGAATAACTGACATAAAATTACTATTTAAACATCCGTTACGTTTTATGAAAAATTGAGCAAAACTTATACAATCAAATAAAAGGCTAATAAAAAAGTTTTGTTTAAGCTGACATCAATGATAGAAACAAAACTAATGTAAAAAACATAAAGTGTTAGCCCTTAGTTTAAAATCATCACACTTTTGTCGACTGAAAATCCGCTGAACATCTGGACTTGGCATTCAACTTTATGCTTCATAAAAGTCAAAGCATAAATCAAGATTCTTATGTAAATCTCTTGTTTTAATGTTTTTAAATAGGCAAAAGTTTTGAAGAAAAAATTCCTCTAATCACTTCTCTTGAAACTTAAAACAAATTAATGCATTCTTATGATTAAAAATTATTTAATTATTACAAAATTATAGCACTCAAAGCGTTGATTCTTTAAACTGAAAAATATGTCAAAAATTCTATTAAAATTTTTGTTAATTGAAAATTATTGCTTTAAATTAAAGAATAACACTAAAGATATTCAATCTTTATTTTCTTAGGCTTAAATTTAATAGGTTACAAAATTAAAATTAGGTGAGAAAACGTGAAAAGAAGATAACTGAAGGCAACAATTTTTTTATTTGAAAAATGATTTCTAGTTGATTTATCTCTTTCAGAGAATGATATTGCTTTAGTGTCTTCTTGGAGAATTCTATCAACTTTCTTTCCCATCAAAAAGTCTATGTAGGTACTCTCTCTCTCTCTCTCTCAAAAAAAAAAAAAGGAAAAATATAGATAATCTGAAAGGGCACTTACGGCATGACTGAAACTCGTCCTCCGCATTATCGCAATCCTTTTGATAGTTACAGACCCAGAGGGATGGGATGCACTTTCCTTCAGAACATCTGAACATTCCCATCGGACAGCCAACTCCATCGCCTAAAACAGAGATGAATAGAAACCAATGAACAATATTCGTATAGCGTGATAGGTGAAAGGTTCAATGCCTTATTGCCACGAGAATTCACCTCTTTCATCTTATGTACATTAAACGCTATATCATCGAGGATTTATTTCACATACAAATTCTTTAACAATTTCTGTAATCCTCAACATAAGTGTAATAAATGTTTCTGTCTTCATTCTCTATTTTCATATAATGAAATAAATAAATTTTAATTTAATTTAATTGATTTCAAAAGTAACTAATATTATTTGCCTATACTATAGATAACAAAATATTGTTGATATGTGACTTTTCTCAAAGAGGATTTATAAATTAGCGAAACCTTAAGAGAGAAAGTAGGTGTTTTATATTCTTGAGTTTGAATTTACAATATTGGGTTCCAATCTTCTACTAAGGATTCTGTGGCTTGAAATTGTGACTGTTGAGGAGCACGATTTCTTGATTCTTGGTGAGTGAATCGACATGCATTTATTGTGAGTAGATCTTTTCCCCAAAGCAATTTTCTTGTCTATATATATATATATATATATATATAGTTTCAAACAAACGTGAGGTATACACAATCGATTATGTAAATAATACAGGTCGTTTAATCAGGAATGTCATATATATAGTTAAGTGAGTTGAACGTAATCCGGGATGTGGTTTTAATTACCTACGATAATTGTAATTCAAAACGAATATCGACATAGTTGACTTTGACAATTCGATAAATTACATTCCGTAGTATTAATTTCGAGAATTAATTTCTAAACACAAAAACAAGATTTAAAACTAAGTTGAAACTAAAATTCTGTATTTTAATTTTTGGAAAAAAATTTTTTCCCAAAAAACGAAACAAGTAAATTAAAAAAATATTTTAAAAAATGTTTTCAATTACACAATTTGTAGAAAATTGGATAAACAGAATCAATCGTGTAGAGAGAAATGAATTGTTTTTGTGTCTGAAAGAGAAATGAGCTTTTACGAAAGGGGTTTTACACTGGAATCGAGGAAACAGGAGCCCCTTGTTCAGCAATACAGAATAAATCTTTGAAAGCGAGGTTTGTTTTCAAATTTAAGACAAGCGAACCGCCGTTAACCCTGAGGTGAAATACCGTATCGCGTAGAAAGAGAGAGGAGAGGAACGTGAAATTGACTCGATCGCATTTCACGATTCACGATCGCTTATCAATAATTGACTTTCCACTATTCTACTTGAAAAGACGCGTTTTTTTTCTTTTTTTCTTACATAAAATCGCATCTCAAGCGCGAAATTACTTCCTCGTTCTAATAGGAGCTCGAGACAATAAAAAATAGAATCTTTTATCAATATTTGATATGTATCAATTTCAAAGGCAAATAATTATCGAAAAAGTAATTACCAAAACTAATTGAGTGAAAAAATTGTTTATTTTATATTTACACTGAAAAAGGGTTTGGTATTGACAACCAAACGTTTGGTTGATATTTAATCAACAAAATTTTAATTATCTCAATCAAAATTTGTTTGACACAACCAAAATTAGAAAAAAGGATTTTTGTTGTCCTAACTAAAGTTTGATTGGGACAACCAAAATTTTTTTGATTCAACAAAAAAAATTTGGTTACTTAAATACCAACCAAACGTTTGGTTGTCAATACCAAACCCTTTTTGCCTTATAAGGCAATTTGATTCATTATAATATAAACTATAGAAAATTGTTTACTTGATGATAAATTTACTATGAAATTATTGTTTGTCTCATGATAATTTATTATAATAAAATTGTTCACTTTGTTGGGATTTTAGATACTCTTAAAAATACTCTTGAGTATATTTTTAAGAAGAGTAAAAAATAGAAGAATCTTTTTCAAGAGCACTTATTAAATTATTAAAAATTATGGGAGAGAATTTTTATCTACATAATATATCTTATCCTTTGGTCATATTACGTAGTGGGATTGTCTCTCATTTAAATTCAAGCGAGTCATTCATTTATTCAGGAAGACTATATATATATATATATATACTCTCTTGAAGGTGAATCAAAAAGATTTACAACGAAAAAAAGTTATTCTAAAAGTAAGAATATATAATCCTGGTTAATATTTAAGAATACAATTAATGTATTTTATTATTAATTAATGTATAATATTCACAAAATTAAAATAATATTCCTTATAGTTCGAATTTTATAAGTCCGAAATTCTATTTAGTAATAGAAACGAAAGAAAATTAATATCTTTTCTTCATAACGGCGAGTGAAATGAAAGGAATAAAAATTCAATTCTAAAGACAAGTGTGAAAAAAGAAAAAACGATAATCAATATGATTTTAACGTGGCTTTCGTCGAGACAAATGATGTTAGTGATGCCTTTTCAAGAGAGAATGGAGCATTAAGGACCTCTTTGGACAATACATTCTCATTCACATGAATGGAAAATGCTTAAGGCATTCTTTTTTTGTTTTACTTGTTTTGGTATATATATTTTTTGTATACGCAAAAGGTTGTGTACGAAGTTTGAGAGGCTTTGGATGAACTGAATATTGTTTTTCTCGTTTTTTTTTAAATAAAGAAAAATACAGCCTCACTATAAAATTTGCAATTCAAACACATGCGATGAGCAAGGGAAGGCGTTGCTGAAACGATGATTTGAGTCTGAAATAAATTTTCAACGATGCATAACTAAATTCCAGAATATAAATGAATGTTGGTATATGTATACAAAAAATTCTACTTTTGGAATATGTGTGACTTATTTCCAATCACGTGATCGTTATAATAATTATTTCTTTCCACGTAACAAAATTAATGAAAAAGAAGAATAAAAACAAGTCTGATTTCAAAATAGAATTGAACGAAAAAAACTGCTTTGTTCAACAATATATACTTTGGTATTTGCCGAGATTGCCATTTATGTCAGTTGAATGGACTTTTGCCAAAGGAAAGTGTAACAACACAGAAGAAAACTTCAAGTTTTGGCATCATACCACGTTAGTTGTTCATGTGTGCACAGTACAATCAAGTGAATAAGCACTCAATCATCATCTATATCCAGGAACACTCGTTATTAAAATTCCAGACTCCTTGCTTCAAAAAGTATTTTTGAAGGTTCCTTTGGTCAAAAAATATCTCATCCGATCAATAATTTTTCTAGTGTCTTCCAGCAAAGAACTGAAAAAAATTCAGTTATAGTTACAAAAAGGATACAAATATGACAAGTAAAAGAAAAAACAGAGATGAAACACTAAACGAGTGGAGAAAAAAGAAAGGAAAAAAAGGGTCTTTAAGGTGACGAAGACACGAGTCACCTTTCGGTGTTTGCGTCTTGTTGTTGGGTGGTACATGTGAGGGTGGGTGGGAGGAAAGTAAAGGGGGAAAAGGCTTGACGCGGTCTCCGCTCCGGCACTATACGAGAAGTGCACTGCTCGTGCCAGTCTGTGCCTGGTACCACACAGAAAACAGAATGGGAGAACGCATGAGGAGAGTACCTACATAGTAGTAAAGGTAATATATACGTATGTGCCTGGCTTCTTTGCCTCCTTGACTTTACCTACTTGGTGCATAGTAAGTTGGCTCTCAATTCACCGTTTCAAGCTGACTGGAGCTCACCAACTTGGCGAGATTGCTCACAGGCCTTTTGATAACTGATCTTGCAATGCACACGCGGATTACAGCGAGAGCTAGAGCACCTTCGCCACGCTACGAGAGCCGGGACAACATTTCAAGTCACTTAACACGTGGAACGATTTACACATATCTAGATTCCTTCTTTCCTCACTTTTATTCTTCAATTAGAGTTATACTAATAGATGATTTTTAAAAGGGTGATTATTGATACCATCCTGACGACTTTGATTATCAGAGGGAACAAAAATTCTCCGAGGATGCTTTTCAGATGACACTTGAACAAAGAGCAAATTATTAGTTTCATCCTGACAATTTTTATTGTCAAAAGGAATAAAAATTCTTTGAGGACAAAAATGAAGATTCTTATGTTCCTGATGATATACACAACAAATTGGGTTGTTTTCAAAACATCTCAATGAATCTTTATAAAAAAAATCTTTAATTCATTCAGAGCAAGAGAAAATTTACAGCTCTTTGAATAAAATAATAATGTATCCTTTCGCCATACAGAAGTGGGAGTTTCCCGATTCATTTCTATTGTTTATACATTTTAATATAATCTACTTTATTTCTTGTTCTCGTTAATAAAATATACGCATTATTAGATACGACAGCTTTCTGAATGGATGATTTTATGTATTACGGTTTGATTGAAGGTTATATAGTAAAAGAGCTAGACGGAGTATGATCGCAACAAACAAGTGCACAGACTGTATGTTTCTTTCACTTTCAGACAATAATACCTTATGTAATTTGCAATTTAAAATTTGATTGAATTAGAATTCAGAAAATTCATTTTAATTATATATTCTTTCAATTGCACAAGTTGATTACAATATTGTTCGTTGATAATTAAAAAAAAATTTATTATAGTTAGATTATTTTTTTTCCCCGTTGTAAATCAAACTTAATTGGTATATTTTCAGTTCTAAATTTACGGACATAAAGATTTTATAAAAATTAACAACAATTTACATTTCATTCAATTATGTAAAATAAATGGAAATTTAGATTTAATAAAATGAAAATTATATAAAAAAAAGTAAAATAATAAAGGAAATAAATTGAAATTTATTACAATTACATAAGTGATGTTCAAATTTATTAAAATTAGTAATATTTTCTAAGTCTGGAAAAACTAATTTTTTTCAAGAAAGAGAAATGAAAGAGCGATCTTCAGGGCTATTTTACATAATTATTTTCACCACTGTACTTAAATGAAAATAATGGGAGTGGCAAAAACGAATAATGCTAGCGAGAAAAGATGAGCCAGTGATTTTCGTTTCTAAAAATGGCGAATTTAAAAATTAGACGCATATTTAAGTTCTTAGAAATCAGTGAGAAAGTATATTACGACCTTTAAACAATTTTTCATATTT